CACACACTCATCTCCGTCCTTTCCTTTCTTTTTTGGTAGGGGTGGTATCCGTTTACGTACCGTACATACTGTACCGATTGTATTTATGATTTCTTTGTTTAGCGATAGAGATGGTTAGACGGTTGACAGTTAGATGGTTAGATAGTTAGATAGTCAGATCCCTAGCCACCACTATAAACGGTTACCTGAGTCGTGCGGTAATTAACAAGTTGATTGATTGATTGATTGATTGATTAAATCAGATGCTGGAAATGCTTCACTCGCTTGCACCCGCACCCGCACCCGCACCCTTGATTTCTGAGGGATTCTCCTTCCATGTCTTTGTCGAGACTGGGCGTAGGTTGAGCTTGGAACTTGGATTGGTGGGTAGGTAGGTAGGTGGAAGAGGGAGGAGGAAAGAAAAGGAAAGGAAAGTCAAGTATTGTCTATTCATCTCATCTCATTTCATTTCATCTCGAATAGTATAATACGCAATTCGGAGAATAGAGTATAAGAAAGAATATACATAGGTTTAATGGAGAAGCGAGATAGATAGAGTTGTGTATAGGTAGTGATGTGGTACATGAGAAAAGGAATAATAACCTTTTTCTGGTGGTAGGTCGATAGGTCGGTAGATAGGTAGCATTTTCATCTGTACGGAGTTTTTACATGCAGGACTTTATGGTTGTATGTATTTATTTAATATATATCGATCTGGTAATGTAATGTAAGTATAAAAGGAGTATGTACCATCCATCACACTGTTCTACATCGAGTATTCCGAAGATATCCATTCATTCATTCATTCATCTGTCCATCTATTTTTGGATTTTTGCATATTAATTAACCTTACGGAGTACGGGTAATCTGATCTGTAATGAATCTCATGAATGATTAAATACTAGGTAGGTACGGAGATATGGAGATGGAGGGAGGTATGGAGTATTCAATTTCGATTTTGGAGGATTCAATATTGGTGTTCGATGTCGATTTCGAGGCTTGAATACTCCGTGCTTAGGCATGTACGGATGATGGACTATGGGCGGACTATTATGGATCGGTGGGTTAAGATTAAAGAAATATGGAATTTTATGGGATTTCATTTCAGGCGATTTGGTCTGGGTTGGGAAGAGATGGATATGATGATAGAAATGAGGTATGGCTGTGTAGTATGGAAGTGGGAATCTATCTAATGAGGTGATTTTGGAGAGGTAGATTGCTATTTGTTAGGTGAGTATCTATTGGATGATTGGTCTGTGAAATGAGGACATACAGTGAGATGGATGATGATTTTGTGTTGATCGAGTATGATTTATGAGATTAGATGAACACTTGATGTGAAATGAGACTCTTACATTCCAAAAGAGTACTCCGTACTGTTAATCGATCTTCACCAGTGCCATTTCCATGTCAAACCCAAAAGTCTCAAAAAGTCCCATGAACAGATTACAAAGTAAAACTCCCCTGAAAGTTCATTTCTATTCGTTGACGCTGCTTCGATTCCCTTGGAAAAGTCTCCGTTCCGTTTCAATCTATCCGACTAGAGTAATAATGTGGGAAGGTCCGAAAGTGTAGATACTTAGGGCTTGTTGTGTTGTTGTTGATCTAGTCCTTGTGAGATCACCTTTTCATGCAAACTTGGCATGCAGGTGCGTGAAGGTGCGTGAAGGTGCGTGAATGTGAGCCCTGTGAATGGTGGAAGAGAAGCTTTGGAGTCCTGAGTGAGAATGGTCTTGGTGTGTGTGGCCTGTGGCAGAGTGACAGAAGCAGAGTGGCAGAGTTGAGTCCACCCAAGGTCTGCCGGTGTGTATGATATGGCAATGGAAACCTTGTGGCATGATATGCTCGGAACAAAAGCTTCGTCTCAAAAGGGTTAGAGCGGGTGCACTATTAGTACGGAGACCATTCCAATTTCTTACGGCTTAAACCGCCATTACACCCATTCCTTCGCGACACTAGAGCCAAAGGAGTTAATGATGTTCACCTCTCGCTTCTGCAGCCAATCACACCCACCCGCTCTCATTTTACATCAACAATCCTAAACATCTTTAGGCTTAGCTCAATCCATTAGTGTGACTTCCCATTTCAATTTCGCCACTAAGGTACTAAGGTCCTGCTTCTTTCCCCTCCCCAGCCATCATGTAAACCTACTTGTTCTCCCACATTTTACATTTTACATTCTCATTCTCATTTCTATCGGCAATTCATTCACAAATCCTTTCTGAACCTTCTTCCACACACAAACTTCACTTGGAACAAGCAAAAAAAATTAAATATCAATCGATTAAAATATTAATATCAATATCAATAAACTCTTGATCAATCTTCCAACATCTCTCATCGATTCAATTCATCTGTTTATATCTTTACTCCATCATCCATCCTATTAGAGACGTCAACATCCCCGCCCAACAAAAAATCCTGTCAAATTCCTTTGTTGCTCATCACAAAGCCTTACCGGTCGGGTCACTTTTCCACTCCAAGCATAACACAACACCGCACAACACAACACCACAAAATCACAAAACACACACCGCATCTTACCACCCACTCTTCCTCTTACATTATCCGCCTCCAACATACATGAGCCGATAATGTCTTCCTACTATCAACACTTCAACGCTCATCAACAGCATACGATTCCTTCCAATGCTCAAAATGGTTCGGTACATAATCGAAGGAACCGAAATACCCGTCAACCCCCAAATTCCATTCAGCAAACCAAACAACATCAAAAGATCGCCAAACGTGAAGAGGAAGCTGCCGTGTTGATGAGTTACCGTCGAACATTCGAGTACGCAAGATCATTCGATTTAGAAGATGACGCCGAATTCTGTCCCAACCTCTTGACCGAAGAAGATATGGTATCAATCAATGGTGGTTCTGATCGTTCTTCTTTGGCCAGTGGCTCACCTACAAACTCACCTCCATCGACACAAGTATCGATAAACTTATCTCCCGATACCAACTTTTCCTTGAACTCCAACTCTCACTCATTTGTCCAATCCGGTTTCAACGTTTCCGCATTAAAGATCCATCAACCTTCAGCTACACGTATTGGGAGAAACGCCATTCCCATCGTGAACCCCAATGACGGAGGATTAATGTCGAGCCCACCTACTTCGGTATCACCCGCCAGAATGCAACAACATCAACAATCAACCAGAGTTCCAGTTCGATTTTATTAGACCCTTGACTGCTTCTGTTTTCACCCATTAGCAAATTTGGTTTTCTTAACTTCGCTTTAATCTGTGTTATGCATTCTTAATCAATCTCTTCCTTCTGGTGGGTTACCCCTCTCTTCGACATCGATCTTCCCGATGGATGACGGCACATGACAAATAACAACCTCAACGAATCCTCTTGTATATTCATCCGACACTTTCCCCTCTTCATACATTCCTTGAGATGGTTTAATGGGCGCTCTTACATCAAGATATCGATACCTTTGTTTAAATAAGGAGATGGTGTTTTCCCACTGTAATGGGGGTTTTGATTTTTGAGCGTATATGCATATCTTTTGCGACGGTGTTTCTGGGATAAGCATTTTATTTAATGGGTGGGAAACATGAAGCGGCGACTTCATATGGTCTACGAAAACAAAAAGACATATCTTTCAAAGTTACATAGAACGATTTCCTTTTTTTCACTGTCAATCATGGAGAAAGGCATACCGGTGTTTGAATTTCGGTGGGTAACATGGGTCGGACACAAAGATTTCATCTCAATCTCTTTGATATTATGGATCCATGGTGTTGGTTGGGTGTGTTGAACAAAGTCGAGCGCGATATCTCTTTGTATGGGTGAGCGTAACTTGTAGCTGGTGTTGGGTATCTTGGGCTTGTGTTTTTGGAGCGATTTTAAAGTACATGATGGATATATGCGGTTTTTTGCATATTTTTACATTGCGTTCTTGATGTAATTCGATCCAATGTCATTATCATATACTTTTGGCTGGGGCGAGGCGATTTTTGTGTGTACTTGGGATGATATCAAGAAACTTGGGTATTTCTAGGTCTTTGGATGGGAGATTAGGAGGTACAAATGTCATATTGTTGGCTTTTAAAGCTTTAGGAAATTCATATTTTATATTTATCTATTATATGATGATGATTAGTTTTGTATATTTGGTATTTGTAAGGTTGAGTAAGTTTGAGTATATTATAGTGTAGTATATGTAGCTTGATATGTTGTGTTGTATTGTGTTGTGTTGTTTTTTGTTGTGTTATAGATAGATGGTATGATGAGGTTTGGATCTGGTATTAGATGTGATGTATGATGCATGATGCATGACGTGTAATGGATAGAAATAGAGACAGAAATAGAAATACCAGTGTTAATAATTGATGATTGTCATATAATGATTGAGAGATGATAATCAATAAATGATTAAGAGGGGGGGGGGGCTAGTGGGCTTACGATCACTATCTTTGAGCATTTCACCGAGGAGCTCCTTCTCTTGTGTGATAGATGGTCAGAGCCGAAGTCGGTTCTTGTTATGAGCAATATCTCTATCCATCACATCCAGCAGATCGGGCAGTTGTGTTGTGATGCCGGTGTGAAGCTCGTATATTTATTGATACATTTATGTCTTTTTCTCTCTCATTTAATTGAAAGCCTTTTGTTCTTCAACGGAATAGGCACACTGATGAGGAAAATCCGGAGGAAGGCTCGCATGGCTTTGGGGAATGGTGTATGGATATAGTATGTAGTTGGCAGAGAGAAGGAAAGTGCGAGGGGGTATTTGAGGCACGCAGGATGGATTGTTGAAGAGCCCGCGTGGAGCCATAGCGTGGTATGGATGTTTTAACCGAGTGTTTTTCAAATTCACACAGTACTTGCAATGGATATCGTTTCATTCTAGTTACTAGTTACTAGTTATTCCTCAGCTTACAACATTTGCGAAGATATGATTGGGTTTTCTATTTCATTCGAGCGGGAAAAACATATTTTCCTATACACAGGATCCTCCTGACTTTGGTCCTGTAAATGGACGGGGTACAACGTCCATTATAAACCTCTCAATATTCCCTCGGTGTCAACTTGCACATCAGCTCGGGCTTTTCCCACAGGATGTACGATTTCTGATCGTCCCACGCCTGAGATTCAGGACATAATTCGAGGTCGAATCTCCAGATGATCCGAGCCAGGATGACACGCATCTCGTTATAGGCTAGATTTCGGCCGATGCAGTTACGTGGTCCGACAGAGAATGGCTGCAAAACGTCACGGTTATCGTTGAAGAAGGGCGATTGCGGATCGTTTTTCGCTTCTGGGAGCCAGCGCTCTGGGATATAGCACTCGGGCTTGTGAAAATTGAGAGGAGAATGATACGCCGCGAATTGATGAACCGCTACCCTGGTCTTTGGGGATCGTTAGCTACTTTTTTTGGAATGACGATACACTTCTGATCTTACGTTTGGAGGGACCTCATAGCCCGAAATAATTGTGGTCGAAGTGGTAACTCGTTGCAATCCGGTACCAACCGGTGGATACCTTCGAAGGGCCTCTTCAAGACAGGCTAACATGTACGGGAGGTTTGCAGTCGCGTTTGCAAAAGTGATATCCTCTTCAGATTGCATGGCCGTTCGCACTTCATCCGTCAACTTTTTCATCGCCACCGGGTTCTTCAGAAGTAAGAAGGTCACACCCGATAACAAAGTGGCGGTAGTTTCGCTGCCAGCAATAACAAGAATGCTGGAATTTGCTACTAACTCTTCATCACTTAGCCCATCTTTCTCCCCGCGATGTCGGAGCATGGAATCCATGAAGTCTACAAGGTCGGAGGGCTCAGGGTTCGCAAGCCTCGTTTGCACCACTGCTTTGCTGTAGTCCTGCTGCCGCTGACGTGCGTTTGCCAAACCACTGCGCATAAAAGGTTTGATTAATTGGAAGAACATAGGATAGACGTCCTTGACTTTGGCAAACTGTATTGCGCGTACGGATTCGAAAATTGTCGAGACCCAGAAGTGATATTGTGAGTTCTCAAGCCCGCCGAAAGACTCGCCAAAGGCAAGATCGCCAATGAGATCGAATGTGGTAAGATTATACCACTTAACCATATCTACCGGCAAGCGAGACTTTGCCTCGTGCTCCAATCTCGTGACAAGTTTATCGACGTATCTTTTCAGAATCGGCTCTTGCGCTTGAAGTCCTTTCGCGGAAAAGGCGTGAGACATAGCTTTGCGGTATCGAGAGTGGTCAACATCGTTGGAGTTAATGATATCTAGAGGGTTTGCGGCCGAGTGTTTGAACTTGGGCAGTTGCTTGTGGCCGTGGCCGTAAATGTCCCGCCAGGCTTGGGCGGTGATGAAGGAGACCTCATCGGGGGCAAATCGAACGACCTCGCCATATTTCTGGTGGAGAGCTCGAAGCTCGATATCTTGCCTCCCTCGAATCAACGAGAGGTGTCGAAATATTGGAAACGCGATCCACAGTGTCGGGCCGGGGATGTGACTGAGAGAATGGAAGTAAAGAACCCGGAGAGTGGAAATCAAAGTGTAAAGAAGATAGAGGAATGCTGCTAGAGCAGCCACTGACAACATTGTGATGCTCTGAAAATCGTATGAGAATTTAGTTAAAAGTCAAGTTGCAGATGCTTCTTTCTCTGGTCTCTGGCATCTAGCACGGCTTTTGTATCTTTCGACAGCCAAGGTCTCTCGGAAGAGTCTTTGCCATGGAGGTTTTATCCACTGTATAAATTGGATAAGTTATATAAATTGTATAAATTGTCTCTACAAGCTGCATCGATGCATTTATGCAGCGACTGCACCTCGCCTACGTTCCGGCTTCCGTGCGCATCTTCAATCCGTCTGTCCCCATTTCCCCTCCCCCGTACTAGCGGCTGTGTGCGAGCGGCCCAAAGTTAGATAGAATGATAAGTAATAGGCAGGTGTTTGGTATCAAGAGAGTTGAATCGAGGGAGAGATAGAGGTAGAAGGAATAGAAAAGTAAAAGGAAAGAAATCTTGAGTTGTTATTAATATAAGGTTATCGATACTATTTCAAGTACTTATTGTAGTAAGTGTAATGAGTATGTATCTAGGTGAGGAAGAAAGGAAGAAAGGAAGAGAGGAAGAAAGGAAAGTAATCAAATTCTGATAATTTATTAGGTGTTTTTTATAGATTATTTAGATATTTATTTGTGAGTATCAGTGTGAGTATGGATGAGTAGGGTAATATCTGTATATGAAATACGAAATGTGAAATACGAAAGTCGATTTGTATTGTATCGAAAGGAGGAATTACCTCCATCACATTAAATTACACATCACACAGTCACAGACATAATGCAGAAGTCCGAGAGTCGCAAGTGTGGATGTTTGGACTCTGAAGCCCCTGAATTACGAATACTGTATCGTAATACTCGTAATACTCGTGGTTGCATGACTCGAGAGTTCTCCATCAGTATCGATAACACACCTTGAAATCCAGACACCCAGCATCCATCGGTTAAAGTCCGGATGTGAACATAGATACCGAGGATAACAAGATGGATGGATGGGTTTGTGTGATTATGATGCTAATATCTGTACCTAGATACCTAACGTTACCTGTAAATCATTGACGTCATCATGTCCCACATCTTCAACTTCCCCACCACCAAGCTTCGAAATGCAAATGAATGTCATGTCGAGGAGCAGGTTTTCTCGATCGAGGATTGGATTTTGAGTTGGGATGATGAGAGGATGATGTGAGAGACCAATGGAGTGGGAGAGATTACCTAGGTATGAGGGTTTTGGGACTAGCGGATGGGGAGCTCGAAGGAAGGGGGTTATTATTGTTGTTTCTTCCTTTCTTTCTTGTTGATATTTATATTTATATTTATATTTTCAATTGACATTTCAGATTTCAGATTTGTTAGGAAGAACGCTTACTTAGGTAAATTGTAAGTTGTTCAGTTTAATGAGATGAATTGATGTTTTATCTATCTATCTTTTTCGTCCGGTTCTTGATTGTGTAGTACAGGAGAAGAGAAGAAGAAGAAGAAGAAGAGAAGAAAAAAAGAAGAGAAGAAAAGAAGAGAAGAAGAAGAAGAAGAAGAAGAAGAGAAGAATCAATCAACTAACTCATCTCTCAATTAGAAATCAAGCAATACATTCACACACACATTCACATTCACATTCACATTCACCTCCACCTCCACCAACACCAAACACCAAACACAAAAATGTCTTTCATCCTCCGTCAATCCATTCGAGCTGCTCGTCCAGTCTCCATCGCTTTCCCCACCAAACGTACATTTGCTATCTCGAGCATGCGAGCTTTGAAAGAGAGTGATAGACGTGAGTTATTTTCTCCTTGTTATTCTTCTGGGAATTGTGATTTGGATGGAATTGTTTGGGGAATTGTACGCGGAGTTACTTCTGCGATCTTGCTGGATTTTTTATGTCCGGCGGGATTGGTGATGAAGTAATTGAGTACGAGACACGAGATACGAGGGCGCTGGTGTATGAATTCTGAGATGGATTTGCTCTTCTTGAGTTCTTCTCACATTCTTATTACCTCTGTCCGAGGATAATATTTCTATGCACCTTTTTCATCTCCGTCCGAAGTCATTGAATCGATTTGAAAATTAAGAGATACTAATTCGATGTATGAAAATTCAGATACCCCAGAAAAAGCTGCTGATTACGAACATCATAAGCAAGATCAATTGGCCAAGCAAAAGGAGGGAAAGAATCACTGGAAACCAGAATTGGCTAGTGATAGTGAAGAAGCTGTAGGTTATTCTCGGTGTTGCATTCTATAAATCTTCCTGCGACTGTACGAATGGGCTTCAATGTGTGTAGAGAGAAAGTAGCTCAAGAGAAGTCTCGCATGTATGGAAGTTACACGGAATTCAGTCTTTCTGTCTGAACTTCTGGATCAATCAATTGGTGTTTGGAAGGGTTGAGACAGAAAGAAAATTATGGCTACGAAATCAAGAGTTGTGAAGGAAGAGAATGGGAAGGCGGTCTCAAAGGAAAGGATACCTATGGGTGGGCATACACCACATAGGTTATCTCTTTCGTCTAGTGAGTTGGAGACTTTGATGAGAAGAAAGGGAATGTGGAAGGAGAATGTGATTATTTTAATGAGAGTGGGAGAAGGGGAGCCCCTCGAAAGGGAGAGACTGATAGGTGGACATTGGGGGATTGAATAGTTTCCCCTGTCTTACTTTCCTCCCTCAATCCTGAGATTTACTTGGATTTATTTGTTGACGTTTCCTTATATCTTTTCCTTTTTATACTTAACCCTACCTCGTACAAAATAATTACAAGGAAAGACAGTTTGCTAATACAATAATATACAGGTAGCAGCAGATCGCCACGAACATGACGATCATTCCGCAGAAGGAATCAAGGAATTACAAAAGAAGACTGAGGGACATGCCGAAGAGAAACATAAGTGAGATGGTCCTTTGCAGTGAGCGAGCGAGTTCTTGAATATTGTTTATGTGAGATGATTTTTTGTATTTGAGGAATGTATGGATTTTTGGTGAGTGGTTTGCTGATTGTAGTGTTTTAGGAATGGAACGAGTCAGGATAGTGGATTGTAGATTTGGGGTTGGGGTTGGGATTGGGGATTGTGGAAATTGAGAACATACTGTGTTGAGATAAGGAGGGTTGGGGGTTCCTGGGGGTTGGGAGGGGAGTGGGAAAGAAGGGAGGTAGGCATGGAAAAAAGGAGAAATGGATTGAAGTAAAATGTATGATATGGGTTTAATGACAGTACCATTAATAACATTGCTATCTGCGAACGTGATTTCAAAGTTTTTGGTGTGAATGAATGGAATAGAATGGGATGGAGGGTGTGGAATAGAAGGTCTGGATTGAATGATTGAGAATTGGGAATTTGGGATTCAGGACTTGGGACTTGGAATTTAGAGTTGGAGTGTACAGATTTCGTCTTTTTGTCTTTTTGATATGTTGAACAAACACATATATAGTATATGTGTATGTGTATGTGTATATCTACTAAGTAAGATCTCACATCTATCAAGCACATATCACATCTTATAAGTATAAGTTGAGAGAAAAGTAGCGTTCGAAATCTGGATGGTGGTATGAATGGGAGGAGATGGATAATTGGGTGGAAAGAGAAATTGGATATTTTTTTCTTTGTTTTTTTCTTTCTGTTTTTCTCCCTTGTTCATTTTTTTCTGAAATTTCTTTCTCTCTTTTCTTTTTGTGGAATCTTGGATTTGGAATCTTTGGTTTGTGTGTTTATGTATTGGGATTGGGAGGATTGAAAAATTAGAATGGAGGGTTGAAGGGTTAGAGTTAGGGGCAGGGAATTGGACTTGGGAAAGAAGGGGTGGAACTAGGAGGATTATAGTTAGGAGGATTAGGTGTGTATTTTCTCTTGAGGGGAGAGAGAAGAGGGTAGTTGATTGATGATGTCCATGTAGATGTGTGAGAGATATAGAGATACGTTTTAGAGCCTGCGAGAAAATTTATCGTCTTAGGATTTTCATGTGTTTTATGGGAGTGGGGAGTGAGGAGTGAGGAGCGATTTATCTAAATAGCTTGGCTGATTATACACAATTTACAAATCTGTACATTCTGTCAATATTATACAAGCAACACATTCACGAATCTCTCATACTGAGATAGTCTTCACGAGGGTAAACGGTTTTCTTTTGGTGTTTGTTTCTACGTCCATGTATAAGGGGTTGGGATAATGTGTGTAGTGTCTATATTTCCTCTGTGTTTGTGACGCCGAAAACTCTAATAACTAATACTCTAAAATTCCAATGCGTTGATAGTTCGATACTATTTACTGTTAGAGGATCTAATATTCTGCTCGAGTAAACTGGATTGGAAAAGCTGGGTAGGGACCCTTGGATGTGGTATCTTTAGCAAGAAATCTAACCTTGGTGTTCGCTCGATTTGAATAGTCGAGATCTCTAAGACGGTGGTACTCTGATCCTTATAGTTTTTACTTGTTATTGTTTTTGTTTACTTTATCATCATGTTCTGCCTGTTTTTCTTGATGACGGTTCGATCTCAAATGTTTGATGTATGAATCGTGACGATCGAATGGTTCCTCTCTACATACCTCGCCAAGCTCGCAATAGTATAGCTTTGCACTGTGCGTATGTTTAGTGTCGTAATGCGATCGAAATCTTGACCTCTCAGAGTAACTCTTGGTTTCACAGCCTTTTCTTGTGCATATGTAACGACCTTCCTTGTTCTGTGTGTATGGGTAGTCGGTCATAGGTTTAGGTTCTGTTCCGCCGGTGGGGTTTGAAGAGCTGGCATTGCGAGGCTGAGTAAGATTTGAAGAGGTAGCAGTAGAAGGTTTGTTAGAGCTTGAAGAGCTGGCAGTGGCAGGTTTTTTCAACGAATCTCTGGTTCTAGAGGCGCTGGCAGACCGATTGCGCTTGCCTTTTTCTCTTTCACTACCGCGGCCGTCCCTTCCTTGGACTCCCTCGTTATCTGCTCTCGATTTATTACCGCTTCCACTTGGAAGTTGGCTCGCATCTAGAGGAACCTTCGGCTTGCGCTTTTGTGGTTCTTTTCCACTCTTCAGATCGTCATAATATATTGCGTCCTTAAATGCAGTTCCTCTGTCCCTAGGAAGACTTGGAGGACCGTTTATTGATAAGGTTGCCATTGCCGTTTCGGCCTTCTCGTGGGCCTCTCTACTGGCATCGTTGCGGTCCCTCTTATTTATAGCTTTTGCTACATGTCTGTCCTCATAATTCTCATAATCATATCTTGAAGCACTGGCTTTTTTCATCACTTCTTCATCTGTCCATTCTTTGCGTCCCTTACGTATAGCTCTTGCAGCGTGTCTATCGGCGTAATCTTGTGCATTATCAGATTGTGTAGCATTTGCTTTGCGTTTCAAGGTAGCGTCGTCCCACTCGAACCACAGTGAGCTTTTAGTCTCAGAAACTCCAGACATTGCGAATAGTGCAATATAATTTGTGGGATAGTCGATAGACGGATAAAGGTGAATGGTTATGAATTTTGGAATCTAGAAATTGTGTTTGTATGAAAATGGGATTTTGTATTAGAAGTCGAGAGAAAATGAGATGGGATGATTTATATAGGGAGCAATTGGCAATCGCAAAAACAATTTTTACATATATTGCTATGAATAAATTTCTGAAAATACTCTATTTTGACCTGCTCGACAAGTGGTCAAAATCAGGACATACGTAGTACAAGGGCCCATTTTACGTCAATTCCGCACGGAATTATAAACTGTCTATTTATAGAAAAGTGAGCAGACCTACTGGTTACGATTTGGAGCCAACAAGCTACTAGAAATCATAGAAAGAGTATTGATTTTGTTTCAAGTCTGGATTTGGAAGGAGACGTGGAAGCTAGATTACGTACTCGCTTATTTGTCACAATTGAAAGATCCCTATTAATTCAATGTTAGGGAATTTATATCGTTCAAAAGCTAGATGATGAGTTTATTGAGACATTAAATTTCCTTGAAACGATCTGAATTAATCATCAGAATAAACTTAAGTATATTCGGAAAGCTTAGAGTCTTTCATGTCGAGAATCTTGAATGAAAATTTCAATCTCATCCAGTTCATTAAGTTTCGACAGAAAATCAAGCGAATCTACTTCAACAAAATCGAGCTAATGTGGAGATCAGGAGATTTGAGATAGTTTGTAATCAAAAGGAAGCGGTGTAGATATCCTTCCCATTCTTCATGAGAGATCTCATGCCTCTTGAAAAGACTGATCTATAACACTAGGTCTCCAGCAACCTTCGATGCCAAATTCTCGAAAGTTAGAAAATTATTGAACAGTTGAGCAGTACGAGTGTTCTCTAGCTCTTTGATCAATTGAGAGCTGTACGGATATGAGAGTACAGCAGTAGTGGTCTATTATACTCTTCAAGGGTTTTGGTTACTACCGTATTGTATTATTGCACTATCCTCAATTCGCTGCCGTTGTATGCTCTTTTATTCTTCCTCTCATCTCATCTGCATTCATATTTACAATCAATATGACGAGATTCATCTCGACCTAACAAACTTCTAGCTCTAAAGTGATTAATTCTATTACTAGGGTAAACAATTCACTCGCCGATGATCGGGGCTAAAAGGGAAAAAGCAGATTTTGTCTCCATTAGAGAGTCCTTTTTATCCTGTCTCTCTTTTTCCATGGCAAAAGGCACCGGTGGTGAACCTCGGTTAGGTGATTCAGGAGGCGATTTCTACACCCAGTGTGTACCTACCAGTCGATAATTATTCTTCAGGTCCAGAACTACAATGCATTCGTCACAATTGGAAAACAGTCAAATCCAAATTAGCTTCGACTAATGCTATCGATTTTCCAGTTGCAGATACTTTATATCAATTGCGCCTCTCACCGACGAGCTTTGTCCACCATATGCTGCTTTGCGTTGATAAAAATTGAATGTCGAAGGAGTATGCTGTTGCTACTTAATTACTGTCTATTCGGATTTTATCGTTGTTTGTTACGATTTTATGGTTCTACGGATATTGCCTTGGAAACAAGTCTCCCGAAACACAAGATGTTTAATCTTTGATATGACTGTGCTAAACCAGAAGTAAGTAGTGCCATATCATTGTGTTGTTGGAAACTCCGTCAATAGCCCTAGCGGTTACAAAAATTCAACACAGCGTTGAAAAGGCATGGCTTCTAGCCGTTCTTTTCACTCCGTTGGCCTCGAACGCAACTCCACCAAGCAGCCACTAAGCTTTCCTGATTATCCTTAGCTTTAATACCGTATGTGTATCTTGGCATCTGAAGTGGCAAACCCTATTGTAAGGACTGTATGGCTGTTTCCTCAAGCGTCGGTTGGTCAATTAAGAATGCGACGACCACTTAAATAGAGATCCATGTTCTGTTTAAGTGAGGGGAAGCGGGGATCCTCAATCTTGCGAAAAATTGAAAATGTGAATGACCCCGGTCGGCACCTATTGACTTTGGAGAAAGAGTGAATTAGATCAAAAAAAGAAGGGAGAGGCATCACAAGTCTGTAAAAAAGCAAACTTTCTTCCTGAGAAATTCTGCATATATGTCACTAGAAATTGAGCAGACCCCTTCCATATGGTCTACGATGAGATATCGAGAATTCTTTCTTAGATTCAAGACTGTACACTTGAAAGACCCACCAATCCCTCAATACATATCCGAAGGAGAAAATCAGGTGTGATATTCCCGGCTGGTCAGTGTAGTGTGATGATTCATCGCCGAATATTTTACAATATCGTCTTTCACTTATACGTTCGTATTGTCGCTTATCTAGCCGCCACTTTCACTGTCGTCAAATGATACACCGATTTCCTTGACATACATGTTTCAGATATGCTGATATTGGTTTGGTCAACATTTATCTAGAGCTGTCATTCAGAAAGAAGCGCGTTTCACATTGTGCTTGATTATAGCTGCTCTAGATGTTTGCTTAAGTTGGTACCAGATGTTTGAGTGCAATTTTGTTAGTGTCTTCATTAGTCGTCCCATCTCATTTCTACTGTCTCTCAACATTTCTCACTGTCGAATTCAGTAAATTTTCCATTTCTATCACAGAGTCCCGGCCTCTGATCTTGAACCTGAAACTGGGATGCCAAAATCTAGGATATTTGTACTTCGATATTTTATTCGCACGCTTAACAGCACTGTATATGCCGCCCCTATGCGGGCTTTTGTGCGTTGTTTTTGGATAAACCATTTTGATAGAGAACATGTCACGAGGAAAGCTGGGAAGTGAACTACTAAGGGGAAGGACAGGAATCCGCTCGCTTAAGACGGGTGAGTGAATCATTTCCATAATTGATTTATTTATCTAGATGACTAACTTGTGGTATTTAATATTTTTTGTAGGATTTTTCTTGAGAAACGAGAACTAAATTCCCCTCACAGCATAGGAAGAGCTGAAGTGTCAGCTTGTTCCGCAACAAATTATTCAGAATTATTCCTGCACAATGAAACTACATGGGAAACAAGCGTCATGCATGATATACTCTATTCTATTCTAAATCTAAATCTCATCATCTTAATCCCGAAAACCACCTCTCTCCATACCCATCTCAAACTCCCCTCTACCAAGCACAGACCTCGCCCGTCGCCGCATCCAAGAAACTCCCTGACTGTTCCTTCTTCACCCCATCAAACAACCTCACCAACTGCTCAATACAATCCTCAAACGCCGTAGGCGCCTCTCCCATCCCCACTCCCCTCGCCGCCTCATTTCCCATATCCGTCTTGACCCACCCAGGATTAAAAACCACACTCGTCACCTCCGGCACCTCGAACGAAATCTTCCTCACCATATAATTCACCGCCGCTTTACTCATCCCATAAGAAGCAAACGGTACCCTAACCTTCTCACACCCAGCAATCGAACCCAACAACGAAGAAATAGTAAAGAAACGCGGATACTCGGAAGCGAGAAGAAGCGGATGAAATGCTTGAAATAGTAACAAAGGTGCAATAGTATTAACATCGATATGTCTCCGAATTGATTCCGGCGAGGATTCCAAAACCGGGACGATGGCATCAGATTCCATCATTCCAGCATTGGAGATGAGGACATCGAGTTTGGTGATTCCGTGTGCGGATTTGAGCTCGGAGACGGCGGTAAGGGGGTCGGTTTCGGAGTTGGAATCGATTTTTATGGGTATGATTTTGCTGTTTTGGCCGAGGGGGATGGTGGAGAAGATGGGGAGGGAGGAGGAGAGAGTGCGTACGGCGGCGATGATGGTGGTGTTTGGGCGGGAAACGAGTGTGGTGAGGAGACCTTTACCGATTCCTCGGTTGGCACCGGTGATGAGGTAGGTGGTTTCGGACATGATGGAAGTGAGAAGATTGATGTGATGAAGTGTGGCACTGAGACTTGAATGATAGAATCGTTCGAAGCTTGACTGAAAGCTATATCGCTTAATATTTCTTATCTGGAGGATATCAATGAAGTAATCTCAAAGCACTAACAGTTGGATAACTTATATCCAAAATAAAATCAAGGACATCAATTTCATCCATCCATCCATTCCTCTTATATACCAAAATCTCACGGGATGAAACCAACACTTCCCCACTGTTTTATCCACCCATTTATATGGATTTCCACTTCCGATGATTCATATCATGAAAACATTTCCGTAACACCGTATATAACGTAAGTGACTAGAAAAGCTTCATATGACGTCTTGTACACAAAGCCAAATCGACATCATATAGAACCAGCTCAGTTCCATCACGTGGAAAACAATTCCTAAACTGGACAATCGTCCTGGGGAATCGCCATTACCTAGGTATTTGTATCAAATGATCTAAGTAAATTTTCCTCTTTCTCCTTTTACCATTTATCACGCAGTAAGCAGCTCTACCCAATATCAGCATGAAATTTCCCACGGCCCGTCGACGAGTAAAAGCTAGACCGGCTGGCCCGGGTGCTCAATTGAATATAACAAAGATACACACTACCCCACCTCTATATAACCGAAATAAGAGACGGAAAATGAATACTATCTGGAAGGATTTTAATAATTTGAATTCCCTTTTAATATTACATTGAATATGTATAAATCTAAATAGCAATATAAAGAAAGCTCAAATTTTCGCTTGGTCTTCTCTAATGCAAATATTCAATTTGAAATGAATTTATAATTCATTTAAAAGGTCCTTTGAAAGAGAACTCAGTTTCCGCCTCTTATTTCGGTTACGTGGAGCCCACCTCACCTCACAAATCTAGCACGCGAGCACGCTTAACAATACCACAGAGTGCACTCGCGATGTAAAAAGGGGCTGTGTCCTGATGTGGTATGACAGGATTCGGCTACGGTATTAATTTATTGGCCTATCTTAATATTTCCATTAACATCCGCAGTTGCTTGCTTGCTCTCTTTAGTGAAATTTGTGTATATTACTTTGACCATATAATCGAACCATCACGACGGAGTCAGCAAAAGCATGATAGGCAGTTAGAAGGAAAGAAAACAAACTGTAGACTCCATATCAGTCACTCACATACACTCGCAACACTCTGTAAACAATACTAAATAAAACTCAATGAATCATCTATATATTAACAATATCAAGAATGAAGACTATATAACAATAGTATTTCTGCGTATGTCAAGTATAAATACCTCATGTCGATTCAATTCATCCTTGTCAAAAAAACTATTGTACCATTCATTCATTCATGTAGATGATATTTGCATCTTTCCCATCCAAAGGCTCCAACCGGTCGCATATAAACATTGTTCCTTTCCGTTTCCCTTTCCGTTTCCCCTTCCCGCATCGAGCTTTCCAACTATATAACCAACGCCTGCTCTGGATACATTTCCATTGAGTTGAGCCCCTCCCATGACGCCAAAATTTGTAAACCATGACTCCATTGCTGAAAGTAGCCAATTGTCGTAGATATCAAGCAGCGCCTTGACGACGATAAAAGATCATGACAGTTCGATAGCTTTGTGTGTCAGCAAAAGTTTTACCTGGTATCACTCTACTATCATTGAATTCGTGCCAATTATCGGTCCACCTGTTATTCGGATCTATCCTACGGACCAACGCCCAATAGTGCCCAGATTCCGTTGATCCACTGTGTTGTACCGCGGCATAACAATCATATAAGAATGGTGGTCTCTGATGCGGAAGAACTCGATCTGAATATCCGTCTCTCTGTGATAGCCAAGTGTACTCTGCCATATCAAGAACCAATGGAAAGTTTACTTGAACATTTAAGCGATTACCCCGTATTTCACCAGCCATTTGAGCTACCTTGAAAGGAAAGACGAGGTAGTCCGGGAGATTAGAAAAGAGCTGCCTCTGAATTTTGGTGCGCGAGTGTGTGACACCACATCCATCGCAATCCAATTCTGTTCTCTCTTCAGTCAGACAATACGTCCGAAGCAGAGAGTGCAAATTTTGATTTAATCCTCCATTCGGATCAACCCCTAGATATATTATAGGAGATAACATATCTGAGGTCACGCTAGTGTCCTTACAAGTCTGACAAACTATCTCATACATCTTTTGATTACAGACAAGTTTTGCTAGGGGCGAATTTAACGTTTCAAGGGCCCTTTCATATCCTTCACGACAATTTTGAGTTCTTGGCAATTCACTTTTCTCCTTTGGAGAAAAAGTTGAGACATCACCTAAAAGTCCAGTCTTGTCACGATGAACATTCTGTTCATCCATGATAACACCAAAAAGCCAAGCTAAAAACTCGTTGGCATCATGCTGTCTAGCAGTTCCAAAAGTTGTATCGGGTCTGTGGTCATGGTCACCAATGCGAGACTGATCAAAGCCTATGTAACCTTCATGGCCAACGGCGGTTGCATGGACGTATTGCTACAAATTGTTAGCCGATAGAATTCTTGGATTTTAAAAAGCTTACTTGAAACATTCTCGGAACAATCTCGTCATACTTTCCACACCACATATGCTGTAGCAAGCTGCGCAGAGCCCGGGTCATCAACAGCCTCGGGGGCTATCTTCGCCTGGTTTTTTCGGGACTTCCGGAACACAAGGATATTGGAATTTGATAAACATGTTCCTTATTCCTGGCGAGGAACCAATGGCCTGGACAACGGCATTCATGTAACAGAGACCACCCGTGATGTTTCTTAAACCACAAAGACCAGGGTCTGTTGCGGACGGAGCGCTAGAATTTCCTCCTGTCATGGCATAATTCTTGTAAGGTGTCTGTTCAAAAATGCCATTTGATCTCTGTCTTGGTAGAGCTGGTGGTGGACGAGTTGGTGGGGCTGAAATTTTTGATCCATCATAGAGAGGCAATGTCCTGGGCATTGATGGCGAGGCCATGGATTGCTTGATTGATGGAAGCTCTGGGTATCTCCTCATAAAGTCCTCGGTGGTTCTGGCGTAATAAGATTCGTCCATGGTAGAATCCTGAGCAGGTGACTCATCATCGGAATTTTGTTTTAAAGCTTGATCCCATTTTTCTTCCTCTGCCGCTGATAAAGTTCGTAATCTAGGTGTCCTCTTTGCGACTAAGCCTCTTCGAGCTATAGAAACTCGACCCAACCCTTGATGGTCATGTTTCTTGTTTTTGACCAGAGATTTGTTGCCAGGCATTTCGCTCTTTAATACATTTGGCCCAAAGAGGTCTATCCAAGAGTCTAGACCACCAACAAGTAACATCGGCCGTCGCTTTAATCGGTGATCGTAAGCATGATCGTAGATAATTTTACTGAAGTGTTGCAAATGATTAAGAGGTTCGCCTGGTATATGTTCCGTGTTTATTGGCATCGATGATTGATCGTAATAGACTATTAAGTCAAATGTATGCCTCTGATCGTACAACCTTTGTTCCGGTTCAGGAGATAGAACAATTCCCTCCCCGAGATCTTCTGCGGACATGTCTTTTCGTAAAGCTATAGGTTCAATGCAAATGATCGATGAGGCCATGATGTGCCCCTCATTGAATTCTTCTCTGCTTCTAATATCCACGATCAAGACACTCAGGGTTTTAGAGCCCATTTTGAGAAAACCATGAAGCTGCTCGGCAGTAATAGTTGTCGCGTTGAGTATTGATGGCTTGTCAATCCGGATTTCAGGCTCAGGATGACCATGATCAAATGTGTAATTATTGACCTCGGAGCTTGAGAAATAATCAGTTGCATCGTCAACTACGATTCGATTGCGAGAGACTTTTGCGACTGAACTAGAAGGCTCTCTTTTTCCATTAAAGTAGGAAGACCCTCGAGATAACAGTGGCGGTTGACTGTTGGTCGAAACCACGTCTGTACTACGTGCTGGACTATATATTGCATCCGGCATTCTCGGCATCATGGGAACACTAGTATCCATGTCAAGGATGGGCTTTTCTGTCTTCAGAGTTGCTGGACTCATTGGCATTTCTCTTGGGCCGAGAGGCCGCAATATACTCGCATTTTGCTTGTACTGCGATGCTGAATTGATTGGCTTTTGATCTATTTTGGTTTCATCTGGGATGGTGATTTGTTGAGTCCTAATCCTAGGATCTTGAGTAGGGGTTGTAGTAGTTGGACTCCTCAAACGGGCGAATCTTGCGGCCAAGTCACTCTCGGATGAGCTGGGCAGACTGGATGATATGCCATTTGCTGTTTGTATCGAATTGCCATGAAGCCCTTGTGGCTTCGGTTGTATCATTGGCTTTTGACGGGGTTCAATCTTTTTATTGGTTGAGTTGCTATTAACATCGGATATGGTTGGCTTGAATGCAATGTTATTGGTATTTCCAGGAACAGATTGTCCATTATATGGAAGTAAACTAGATGGGCTGACTCCGGTTCTTGTATTATCCTCCTTGATTATTTTCTTGACTTCCTCGAATTTATTATGTTGTGTATTGAGCCGTTTCTGCAAGCCAGCGTATAATCGAGTATAATCCGACCTACTCCTTAGATCTGGAAAATGCGGACTCTGGGGAATATATTCCACGGCTATTGTAAAGGCTATGATGTACTGTTGAAGAGCTAAGTCCAGGCGTTTAAAGTCGAGGTATGTTTCCGCATGTTTCGCAGCTTCTTCGCCAGCTTCCAGCAATTTCCGTAACGAGGACTGTCTATCGACAAGTGGTTTCGCATTCACCAGATCGTCTAGATGTGGTAGTATTCGACCATTAGCATTCAAAGTGCCGATACCATTAACGCCATCTTTCTTTGTGTTGTTGATTGGCCCAGTTCCATTGATTGAGGTAGTTCGCAAGTGGGGGCCACCGATGGCCGCTGGACTCATGGTTATAGATTTTCCAAATGCCGCTGGAGCATTCTGTTCTATGATGGAGGAGCTGGATGTCGAATTAAATTAAATCGTATTCTTTTAAGTTTTGGGTGGTTGAAAGGGAGACGGGAAATGACAAGAAATGTTCTGGGACCCGATATACGTGAACGGGGAATGTTCAAAGAAAGTTGAATGAAAGGAGATCAAAGAATAAATCGATCTGAAGACCGAGATGCGTTTATCGAGTCGGGAAAAGGTATTGTCGTTACTTGTTGTCTTTATTGTTGCTTTGCGCCACATGCATTCTTCGAAGGCTTGAATTCCTTATGCATCAAGTATGGAGGAGATCCGTGGACTTTTAGTAGAGTACGGATGGTTGTAATTCGTAGGTACCTACGTAGGTATGGTATAATCTTTATCGATAGTGGGCGGTGAGAGAGATTTGTTACTAAGTATAGTCCGTTTAGGAATGGATATAGGTGGTGTCCACGGTGGTAGTAAGTTGGGTTGGAGAATGAGTGCGTTCTCTTGATATCTTCTTTCCTAGACGCATAGAATATGAATAATTGACAATATTTCTATCGCGATGCCAAGACAGAGAGAGAGTATGTGGATGTAGTCATTAATATAGCACGAATCACCTGTATACCTTGAACTGTCGAACGGTGATTTGAATGATGTCTACTAGGTATTCGATAGGTACCAGGTCTCCCTAGTATGTGTGTGTGTGTTTGCCGCATGGAAATTGGATCATATTCAACGTGAACCTATCAACACACAATAAATTCACCCTCATGATGCTCAGCACGTGCCATAAAATGCCCATAGTAAGCACTTCTTGGACATACAAGAGCTATCTAGCTTTCTTAGTCATTTGTTTTAGAGCCACCCCCACCCCCATTGATTCAATCGTCACATTTACCAGCTTCGCATAACATCAACTTTACAATCAACCTCCCTCAATACACCGTACAAACATCCTCTTTACTGCAAACCCCTACGTGCATACTACGTATCGACCTACTTCATAAAGATCTAATTTAATCTCATTCCGCGTCAAATATTGGAGTATTCTATCGGAGAAAGGAACAGGGAACGAAAAGGCTGAGCCCTCACAAAACCATTTACCACTTCGTCATTTCGAAGCAGCTTTTTCTACAAATCACGAATACCTGACTATCAAATCCATAACACTTATCTCCGTCCGAAACCCAAGATTCGAGCATATCAATAATTTCTTTTCAAAGTCGCCAAGATGATGGCAGGATGGTTCGCATCCAACTCTGCTTTGGATGAGCAGATTGAAAAAGCTACCAACTCTTCCTTGTTAGTCTTGAATTCCATCGAGAAGAGGGGGAACACTGCTAACATCAATCAGAGAGGATATCGCACTCAACCTCGAGATTTCCGATGTGATCCGCTCCAAAACTGTACGCGCAAATGAAGCTATGCGATCACTGAAAAGGCGCATAGGCAACAAGAATCCCAACTTTCAACTCAGTGCACTAAATGTATAAACGACTAGGCTCCATTCATTGATGACTCTTTACTAATTCTGCTTACAGCTCACGGATACCTGCGTCAAAAATGGCGGTTCGCACTTCCTTGTCGAAATTGCATCGCGAGAGTTTATGGATAATTTGGTTTCACTTCTCAAGGCATATGGCGGGGCTGCAGTCAATGACGACGTCAAGAACAAAATATTGGAGCTTATTCAGAGCTGGGCTACAGCGACCGAGGGTCGCAGCGAACTGTCCTACATTGGAGAGACATATAGAGCTCTACAAAGAGAGGGGTTCCGATTTCCTCCTAAGACTGATGTCGCAAGTAGTATGCTGGATAGTAGTGCTGTGAGTAGATCATTGCTCCCTATTAGAATTTTATTGACCTGTTACAAGCCACCAGAATGGATAGACTCGGACGTTTGTATGCGATGTCGAACATCATTTAGTTTCACAAATCGAAAGCACCATTGCCGAAATTGTGGCAATGTTTTCGATCAACAATGCTCAAGCAAAACCTTACCCCTTCCCCATCTTGGTATTCTACAACCTGTTAGAGTAGATGATGGTTGTTACATAAAACTTACCGACAAATCTTCCAAGGCTCCTACATTTACCAATGAACGATCTCCTACGCACGCATCCCACCACAAACACAAATCAAACGCATCGATGCAACCTCGAGACGCCCGGGTGGATGACGGTTTTGATGAAGATCTCAAGCGAGCTTTGGCAATGAGTCTGGAGGAGGTCAATGGTCACTCGGGGGCTGGCTATGTTCCACAATCGAAACTTCAGCCTGTGCCAGAATCCCGCGAACCCCCAAGTAAAGGAGTTATAACAGACGCAGGCAAGTCTGGAGAGGAAGAAGATGACGATTTAAAAGCTGCGATTGCAGCATCGCTGGCCGATATGGAAGAACAGAAGAAAAAGCATACAGCTACCATCAAGGAGCAGTCCTCCACCATTAATTCGAACAACTCTTCCACAGGCCCCTTCAGTCTCCCAAAGAACGATTATGAGCTCACCCCTGTTGAGGCAGAGAACATCAATCTCTTCTCCACCCTCGTAGATAGACTACAGACCCAGCCGCCAGGGACAATTCTACGAGAGCCTCAAATCCAAGAGCTTTACGATAGCATTGGTACTCTTCGTCCAAAATTGGCCCGCACCTACGGAGAGACAATGAGCAAACATGGTTCGTAGTTATATAGCATTACATGTACTCTAGCTAACATTTCATAGATGCTCTACTTGATTTGCACGCCAAGCTTTCTACCGTTGTACGGTATTACGATCGTATGCTTGAGGAACGTTTGTCAAACACGTATAATCAACACAACATTGGGGGTTATAATCTTCCCCAGCAGGCTGCTGGACCTAGCATGTATCCTTCTATTTCTTCCAATGTACCTAATGGAAGTGGAGGGGCAGAAAGCTTTTATACGGGCAATTCTCAACGAGAACCTTACGCACCGCCTCAATCCACATATTCCTACCCTACCGGCCAACAACAACACCCTGCATACAACAAAGGGTCTTCTGTTTCCGATATCAATTATCCTACACTAGACCAGCGTAATGAGAACTATTCCCAGCCACCAGGGCATCAAATTCAACGTCAACATACTGGTAACTGGCAAACGAGTGAAATTGCTCCTCAATACTCGGCTCCACCAGCCCCTTTTTCACCCCAACAGCAACACCAGCCCCCCATCCAAGCTCAAACACCTCAAGGTGTTCCATCTCAACCTCCTGCAAATTTTGCCCCATCGGAGCCAATTAACAAAACATCTACGGATCCCAATGCAGCGGCTTACTACGGAACTCCAGCTTCTCATCAAACCCAACCAGCACAGGATCAGTCAAAACAACAGTATTCAGTCCAGTCACCTCCTCAGTACCCGCATGCACCATCGCCTCAACAATTTACCCATCAACCACCAAACCCACAAGAGCCATCGTATCCTACTCCTCAACAGCAACCCCCATACTGGCAATCACAGCAACAGGCTCCAGTGCCTCAACAATCATGGCCTGCGCCTCCTGTATCGAGTTATAACGGATACTCTCAAGAATCGTTCCCTTCTGCTCCACAAAATGTTCCGCAGGCTAAGGTGGTGGAAGAAAGTCTCATAGATCTTTGAGTTCATTCAAAGAAGCGAGGCGTTTTTTGGGTGCGAGTTGCGTCTATACATTTCTCAGTGTCTCAGTCGGCGGAGTTCATTTCGAGGCTGGAGTTAAAAGATATCATGGAATCGAATGAATTTACGGACGTCATATTCCCGGAGGAAATTGTATACTTATACTGATAGTGCAATGAAAACTGTCTTTAATTTGTGATTACAGATATTGTCCAATTCACCCATAAATACTTGATATGTTCATGACGTTGAAGGGAGGGAACCATGTGGATGTTCTTCTTAGTGCTACAGTGAAATGTCTGACTTTTCTGAGATTTATCGTCTTTGACTGTATAGAGTTCATTGGTAATAAGCAGGTCTCTATGTCTGTCTATTACTATTATGTGCTAAGCTTTCTTGGTACCTGTCTACCTGCTGGGTAGTAAGTATCTAGTTGAGTGTATCGTACGCCACTCTATGTTCCATCTTGAACTCTAAGACAATATACGCCATCCATACCTACCTTGATGACGCTAACTTGATTAGTTCTGACATGGTATGGACAGATATCCATATCCCTACGTAGTATCGGTCGCCTGCCTACCAAGGTCTGATTTGGGTTCGAATGGCTTGAAGCTAAAATCTAATTGACATCCGAAACATAATACTAGCACAAATAGATGTGCTCTTCTTACCTATTTCGGATGTTGATAGCTCAGAGCCCGAGCTTTCTTTCTTGATCTAAGGGTGACTAATCAAGCCCCTCGTACTACTAGCTTCATCAATGACGATATTGAACCCCACGGTCATTGGAAACCTTTACTGTAATTTAATTTCCATCTCATACATAAAAACTCGATCACCACAAACATTTCCCTCAAGTTCTTCTCAATAACTCCATACTACTCACCGACACGCAAATTATTATATCACATTTACAATCATATAGGTCGAATACATATAATTCTCGATATCCATTACAAGATGTCTCGCCACAAGTTTGTCAAAGCAATGGCTCTCGATTACGATGACGCAGATGACATTTATGAAGAAGATTACGATGAGGAGGAAGCTGGGCAAGGTACGAATGATGTTCTTTTTGCATATTTTCGACTGCCTCTTCGCAGACATTGGCTAATCCGCAGTATAAGAATTGAGCGAAGAGGATCAAGAGCAAATGCGAGAAGGAACAATCAAAGTACGCGAAATCTTACCGGCCGATTCGACCAATTTCACGGATAAGCAAATACAAGAAGCCTTGTGGCATTATTATTACGATATAGAAAAGTCAGTCACATACTTGCTCGGTACTTTAACGCCTAAAGTTCCCAAGAAAGCTGCTGGAAAGAAAGGTTCTGGTGAGTCGATTTCATTACGTCTTCAAAGTTTTTTTTTCTTCTGTGTTTTATCTTTTTTTTGTCGCATAACAAACACGTGCATTATTTGGACCGGAGGTGGGTTCCTCGTCTTACCCTTTTGTTGCCCTTCTTTTCAATGTAACTCTAGCTAATATTGTTGATAGATGTCTACAATGGAGATTATTCTTCCCCAATACATGCCACAACTTCGTCTGCCAAAGACTTCTTTGCTGATACGCTATGGTTCAAAATACCTCCTGAACGTCTCGCAAAATTCACACCTCCACCACGATTCCCAGGCGGGCTTTTGGGAGGTTCCTCTGGAGGTGCCTCTGGAGGTGCTCCAAAGATGTCAAAGTTACAGGCTTTAGCGGCGGCACGGAAAAAGAAGGCACAAGAGCAGCAGAGTTCGTCCTTGGAGGTCGAAAAGCCTATGGCCAATCTCTCTCTAGACCAAGCTGGGGGTGGAAGCGCAACGGAGCCGCACGATGATAAGTCTACACCAAGTAGCAGCGACTCTTTATCCAAAGATACGAAACATGGAGGATTTCCATTAAGGAAACGCAAAGATTCCAACCCGCACGAAAAGGTCCCTAAGCCGCAACCAAGCTCCAGGGGCTATAAGACAGAGATTGAGCCCGCAGTTGAAGAATCTTCTCCTGTCTACCAGGCTAGCCCATCTGCTTTCGCTAGCACCATGTTTCAAACTGCAAGCGCAAGTCCGAGACGCCCTTTGGAGAACAATTTTACCATGCCGTACACCTCAGAAGTCCTAAGCATGCCAGCTAACCCCTTTTCAGGACCTAGTCCAGACGACGTTGTAATAGCAGCGCAGTCGAAAGGTTCGGTACTTTCTGCGACGTCAAAGAAATGAAACTAATCATATAGTAGCCGCTGGTAAAGGAAAAAAGGGATCGGCAAAGGGACCAGCAAAAGTAGAGGTGCCAACTGATGTTGAAACACATAGAATTAAGAGCAAAGATTTAGATGTTTTAGCAGAATTCGAGAAAGCCAAAAGTAAAAATGCTGCGAACTTTGTAGTTATAGGTATATTAATATTATCAAGTCTTCGCTCCACTTTCTAACCTTGACAGGTCATGTTGACGCTGGAAAAAGTACTTTGATGGGTCGTCTGCTTTACGACCTAAAAGTTGTAGATCAGAGAACAGTAGACCGTTATCGTAAGGAGGCAGAAGCAATGGGCAAATCTTCATTCGCTCTTGCCTGGGTTCTGGACCAAGGAACGGAAGAACGTAGCAGGGGAGTAACAATCGATATTGCGATGAACAAGTTCGAAACCGAAAAGACAGCATTCACAATTCTTGATGCTCCTGGTCATCGCGATTTTATTCCGAATATGATTGCTGGAGCAAGTCAAGCAGACTTCGCTGTGTTAGTAATTGACGCCAGTGTAGGATCTTTTGAGTCGGGATTAAAGGGACAGACGAAAGAACACGCATTATTGGCTCGAAGTATGGGTGTTCAACGAATCATTATAGCAGTCAACAAATTAGATACTGTCGGTTGGTCGCAAGAACGTTTCGATGAAATCTCACAACAAGTTTCTGCTTTCCTTACAGCAGCTGGATTCCAAGAACAGAACATCAAATTTATACCTTGTTCTGGCCTTCATGGTGATAATATCGCCAGAAAATCAACAGAACAAGCAGCGGCTTGGTATACGGGACCAACTCTTGTAGAGGAACTCGAGCATTCTGAACCAGTAGCCAGAGCTCTGACCAAACCCCTTCGCTTAACCATCGGCGATATCTTCCGCGGCGGCGTACAAAATCCTTTGAGTATATCCGGACGTATCGAAGCTGGCTCTCTTCAAGTGGGCGATCAACTATTAGCACAACCTAGCAACGAAAAATGTTTCATCAAAAGCCTCGAAATGGATAACGAACCCGTTGATTGGGCAGTCGCGGGCCAAATCATCACAATCCATCTTAGCGATATCGATCAAGCTCATCTCAAAATCGGCGATGTCCTTTGCACACCCAGTCAACCGATTAGTGTTATTAAAACGTTCACAGCCAAGGTTCTGGCATTTGAATTCTTGACCCCAATGCAAGTTGATGTTCATAGGGGACGCATGCATACGGCGGGTAGGATTAAGGAGTTGGTGGCGGTGTTGGATAAGGGGACGGGGAAGACGATGGGGAAGAAGAAACCGAGGATTGTGAAGCCGGCGCAGGTGGCGAGGGTGCTGGTTGAGTTGGAGGTTCCCGTGCCGCTGGAGGCACCCGGCAGGGTTATCTTGAGGTGTGATGGGGTGACGGTTGCGGCGGGGTTGTTGGAGTAGATGGGTAGATGGATGGTGGGGGAGGGGGAAAGGGGTGGAGGGGTGGGGAGAAGGGAAGAGAATAATAAGCACATGGGTTGAGAATTGGATTGGCTATATATGTCCCTTATGGCGTGGGAGGAGGGGATTAATATCAATTCTTTTTATGTTTTTATGTAAAATCTTGGGCATATACACGATAATACGAGAGAGAATGAAATATAAATTGCTCATTCCTTGTTCCTTATTCGCTACTGATATTGATATTAATCTATGAACACCCATTCATATATGTGTAATTGTACATCTCTACTCGTCTTACAGTATTCGTTTTCATTTCCATATTCCAAATTTCATATTCGACAAATATACTTGCTCATTACTCACATTGGCATGTTATCCCTTTATTTCATTTAAATTCTACAAGTAGGTAGGGTAGGTGTGAGTATCCAGAATCCACCTTTTTTCGGACATCAATCTATAATCACGAATGAGCCCACACTCCACTTCTCCGAGATTAATCTCACGCATGCGTGCTGTAGATTCTACATTGCTGGATATTATCATATCATATCGCATCACATCACATCATCTCATAGCCGCGCAGGAAAATACTAAATTAATCTAGCGCGCTCTCTCCCTAGACAGGTAAATTTATTTTCCAACCACCCTCACTCATAAGCGGTTCCGCGATACGTTTAGCGAGGTGCAAAAGATGTTGATCGCAAAATGGAGCTGCGATAAGTGATAGACCGATGGGCATGTTGTTGGGACTGATGAATGCGGGGATATTGAGGACGGGCATGTGGGTTGACTTTTGGGGTTGGAGGGTGTGAGTGGGGTTTGTTGATGTAATAAGATGCGGATGGGGATGGGGAGGGGGAGGGAGATGAGTGTAGGGAGGGAGCATGAAATATACGCACTGTCCAGAAGAAATTGAATACCGAACTTCCCATATCGTGCAGACCGAGAGGTGCTTCGTCTGGGACGCTGGGAGCGAGAATTGCGTCGTATTGGGAGAGGATGGAAGAAGTGAAGGTTTTTCGGATAAGGGCGAAGTATTCGAGAGCTTGGAAATATTCTTGTGGAGTGTGGGATGGGGTTTCGACAAGAGCGCGGATTTCGGGGTGGAGTTTTGATTTATCCGTGTTGTATTCTTGGCGGAAGGATGATTGCGCTTCGGTTTCGTAGATGGTGTTGAAGTTTTGGGTGAGGATTTTGAAATTGGTGTATTCTGGGGGAAAGGGACTTGATCAATTTTGATACCACGGTTGTGGAGAATGGTGAAGGCGGAATTCATAGCGGTGATGGTGCCGGGGCCGGCTTGATCCCACATTGGAGTTTGCATGAATGCTATTTGTATTTCTTTTAAGGGTATGGTCTTGTGAGGGTGTGCGTCTTTGAGGCAAAGGACATCAGCAAGTAGTCGGAGATCCTCGATAGAGCGAGCAAAGAAACCGAATGTATCGAGAGAGATTGAGCAGATCTTTTGGCCTTCGAGAGAAATTGCATTGTATGTTGGTTTCATGGCAAAAACACCGGTGTACGATGCTGGGCGGACAAGACTCCCGCCCGTTTGGGTCCCAATACTGAGAGGGACTTGAAAGTCGGCGACTGCTGCTGCTGAGCCTGTAGATGATCCGCCTGGAGTGCGGGTTACATTGTGGGGGTTGGTAGTTTTGGGACCGCTGTTGAGCCAGGTGAGTTCTGGTGTGGTGGTTTTACCTGGGATGGGAAATTATCTATCGTAGAAGTATAACAGTATAGCACTGTATGTGTAGCTGCACGAACCAAAGATAAGAGCTCCAGCATTCCTGAGTATGGAAACTGCAGATGAATCAAGAGTCGGTTGATTTCCCTGGTATAATGAGCAACCAAACTCTGTAGGCATATCTACATGCATGTCAATAAGTGGGAGCTTGGCAAAAGAAATTTGAACCACCCAACTTTCGTGTTAATGGAATCTTTGATCGCGATCGCGAGACCGTGGAGCGGACCCCGCTGTGTGGGAGGGACTCTATCCAGTGCTCGTGCTTGTCTGAGTATCTGTTGTGCATCTGAGGTGGATGAAAATCAATATATTGGGACTGCGAATAGTATTACCCTCTCCTCGCCATCTACCTTTGACCAGGTATCACAATGGTAAGTTTTAGACGAAGCAAAACTAACCCATACATGCCCATGCTTTTACAATATCATTCCTCTGGTCGATGCGATGTAGAAGAGACCGCGCATAGTCCTCAACGCTGACAACATTATCCTTGAGTAGAGAAAGAATTTGGGTAGCACTCAAAAGACACAACTCTTCTTGTCCCGGCATTGTGTATTGATGTTTGGATGTTTGAGATGAAGCTGGCTAATGAGAAATACCTAGCATGAGTTGAATGGAATGAGAGGGGGCTATATCACGGGCTTTCAATTCAGCCAATTACAATGATTGAAAAAGAGAATTCACGTGAAAGGAGCATAGAAATGTCTTGTTGCATATCTGATTATCAGCAACCGACATGGATAAAATTGGCAGTTAGCATGGATGTTAAATAATGATGATACGATTGGTTAAGATGACTAAACTGGCTATAATCCTCCTTGCATAGCTTTAGACGGCGCAATTACAATCCTTCCAAATATTAGTCTTCTCTCCCCTTTTTGTTACATTCAACGCAACATATTCGACGGTGCCCAATTTTGGTGCATCTTCCTTTGAGCATAAAATGCATTATGGCTGATCATATATCGTCTGAACCTCCTCAAAAAGAGAAGAGGTCTCGGTCTAAATTCAAAAAATCTAGAGGTGCATGCCTCACTTGCAAGTATGTATCTTACATTCACCGTCTTCCTCAACACCATAATTTTCATTTCTTACTTGGATTATCATGATGAGCAACATTGGTCCGTGTTACTGAGCGGCCTCAAGAACCGCATCATGGCGACTACCAATTGCACTATGTGTACCTCTGATCTCTATTTCCCCCCTCTTTCTGTTTTTGCAGTTGCAATCCTCCCAGCACAATCTCGAGGGGAAGTTAGCTAACTCAAAACTTAAGAATCCGACACATAAAGTGTGACGAAGGTAAACCAAAATGCGTAAAATGCAGCAGTACCGGTCGAATCTGCGAATATCACAATCCTCAAGATGAAGCTATTGTGCTCTCGCAAAACCACGCGCAGAGTCGCGTCACCATTGTCCCAGGACCCGGTTCTACTCGCAGTAGTAAAGAACATCGATACTTTGATCAATTTCGTCACAGAACTATGTATGGATTGATGGGTGTTAACCAAGATTCCGAATTTTGGCGTTCAATGATATTACAACTCAGTGAAGCTTATCCTGCGGTTCTTCATGCTGTAATTGCCATTTCGGCGTTACATGAACATATATCTAGACCTTCTGCTGCCACCGAGCGAGTGTATCTTCAGCAATATAATAAATCGATTCGACACATTCGTTCCCTTGAATCTGATAACAAAATACAAGTAACATTAGCTTGTTGCATAATATTTGTCTGTTTGGAAAATGCACGAGGTAATCATGAAAGAGCACTGGAACATCTGGAGAATGGATTGCGGGTATACAATGTATGGGCACTACAAGATGTTCGGCCAGCAGTGAAACAAGCCCAGGAGAAGATTCTGGAAATAATTACCCGATTTGACGTCCAAGCGACTTCATTCTGGGATTCTCGCAAACCACTTTTAGTTCCCGATAGCAATTCCAAAGAGCCCGAATGCGGAGATCGATTCCCCAGTCTCCACGCCGCAAGCATCGCACAGCAATTCTACGAACTCCGCATTTTCTACGTTCTCACAGCCGTTTCTCCAAAGACATCTCGTCACGAGCGTCCCGCTACTTTCGAAGCCATGTTTCCACATCGAACTAAACTTCTCCACTCCTTTAATATCGGTATGTTGAATTGGAAACGTGCTTTCGATGGCCTATGCCATGCGGACGCTCACAAGTGGAGTGCTTCAGAAATCCATCGAAGTCTTCTCCTCCAACTCCATTACCAATCGCTCTCTCTCGTCGTCGATCTCCGCGCAAATTCAAGAGTAGAAACAGATCTGTTACCTGCATCCGAAACCCAACGTTTCCAAGCTATTATAGATATTTCCCGCTCTGTGATCATGCATGCAACATCGACGTATAATGACAACTTCCTAACAGCAGATGGAGGAGTTATCGCTCCATTGTATTTTATAGCTATGTCGGCTCCAAATCAACATTTGTATGAACAGGCGATAGAGCTTCTGAAAATGGTGAAGAAAAAAGAGGGATTTTGGCAAGCGTCGGCGGTTCTAAAAGTTGCGGAAAAGGTGGCTGAAAGGAGGAGGGAAGGAACAGGGGACCACTTACATGGTGGTGTACTGGAGTTGGCGGAGTTGGCAAACGTTAAATTTAGGACTGAGTTGTTTCCAGAGAACGAGGGGCTGGTGGAGGGAGAAGCGGGGTTGGCTTATAGATTAGAGAGGGATAGGAAATTTGAAGATAGCCGGCTGGCTGATTCTGGGTTTGTCCAAGAAATAGAAAAGGAGATTCGAATGCCGATAGTTAGTTGTGGAGAACTTCCGTTTGGAGATGATGGACTTTGGGAAGCCCTCTTGTAGATCTTGTTGATCATAGGGTCCCAGGCAAAGATAGATGGACCTTGGGAGGGGGCAATTAACAGATGTGAGTCCTTCGGATAGGTAGGTAATATATATTCAATAATGAAATCTCTGGATCCATTCTCTCTCTCTCTCTATCTCACGACTTAAGGTTTAGCATACTCCAACTTGACTTGAAGTCAACTACCAAGTGGCACAATGCGATGTCAGATGATATCATCAAGATTAAGATCAAGTCAAAATTACGGTAAGAGCAAAGGAAAACAAAACACATGAGAACACACACACATTCACACTCTCACATGAAGTTAAAATGTCAAAATATCTTAAATACTCAATTCTTTTTGTATGAATGACGCCCCCAATGGATTACAATGCATAGCTTTAAAGCTTTCTTTTATTTCGCCTACATGTAGCTTCCCTTTAACTCAGGTCCATCCATCTGAACCAATCAAAGAAAAAAATCATCATAAAAGTGTAGTATATCAATTCCGTGTCTAGACTTTAACTAACTACAACTCATCGTGGCCCTCTGGCTCATCATCACCACCTGGTCCACCAGCGCCACTGTACAATTTGCTGGTGATTGGGTAGGCGACGTTGGAGAGTTTCTCCTTTTGTTCTTCGAAGTCCTCGGCGACTGCGGTGGCAGCGTTCTCCTCGAGCCATTCAGTGGCTTCCTTGACGGCATCCAAAATCTAGAGGTATCATTAGTATGATATAAATTGCGAGTGAAATGATGAATAACTTACGGTCTCCTTGTCATCCTCGTCGATCTTGCCACCAAGACCCTCATCATCGTTGACTTGGTTCTTCAAGCTAAAAGCGTAGTTCTCAAGACCGTTACGGGCCTCAATGCGTTCCTTGGTAGCTTTGTCCTCATCGGCGTACTTCTCAGCTTCTTGAACCATACGGTCAATTTCTTCTTGAGTAAGACGTCCCTTGTCGTTGGTGATGGTGATAGACTCGGACTTTCCAGTACCCTTGTCACCAGCGGTAACCTTCAAGATTCCGTTGGCATCAAGCTCAAAGGAAACCTCGATTTGTGGGACACCACGTGGAGCTGGTGGGATACCAGTCAACTCGAATTTACCGAGGTTGTTGTTACTAAGAATTTCGTTAGAATCGTGTATTTCTGAAATGTTTAGATGAGCTAAAACTTACTCCTTGGTCATGGTACGTTCTCCCTCGTAGACTTGAATCAAAACAACTGGTTGGTTGTCGGCGGCAGTAGAGAAGATTTGAGATTTACGGGTTGGGATGACAGTGTTTCTTGGGATCAACTTGGTCATGACACCGCCAGTGGTCTCAATACCAAGGGTCAATGGGTTGACGTCCATGAGAACAATATCCTCAGTACCTTCCTCTCCGGACAAGACACCACCTTGAACAGCGGCACCGAAAGCGACAGCCTCATCAGGGTTAATACCCTTGCTGGCCTTCTTACCTCCGAAGTACTCCTCAATGAGTTCTTGAACCTTTGGAATACGGGTAGAACCTCCGACCAAAACGATGTCATCGACTTCACCCTTCTTGACCTTAGCGTCCTTGAGGACTTGTTCAACAGGCTTGAGGGTCTTCTTGAAAAGATCCATGTTAAGCTCCTCGAACTTAGCTCTGGTGAGAGTCTCGGAGAAGTCGTTGCCATTGTGGAAAGCTTCAATTTCGATACGAGTGGTCTTTTGGGAAGACAAAGTACGCTTAGCCTTCTCAGCCTCACGCTTAAGTTTACCCATAGTCTTGAGATCCTTGGTGATATCGACACTGTTCTCCTTGTTGTACTTCTTGGCGAAGTAGTTGATGACTCTTTGATCGAAATCTTCTCCTCCCAAGTGAGTGTCACCGGCAGTAGAAAGAACCTCGAAGACACCGTGATCAATGGAGAGAAGGGAAACATCAAAAGTTCCTCCACCAAGATCGTAGACGATGATTTGACGTTCACCTCCAGTCTTGTCCAAACCGTAAGCAATAGCTGCGGCGGTAGGTTCATTGACGATACGGAGGACGTTCAAGCCGGCAATGATACCAGCATCCTTAGTAGCTTGTCTTTGGTTGTCGTTGAAGTAGGCTGGAACAGTGACAACGGCGTGGGTAACAGTCTTTCCGAGATAAGATTCGGCGACTTCCTTCATCTTTCCGAGAATCATGGCGGAAACCTCCTCAGGAGTGAAGGTCTTCTTTGATCCCTGGTATTCAACTTGTACGGAAGGCTTGCCATCCTTTTGGACAACATCGAATGGGAAATGCTTCATGTCACCTTGAACATCCTTGTCGTTAAACTTGCGACCGATCATACGTCTGAAAAGGACACCTGTCAGTTTTGAAAACTAGTGAATCAGATGCAATTGAGAACTTACTTGACATCGAAAACAGTGTTCTTTGGGTTGGCAGCAGCCTGGTTCTTGGCTGCATCTCCAACTAATCTTTCTTCGTCGGTGAAGGCGACATATGAGGGTGTAATTCTGTGTCCTTGATCGTTTACCAAAATCTCAACTTTTCCCTTTTGCATCACACCGACGCAAGAGTAAGTAGTTCCGAGATCGATACCAATAACTAAATGGTAGAATTGTCAGTAAGAGATATTCTTTTTGGGGGCAAAGCATTGCAAAAGCTTACCTGTGCCATAAGATTCTTGCAGAGGGTCCTGATCGGACTGTGCATGTGCTGTTTGGAAGAGAGCGAGGGGAGAGAATAAGAGTACAAGGTAGAAAAGTGCAGACAACCCTACAAAGAGGGAAGATCTGTTTCCACTGGCCATGATGATATGTTTACCAAGATGGTTTTTGGGAAAGAGTGTGTGTTGTAAAGAAGAAATCTATTCTTGAATGTAGAAAGTAAAAAGGAAAAGGTCAACAGGTGGGAAGAAGTCGACTTTATTAAAGCTTTCTTGATGAAATGGAAATCTGTCCCAAATGAACTTTTGAATTTGATGATTGGTTCGGTTAGGTGATAGGCATGGGAAATAGTTAATCCGAGTCACTTATCGCAGATAATGGAAGAAGCTTGTAGAAAAGGACACACTTGCAGCTTCTAAAGAACAACTTTAAATAACCTCCGCAGGTAAGAATCATTTATTATTCATCATGCAACTCAATTGAGTGAATGAAATAGATGAATATGGATTGCAAAGTGTATCAGCTGCGGCAAGGCATTGACATGGTGGCGATCTGTCTTCTACTAATCGTCAAAATCATGTTAGCCACCTAGGTTGTTAGGTAAGGAAAAGTAAAAAGACACATAGTTATAGTTATAAGTATGTTTATAAGTATGTATACAATAGGTGTATAACACAGTACATACACATCTATGTATATGAGGCGAGGACACTTTACATCGGTAGTTGAGGACACTTTGAATAGGTAGTTGAGGACATTTCACATACTCATTTCACATTACCTGGCATAATACTACCAACATACAAAATTAGATTCGCAAAAGCATAGTGCATTTATATGACTACGTGTTATCAAAGGAAGGTTTTTTGGTGATGTTTGCTTAGCAGTAGGTATCGCTGGCCTTATATCAGTGCATGACATTACCATGACACTACTCAGTAGATGAGATCGAGGCTAAATCGATTGCATTCAGCTTACATTTCCTCTTGTATGAGACACCCATTAATTGCCTAGTCACTATCATTAGTCAGTTTCAAGGGGCTATGAAGACATATGAAGACAAGCAGTACCATCTAGAAATTTCTACCAAATGTCTAGAGTTGTTGATCTATCTACATACATCGTTGTGTCGTAGTATACAGTGGATAGCTTTTTTATAAGATATCACCCCTCACTATGACGCAAACCCCATATAATAAGGAAGAGCTGACCTACCCGTTCCGTTGACCCTTAGAATCTACAGACTGCGGTGTGTGATAGCCTAGGTAACTTAGATTTTGAAGAACTCGGCTCTTGTACCTATAATAGCTGTCTGTAAAACTTACCTGACATGTGATTTGTTCACGTGTTTTGAAGCACGTGTCAGAGCGGGTTGAACCATAATGGATTGTGACACTCACGTGCCATTCAATTGATGAATGGTGAATGACAATTCACCGGAACCACCGACGAACATTTCAATCTTCCTTTATCACTCTGTAACTATGTGGAGAACTCAAGCACCGTCGTACATTGCCTACAAAGTGTTGTTTTTACTTCTTTCCTCTTTCCCCTCCTCATCGCCAAGATCCAATCTCACAAATGACACCTAGACCCCATCGGAAATCGTTCTATTTATTGATATGATGCATATAATTCTTAGACATGAAGTGTCAGCTCTATACCTAGGTCATTGAGGTAAACATTGCGAAGATCTGAGCTATCGAAATTTCGGAATACAAAATAGAAAATTTATGTAAGATCACAATTCTATTGCTTTGTTATATTGACTTTTTCGCGCTTTCTTCATGTGCGGCGTGTAAGAGGAAAGATGTCAGCAACGGTGTATCTACACCAGTGGTAGTACAACCTTAATCAGAATCCCTGTTTAGACGTACCTGATACTCTAACATGTGTGTGTAGCATTTTCATCTGGCTTCTTTTTCAAGCTTATTTATTCCTTTAATTTTGCGACAGCGAGAAAAAGTAACTGATCAAAATCCTCCAGCCTTTCCAGCCCCTCCAGCCCTCCAGCCTTCAAGCCATGTGTCAGGCGTTGATACAACAGATCTACACAATGTGTAATCTGCACATAATATCATCATAATATGGCTTCGGTGGCTTTTTCCACTGCTCGATTTCCCTGTTTGATTCTAGTCCCCTGCCTCAATCATGCTCTTCAACAGAACTAATTTTCTACAAAGTACCCTGAAATTAGCGAATGAGACAGAGTGGTCTATCCATTGCAGTAACTCTGTGGAGAAAGTGGTACGAGCAGCGAGGCGAAACGGTGTAGTTCCCCGTCAGTTTAGTATCTTTTTTGATGAAGATACGGGCAGGAGCTGGTCCAGACTTCTCACAAGGATACTGCTTCTCCACTGATTTCCCCCCTTTCCCCCCCCACTGCCCCCCCGTATTCTTCATCTGGAATGATATTGCTATCGCCCGTGCACAAATTACCTAACGCCGATAGAGTTAAAGAAGATTGTTTATGTCAGTTGTACCCACTTCTATCGGGATTACCGTATGATTTGTGCAAAACTTATATCCGGCTCTTAGACCTGCTCGACCTGGTGGACTCTTTCTCTTATCGTATCTGTTTTTTTACCTATGAAGCCGCTTCCGACTTACAACTTACGACTTACGACAAGCTTTTCCTTGTTGATAGAGGAAAAGCTGTTTACTGATACCTATGTAGAGGTTATATCATATATGAGCTCCACACCGCTAGTCATTTTGGAGTCAAATACGACTACTGCGTTGAGCTGCATTGATCAAAAAGAATCATTGAAAAAATATACTCGGTGTCGGCGTCTCTCGTTCAAAAGGTCGGCAAGGTCGGCCTTCATTTAGCAATATTTTAATTAATCAATTAGGAAATTCAATCCTTCCTTGCATAAATGATCACAAAAGCTCTCTGTCAGGGGCTTGGGCTTTCCTTACATGCGCTTTGCTCCGCTTGGCGCTCGTGGATCAAAAAATTTACTTTGAGTAAGGCTGGTTCTATTAGTGCTCTCTGTACATCGAATGATTTAGTCTGTGTAACCTGTCCGCGGCTGTTTTTGACAGAACCCAAATATTGACAGCGACTCATTAAACTCATATCGCTTCAATCGCTTCAATATAGACTCGTGTTTCTCATCTCTTTGGATGAACTTCGGTCTTTCTGCCCTGCTCTCTGCCCTCGTTTATTCCGCTTACCCTGGTAATTTCAACAACGTTACACTCACTCAAAACCCCTCAGCGCTTAAACCAAACTCTGGGGAATTTCTAGGATCTCTGTCACAAGAACACACTATTTTGCATGAAACAGAGACCGAATCAGTAAGTCTGACAACTAAGAATAAAATGAAATGATGCTAAATACATATCTTTACCTCACTCCGCCCGTTGGCAGTAGACTTCCGCCCTCTCTGCTAAACCCGGCCCCCAGTATGTAAGGATCCTTCTGCCATCTGTGGGCATGCGAATATTGACCCGTAACGGATGAAATGAGCTTCCTAATATGTATAAGTGCGTAGTATCGTATGGTACTGTTCCATTTATGTTGGTGACTGGGGTATAACCAGCATTTTGATTTGGTTCCAAATGCTCGGGTCTGAAAATCATCACATGATAGTCATCTGCGTTGGAGGGTGTTCCCTGCCATCTCTTGTAAGCATCTTAATTCATTTTGGAAAATCCAAGGAAGAAAACGAGGAAGTATTGGAAGAAAGAAAGCAATGGCAAGTGATTATGAGATCAAAGTATACATTACGAATATAAGAGAAAAGAATATACCGATTCGAACGCGCGGCAGAGAAGCGACGGTGCGGCACTCTCTTGAAGGGTTCACAAGAAGGACAGTGTGGCGGCAAATTGTTTCTTCAATGAAGTAGAGGGGCGGTAAGTGCGGTGCGACTGTATGTCTGTGCTCTTCGATATCAATTTGCTAAACAAGTAGTAGAGTGACATGGGGAGAATGTGACCAATCTTTTATCATAATCCTTGACTGATGCCCCAGCACTTAGTAAAATTCATTGGCTATGGCTTTCAATAATTTCTTCAACGTATATATGCAAGCTCCACTTCAACCTTTCAAGTGATGCGGGCTGCATTTTCACATCATGATAAAAGAGGAGCATCGTTCGAGAATGGCTAGTTGCAGTCTGATACTTGCGTAGACAATACTACCTGACCTAGCATGACGACTCATCAGATGCAAGATATCAGATAAAGCCCACCAATGGAAAAAAATGCCTGAAAATCAGTACATATTCGCAAGGTTAAACTCAACGCCATACATAAATCAGTCTCAGGTAGCCAATAGTCCCCCGTATCACTTCTTCAAAAACCCAGAGCCACGGTACCTCGCTGCGATATTGCCAGAAGAAGTTTACCTCCAAATCTCCAGATTGCTTAGAAATAATTGTCTCGAAACCACAAGAACAAAATGAGGAAAAATCAAACACACGACTGCGGTAGCCAGTCTGTACACATAAATTATAATGCATGTCCTTGTTGGAGAAATTTGCCTCGCCGCTTGATGCCGACATAGCACTGTCTCAGCAAAGCTATCTGGCATTCCTTCTTTTTCCATACATTAGATCAAGTTGGTGCTGTGTTGGGTTTCTCTCATAGGGCGTATATAGGGTTCTCTGGCCCTTCATAGTTGTGGACATTTATCCAGACCCTGAATCTGTTTATCAATATCTTCAGAAACTTTATCTTCTTGCACTTGTCTTCCTTCTTCTTTTTATCGACACAGAAATATTTCGAGATCATTTAACATCTCCTTGAATACTTATCACAGCTAAAATGCCAATGAAAGTGGAGCCGTCATCCCAAAAACCCTCAACTGTTATGGGAATTACATCTGTTGTTAATAACCCTGAAAAAGCTGTAACCCAGAAAATGGATATTCTTATGCTTTTGAATCCTTCAGATGCCGAAGTAAAATCAGAAGGACACCCTGATAACGACATGCCTGATTCGAAGATCGATCTTGACATTCAACATCACCAGCCTTCGACCTATGTACAACAGGTATTCAGCGGACATTCTTCAGAATCTTTATTCCAATATCAAGCTCGGCTCGAAAGAACCGAAGCTCAAAATGATGCTACACGAAGTGGAAGAACACAACTTCCTCCGGCCCCTATTCATAGCCGTCCCACGTCCTTCAATCCGATCAACGCCCACCATAGATTCATAAACCCGTATCCTTTACCCCCAATCTATTCTCTTCCAAATGACAGATATCATTCCCGATCTCTAAGTCATTGTCACCGCCATGACCGTCACCATTATGATCGTCATCAGCCTCCCCACCGTCGTCATTCCCAACCAGTCTCTCCATCTGACAAGAAGAAGCCTCGCAGCAACAAGGCTTACTCTCTTGAAGAGGTCGATTTCATTCGTTACCACAAAGAAGACTTGAACAAGCACTGGCCCGAGGTTCTACTTTGCTTCAGAAAGCATTTCAAAGTATATCAAAGAGAGTCAGAGCAATGTCTTTCATCGAGATACTACAGGGATAACAACATCAGGATGTACGATGAAACCGGCAGAGTAATGCGAGATGAGAATGGAAGAATCAGATATATCTCAGCCAAGGTTCGAAGAAGAGGGACGCCAGCGGGAAGATTAGAAGGAATACCATACACTCTTGTGCAAAAACATCCAGAGAGAGCCATGAAATATTCTTGGGTCTCGGAACAGCACAGGAATGAAATGAGAAGATTGGCAGAAGATATGAATGATCAAGACCGAGGTACGTGCTTTTCACCTCCATATTTTATTGATACCGGTATACATATAGCTCGACAGACAACTAATAACCATGACAGAGCAATTCAACTCACTGAGAGCACAACAGTTGAGAAAGGATGAGCAAGAACGAGGCGCGGTTGATACCACATCAGAATCTGTAGATGAGTCGATGGATGAGTTTAGCGGCTATGAAGACTCGCCGACACCATCCATTGCTCAATCTTCCCCTCGATCTTCTCCTTGAGTCGTTTTCTCATCCAATCAACTGTTCTATATAAGCCTCTGAGGGATTTAAAAGCTAGTGGTGTGTTCTCGAAAAGGAATTTTGGTTCTTGCGTTATCTACTTCTCACGATTTTGGCTCTTGTTTTGTCATTCATTACGTTTGGTATATTGGTATATTGGTATGCTTCACTGCGTGTTGAAAGTTGGGAATGTTGATTGATTCCCGTGCACATCATGGTATAACGCTAGATTTATGCTAGTTGGTACAAATTTATGACAAGGAAATGACTTTAATGATTAGAAACAGGCTCTTTTCATACGCTTTCTTGTTCTCCATGATTGTGGTTACTATTAGTGCACAAAATGATATTTGTTTTTGGCAACAAACAAACTATGGAATCTGGGCAGTGAGACAGTCGGAGTGAATTTTTTCATTATTCTTGTGTATTGTTTGCCATGGATCCAACAATGCAAAATTTACAGTCCTCAAGCCGTTTTCGATATTCGAGAGCAATAGGAATTCCTCCTCTGCACAAGGTTGCACAAAACACTTCGGCATCTTTCTTCCATGGCTATGAAATTGCATGATCCACGTCACATCTCATCGTGCAGAAATAACGGCTTAAAACTTTATCACCGCCAATAGTAAAAATATCAGTACGCTAATCTACTACCTGGCAAATTCGAACTTCATGCTCATAAAGATTGACCACCATAGACCAACTAACAGACCGGCGTTTCTAGTCCACCAATCTGAAAGTCGGCGATGAAATGTAAATTTGCTCAAAGTTACAGAAATATGTTCAATACCCTGCAAAAACCCTGCGCTCATCTCGCGTTGGATCCTGTTTTGTGAATTTGCTAAAAATCTGTCGACTCCCCTTATGTCCGTTGACCCGGGAAACTGGTACAAGATTTGGAATTCATTGTAGTAATCAAACCAACAAGCGTCTCACCCTAATCTACTTCCAAGACCCCGGTCTTCGAGAAGATCAGGTTTAATCAGAACAGATCCATCAACTCCTTATTTCTGCTGTCTTTAGACGATCCGAATTGGTTTACTTGCACAACATGTAACGTTTATCCCCAGATTAAATTCCTTTAGCATCTTTCAGTCCAAGCTTCCGGACCGACGGTTGGACGCTTCCCGGATAAGCACTCAACTTGAAGACAATTTAAATTTCTTTTTACCAGGATCGCTGACAGTCAATGTTGCTTCTTCTCTTCCCAACTTTAAGCTAATCCACTACTTTCACAAAGTCGCGTTACACATATAAATCACTCAAACTAACTTTGATCCAATAAGGAAGGTAGCTGGAACCACCGAATTCATATCAATCTGGAAATTGACGCTTTTACTTTCCATACAGAGACATATACGAGCCTCCTGAATATTCTAGCAAGGCTTTAACCAACATACTTCCAACTCCATCTGCAAGCTCATTCGCCTTATGAAAACGGCATGAATTCACGCTTGAAAAGAGACCCGCTCTTTTAATCAACGACCATTGAACAAACCCACCTAATCTGTCAGAATTTCCAAATGCATCATGTCTAGTCACCGAGTTGATTACCTCAATCGTTTACCATAAACAATCATGATCACTGGTCTTAATTCATTTTAACCAACAATTCCATGTCCATGTCTTAGAGGTGCCGCAATAAGCATCTTTCCTCTAAACTTTGCAAGTCCCGGAAAATCTTACTGCATGGTCGACACACCCAAGAATGCAAATGCCGTGCCTCAAGCTTCACAGTAGCACCACCATGGAATCCCACCTCAGCCTTCAAAGGGTGAGTAAAGAATAGAAAATACAATTGCGAGGCGGGCTGTGCATCTCGAACAGCAAACACTTGCACAGACCTTTCGTGATCCGTTCCGTCGGGACTTACATCAGCACCATTACCACACTAAACTGTTCAATGCAACATTACCCTTTTATCTCATCTCTCTTGGACACACTCAGGTTAGTATCGGATACCGGGTAAATATATCTGCAAATGCAAGAGTGTCACCTTTTGTTAAAATGCAATGTCCAACAGACAAGCTTTCCATGTCCCGATCAGAATATACATCTGTTCAGTTGGTTATTTGCGATTGGGCATGAATAGGGGCTAGTAGTAGTGCTGATGCAAACTTACCTTGTTCAAATATGCGTCTAAGCGAATGGTAGGGGGTCTCCGTGGCAGCGCAACTGTTGTTGCTTCTCATGAAGTGTATGAGCATGGGTAGGGATGGCCCGCGTGAAGCTGATATTGTGATTTTGTGATTTTGGCGGGGCTTTGTTTTGGTCCTAGAATTATTATTTGGAGAGAATTGCTGGGAGCTGGGAGACTAGCAGCGAATTATGAACGGTCACACGTCTCGAATGTTCTCTCCCTTCGTCCTCGGTCTATTTCGGGGATTCGGGGAAGTGAGATGAATGGTTCAAGTACGTATATCCTTGGAATAGAGGATTAGACAAGCCAGTATTGATGCCCGGCTCAATTGATTGTCTTCAAGCGAGCTTCTTCGTTTGGAAATTTAAGTGTTTCGATGTATATCATTACCAGGGCTATTTAGTTCCAGAAGAAGTTGGCCGTTGTCATTTACCCCAAGAAGGTATTTGATACCCCTTTCTTCTACATACTGTATCTGCCGAATCTTTGAATACAACCGCGCTAGGAAGGATTTCAATGACCTCAAACAAACCTAGCAAGCCCAGATCTTCATGTAGAATCTTCTAGACGCCCAGAAGAATACATCCATGCCAGACGGCGACAAGATTTCACAGTCGCCGAGTTCGCCGCCGAATACCAACCTGTCGGAATTTGACCGCCAAGCTCGGCTCGGCCACTCCGCTCTCTCATAGTGACACGAATTCGCGCCAGGTCTCCGACGAAAGCCCATTGTAAGCTAATTTTACATCCACTGGCTGAATCAATTCATGCGGCGCAGATTACTTGACAATACCATGCCAACATTCGCTATCAGCGGCTTTGAGAGCCGGCGCAGTAAGCGCACGAATATTCGAGGGTTGGATATACAACTGTTGTAAGTTTTTGGCATGCAGTAGGCACAGTGCGTTATCTTCGATCATATTTTATGCCTGTAGTCTTTGATAGCACTTGTCTCACATAGAAACTTGTACAATCAGGATGTGAATTTGGTGATCTGGATGCGCAGTCGAGTAATTATGGCCAAGCCAATTATCCTAGATGAGTTGGGATTTCGAGAAAGATCACACCCACAATTTTGAATGGGAAATAAGGGAAAATGGCCATTGAGTGGGCACATTAATCCCGAGGTTTTGTGTTTTCCGTGGGGTTGGTGATCAGTGATCGCTCGCGGTGAGAAGACGATAATTTTGCTGGCAAGAATTCATGATGATCAACCAAGGTGTCTGTGTCACCTTGACTGTGATTATTGTCTCCGAGGAGTTAGATATCACAAAATATGTGATTTTGGTGCATGCTTTGATGGCTCAGTTCATATCGACATGTGTGACCTGAGCATTCTACCCCTCATGTGATGTTTGGGTTTTGGGGGTCCGCATTTCACCACCGTCTAGTGCCTTCACGTACTTGTGCAAGAGCTTTGGAGTCTCATTGGATTCGTATATTTCCCTTCATGAAAGTGATAGGATATAGCAATGATGTGGGACACTGTGAAGCCTGTACTCGCACAGAAATCAAAAAGCCACAAAAAATAAAAGAAAAAAACTGTTTTGGGTGCCTGTTTTGAAACTGCCGGAGTATCATCTGATCGAGGTAGTTAGGTCACTTGGGAGTGTGTTGCCTTTTGAAATTTCATGAATTATTACTCTTCTTAGACTTCCGTTGCCAGGAGATTCGCGTTAGTTAGAATACAATTCAAGTGCGAGGATGTGAGTTTGGGCGAGCCCGTGGATGCCATCAAGATGAGTCTACCTCTAATTACCATCTAGATACTCTACTCACTTACATCTATTCCCCTCGATATCAGCTAACTAAAGTCATACTAAACATTAGAATCATTTTTTTTCTTCATCGAACGCAACAAGAAAGCATTTAGCTGTCGGATTCGGCTCAGATCCTAAGACGATTCTTCCCCAGTCTCTCTCCTAACACTTCAACATTACAAGCCAGTCTCATCCATAGAGTCCCTCAAATTCCTCAACGATCAATTTTCACAATGAAATTTCAAATATTATACCTAGGTCAAGGTAATTTTTGTGCCATGCTTCGGTGGTTCTCCTCATGCATACATTGACGCTCCGTCGTGTAGGGGGAATACCTTGATTGTTGTCGAGTTGTCGACGGGCCATACAGGACATAAGAGGATTCTACATACAAGAAAACAGTGAAATTTCAATCTGGGTCAAGTAATGAGATGTCAAGCTGCTAGGGATACAAAGGTTTTCTCGTCAATTTCAATCTGACATGCCCCGCATCACTATGACTTTGAATTCTTTACAGCTCTCCTAATATAATCAGATAGATTAAAAACAATCTCTTTAACAACATCTTGCAGAGCCTGTAGATATGATACCATTACTTGTGAATATCACCTAGAGTCTTGATCTCTGCATGTGGACCGCCGGGGAAGTGCCTGTCGTTGTTCAGAAGTGCTTCATAATCCCTATCCTAAGCAGCATCTGCATCTGAAATCGTCAACGTACTATAAAAAAAGTGTTTTTCGTTCTCATAACGACCACTATAGTGCTGAGTTGCTCTCTGTTCATTCTTCTGACATCCCCAACTAAAATAGCATAATTGCGACACACCAGAATTCACCACGGCGAAATCAACCCACTCATCGTCTTGTACATTGTTAGATCAACACATTTCAAGACATCTAAATGCAAATAATTATGAGCTTGCTACACACATACAATAAGCTCACTATCCAACTTGATTAAGGCTTTGTTAGTAGACTTCCTCTTGCTCGTTTATTGTATCGGCGTTCCGAGATAATATGGCTTAACGTTTGTTCATCACAAACTTCACATCCTTATGTGATAAAGCTACTTAGATATGTTTAACCCATTGAAAATCACTTAACACTTCATTTTATCTCATAGTTTTTAAATGATAATGCTATAATAAATTCACTAAAACTGCCAAAAAAACATAACCTCTCACTACACTATCGCAAAGAACCCCCCAAAAGTAATCCTAAACTGTCCTTCCCTTAACCCTTAACCCTCAATCTCATCAATCTTAACTCTTCCACAACAACAGCCGTAACTGCAGCAGTCTTCTCCAACTCCACAATCTTCTTCTTAACAAGTGCTCCAAATCGAGCTCTTGACCACTCACTCGATCCATAAACCATCAAGATATCTAAATTAGCAAGCTTTGCCGCCCGAACCTTCATATCAAAGATATTAGTCGTCGTTTCAGCAATCCACTTTGTTCCCTCCTCTGTCTTGAAAAATTTGTGCCAAAGAGGTCTATTATCACCTTCCTCATGAGTCAAGACTCTGCCTCTAAGAAGATCCTCAAGAACTGCCTTGCATTGCGCAACTTGTTCCTCGCATATACCCATGATTGTTACCTCCATAAGCTTCTCGCCAGAATAATCAGCACGGTACGATTCGCCCCAATGAAGCTGGCAAGAATTCTGTCCGAAGATCTGATGAAGGTTTCCTTGGTTCTGGCGACCGAGTGAATCGATGATGTAGCGGGGTATCATGTATTGCACTGCAATTTGATGACTAACTGTTACAGGAATACTCATACATGCACCAACCGCGGTAATCAAATGTCCGTTAATTGCGGTGGCAGCAGCAGCAGCCTCGTGGCGGTGTCGAAATCTGATCTGGAGGGAATGCCACGAACCCATGTTGCGATGAATGGGCTGATATGTGGAAAGCTCTCCCCAGGTTGATGCAAGATGAATGAGAGTGTTGATCATGTCGATGGCTGGTACATTCCACTCTTGGGGCCATGTAACTAGGACTTCAGTGTGGCTACATTCAGAATAATACGTTAGTATGGAGTATATGAAAATGTGAATGGGATTTACTTACCTAATATGGCGCTCGTATATGCCAGGTCCTGACAACTCAAGATTGGAGGGTTCTAATGTGGCTGACCAGTCTACGACTACACGAGATAGCTTATTCATAGCCGATCGATAGTCTGTAGACACATGCTCCATTACAGAAATTTGGGTTTCCTCTACGGGTGCTGTTGTGGTCGTCTGGTTGGATAACTCGTTTGGTGATAGAACTAGATCGGTAGATTGAACCACAAATGCTTGTTCAGAGTCGACAGAAGATTCGGTCGGTACTGTATAGGATGAAGCATTTGATGCCTCGACAGGAATATTAGGTGGCATAGTGTTGTCTATGCCATTGATAGGTGCTTCATCAACAGACTGGTCGAATAGGTGGTTTGGAATAACTAAACCAGGAGGTTTAACTGCAGATACTTGCCGAGCATTTATGAAATCTGGTGCAGTAAACAACGGTGTAATTGATCCACATACTAGAACGTCGGACGGCTTAGTAGCGTCTGTGCTATCAGCTGGACTTGGTTTTGAGTCAACTGGAACTGGCTTGACTGGAGTAGACGGGTCATCTGGGACAGTAGACATTGAAGTATCATGCGAATCATCAGTAGGTGATGGGCTTCGAGTTGCAGATCGTACCAACTCGGAACTATCGCTCATTAGCATGATATCGCTTGAAGATACATAGCCAATATCATCCGCATTACCAATGCTAGTAGAAGCAGGTGTGAGTACTTGGAAAGATGGAGTTCCGGGGGTAGAATCAGAACTCATCGACGGAGTTGTAATTGTGCCATCTGGCTGATCGTTAGAAGAACCAGTGTTGGTAGCTCCAGTATCACTCGTACTATTTGAAACAGATGTAAGCTTAATGGGTGATAGAGCGATCTCATAAGGACCTGAATCAATTGACGGAGCAGGAATCTTGTGAGTAGGGTCTTTATAAGAAGGATCCTTGTCCACAGCATCTGCGGTGCTCGAAATAGCCTGTGTGTCCATAGTGACTTGAGCTTGTAGAAGAGCTGGAGTAGAACTAGACTCCTTTGATGGGGTAGCAGATGTACTAGCAGACTTTTCCTTAGATAATTGGGTGTTGGTAGAACCTTCGTCCTTTGGAACATTTGTTGTAGTGGGGGCGACTTGAGGTTTCTTCGGAAGAACTCGAGCAGAGCGAAAGTTCATCAAAGGAGCAACTTTTGTATTGGTAGGTTTTGCCTTTGATAACTTGATATTGGTAGATTTTGCGGTCTTCAAAGCTGCTGGTGTAGCAGTGGTAGACTGAGATTGTTTAAGAGCTGAAGTAGCACTAGAAGCTACCTTTTCTGTCGGAACGGGGTGGTGACTAAGACACTTCGAACCATACTTACATCCACGTCTTGAAAGAAAGTTCTTGCAGACAGGACGACTAGGCTCAGGGTTCTCTGCAGGAATGGAAGCTGGGTGTCCGAATCGACACTCCAATCCCCACTTGCATGTACCATGGAAGATGTAGTTCTTACAAGGGAAAGGCTGATAAGGACCTGTATGCTTGTTATGGCATTGATCTCCAGCTACACAGCGGCCGATAGGATAATATACACAGATACCCATTTTTTCGATTTCTCAGATGGTATATCAAAGTGTTGTTGAATTCGATTTTGATAATCGGAAAATGCGGATTTCTGGTTACTTTTGAAAGTTGAAGGATAGATAAAAAGATTTTGTATTATTGTTTGAATTTTGTTTGAATTTGGAGAATCTGTAAGAGTACTTCAAAGTCAACTGTTTAAAGTTTATGTTTTAAGAAAGGTTGTGATCTGCTGGGTTGGAAGTTGCTTTTATAATAACTTTCCAAGGTTCAGACCGTACCAAGGCTGATTGAGAACGAGACTAGCTCAGTACTGCAGACAGGCAGATGCATGAACACATACAGTACAGTAATGATTAAGTACAGTAGCTGATCAAGTAAGGCAGCCGATTGAGTAGAGTGATAAAGTCGATAAATTACAGCTAATTGCGGCGACAAATCAAGTAACCACAAAACCTATCGGATTAAGCGAAGGGGCAAAGTCGTTTCCAGAATTTGGGAATTTTGACTTTCTACAGGCGTTCACTGGCAGAAGGATGTAAGATAGTCCGAAATATTAGAAACGCTTTTTGCCGCAAAAACCTTGCAAGACATGTGGTATTGGTGATATTGGGAACAGGGTGTGAATTATTGATGACATGCGTCTCTCTTTGTCATCCACTCTTCACTTTCAATGCCCACTCCCCCGTGAAAGAGAAGCAAGTGTTATCGTAATAACATAGTACAGCCAGAATATCATAGATTCGGGGCTGGTATTGGAGGTCTGAAATTACCCCTTTTAACTCTAATCTAAAGTATCAATCGTATAGTAGTAGTGCCAGCGAGATATCTGAATTACGGTTCAAGGTCTCATGGGCTTCTGAGCCCTCGAAATATCCCCTGGCATATATCTGCAACAGTGTGAAAGTAAATGAACATGAGGCGGAGACAAGATGAATATAACTTCAGACTCATCTCAAAAAGCTATATTCGCTTTAAGTATTGATTCCAAATTCATGGATCAGATGTTAAACATGATAATTCTAGAAACATGTTATTCCTTCGAAGGTGTGAGTAGAGAACCAAATTACTGTCGGGTTTTATGTGATAACATTCCACTTGATACTGTTGATAGCGTGTCGCCCTTTCATTGTCGTCTGAGACGCTAAGATTTCTGACAAGAAAGAAGAAAAGAAAGGAACAAAAGGGAAAAAAGAAGGAATGAAAAAAATCAAGGAGCTCAATGAGAAGAATGTGTTTGTATAAGATACTGATCTAATAAACGGGATATTTGAGTAACTGAGAAAAGTTACTCTCTGCTGTGCGCAATGTGTCTTTTGACTTCTTAATTCGGTCTGAAGACGTCATTGACGGACCAAACTTTGGAGAATCACACTGTAATAGGTAGACAATAAGAAGATGAACACGACTTTGATTGCGGCTTCCCTCATCTGTGCGCTCAGCTTGAGCTCAATCGATTCTATATATGAAGGGGCCAGGCCCTTCTTTGAGACCATGATACTATTAATTAAGCTTGTCGCCTGCGACACCACTCTTGATTGGTCAATACTGACTTTGGCAGAGCCAATTTATGTATCAGGGCCTCTCTGTCTGCATTTGCTGGAACACAGGTGAGATTAATGAAAGCTCTGTCTTTTCACCTTGATAGAGTTCAAAGTTCTTTCCTCTCTAAACGTTTCTTGGCACACAAGGGGTTGACACAATTAAGTGACAACACCAGAAACTCCACCGTAGCATCTCAAAAGCCGCGATAAAATGGACTTTACTTTTCCTCAAATTTCGAAGGCGTGATGTTAGGCATCTTGTATTATTCACAGAATAGTTTCAATTATTGCATGTATAAAATGACCAATGAGATGAATGACAAGGGTCAGCTAGCAACCGCGTAAGCTCTAGCACTTTTAGAGCCTTATTAGTTTGGTGCAGCATACATCTTCACATGCCTGTGGCTCTTATGATCGCTAAGTTTATACGATGTCTAGATAAGTTTCAATGGGAAGGAAAAAAGAGTGTGTCTTTCGACCCGGATTAATTTGGCCATTGGTGATACCTATTTGATTAGTGCTAACATGGTACTGGCCTGGATTTGAATCCTAGGAACCACATTATATATTGCCAGCATTCGGATAGATAGCCTCCTTGAATCAACGAAATTCAAGCTAAGATAAACTTATTATGAGATCTGGCGCGCTTCGAAAGCTGTGCACAACGACTAATCATGACATCATTTCCAGACAACGTTCCCTCGTCAAAAGACACAAGTGTTACAGCGGCCACTTCAGACCCTATCTCTACTCCCTCAATTACTCCTTCCCAAAACTTTGATAAGAATAGCGAAAGCAAAAAGAAACATGACGACTCCAGATCACGAATCCCACCATGAAGTTGCGCCGCGCTCCGCAGATGTCAGCACAACTGATGAAGCTTCCTTTGACGCTCCTCTAGAAGTTGTGGCTCATAATTCCAATCACTCCACGAATGAACAAAATGTAGATGTACCGAGTGAATGGCTTACTGGTAATAAATTGATCGCGGTATCAATTGCTTTTGGCATAGCGGATATTATGGTTGCATTAGACAGCAGCATTTTAGGTATCATCCGACTGTCCACTCTGCACTTTTCATTTACAAAGAACAATGTCACAACCATGCTTCTGCTATAGCTACTGCACTACCCACCATATCATCTGAATTCAAGACAGTCAGTGATATTGGATGATATGATAGCGTCTATCTTTTGGCACAGACATCATGCCTACCCGTGTTTGGGAAGATCTATACTTGCTTCGAGCCCAAGACAACGTATCTTACTAGCTTTCTTGTTTCCTGTATTGGCTCGATTCTTTGCGCTGCAGCCCCTATCTCTTCATGCTTGATTCTTGGTCGAGCAGTGAATAGGCTTGCTGCAGCTGGAATTCTCACGGGAAGCTTGTAAGTCACTACTTCAGGTTTCTTTCGGATCAAAATTTGAATCGATGCAAGAACATCGCGCGGTTCTTTATTGACTATTTTTCAAAACAATGACCAAGTTGTTGACACCCCAGCTTTAAGCACTGTTGTTTCTGACATCATTTTTCGCAGAGCCATTTTTGGCCGTGTGGTCCCCATGAGACATAGGCCGCAAGGAATGGCAATCATGGTTAGCATTAGTAGCGTTATATTAGTGATAGGTAGCACCATCGGCGGTGTTCTTACAGACTCGGTCCTGACCTGGAGGTTTTCGTTCTAGTTGAATTTACGTATGCTATGCTGTCCTACAGTATCGTCAATAAACCGACTGAAATATTAGCGCTTGGACTTGCCTGTAGTCTCGTTGTCTTTTACATCCTAGATCGCAAGCCTCACCCTGATCACCATTTACCTATTTCTACAAAGCTATTGAAGTTAGATCCTCTTAGTTTTATTTTGCTACTTTCAGGTATGACCTGCCTCTTTGTGGCTGTTGAATTCGGTGGCATATCCGTCTCATGGTCGAATTCAAAAGCTCGGCGATCTGGATGCGAAATGGCAAGTCAAGTTACTTTTATTGCAGTACAAGTAGTTCTTTCGCCTTCTGAAATGGCGCACGCTTGCAGCATGGAGGCTTTATTTCGTCAGCTTGGAAGCGCTATAGCGATCAGTGTTGCTGAGAACATCTGCCTATCGTCAACACAAGATCGACTTCAACAGCTTCTTCCATAGAGTAACGATTCAATCCTCAAAAGTGGCATTCATGAGTTTGCGATGCTGAGCCAGACACTTCCTCAGCAGAGCAACAGGAGGCCAAGAGTCTCATTAATTACGGCGTTAAGCAGGCTTTCATACTACCTTTAGCTGCTAGTTGTGAGCTGGGGAATGGAACGAGTCAAGACTGAAGACGAAAATGAGAGAGCAATGGCCCAAAACATTGATTTGACTTGATGACCTGCGCAAGGTAGGGCTTGTCGACAAGACATGTCTGATCTTCTGTCTGCGTCATCACTTGGAAGATGAGTAGTACCTGAAAAGGTCGCAAAAGTAGCCGTGTTCTTGTGTGGTTTCTCGTTCATATGCAAAAACGGTACCGGTATCTGAGTCGACGCTAGGATACATACAAATGTTCAATCTGAAAAAGTAGTAACACGCGTATTATTTAAACTCTCTGCCTACACCTAAAGATGATGCACTGTTCGCACGATAATTGTGTGTAAAAGCCAGAGCAATATAATAGAAATGACTCCAGTAACCGCTCTTAGACGAACTAATCCCACCCACGGCGTTCCAGACGAATCAAATAATTCCGGCAATATCCAGTAAATCCAAAATCAACCAACCCATAACACAAATTCAAAAACACAACCACAACCACATCTCAACTTGACTTAACCAAGATCATCACATATCGCGTTGCATTGCACCAAAAATCAAAAGTAAAAGCCCACTGGGACCATCTCTCGGATTCCCAATTCAATTCGATTCGATAATCAACCGACCGATCGTAAATTCTTGGATTAATTATCTTTTCTACCGGACTACGCCCTTTGGTTCTCCATTTTGACCCACCCATCCACCCTACCTGTCCTTTACTTCCTCTAGACAATTCACACGCATCGAATTCAACCTCAGCTCAACTCGAAAAACACACCGCTCGTTAACATATGTAAAGTTGAAGGTATCTAAACATTCGCACACATCCTGTTGGATATCATAGCATGTCATAACACACAATACAATCTCGCTTCCCCCTTTCCTCCATTCAACACGTTTTCGTTCCTTTTTCCATTTCTTAAGATTTCGTCAAAAACATTAATCGCTACCTAGGTACACTCGCCACTACTCATCCGCATCTCTTTTAAGCCAAACTTAATCTCTCCAATCTTCCCTTTGTAGCCTCCACCAAAGCCGTCTCGCGATCCAACAACTTCATAATTTGTCCCACCTTCTTCCTTCTCAATTCAGACGGAACCTGTACATCCCTCGCTGAGTCTCCATCCCTCTCCTCTTGTTGCTCCTCATCTCTCTCTCTCTCCGCATCCTTCGCCAATTCATTCGCCTGACTCAAAACCTCATCCTTGAGTTCCTTCACCTCCTCATACCTCTGCCAAGGATCCTTGGAGACCTTCACCATACTCTCCGTTGACCCGTCCATATCTTCACCCAGTACCTTTCCACCGAGACTCCTCACCTCTTCTATCCACGCTTTCTCTTTATCACTCAATTCTCTCTGCGTGTTTTTAGGAATCTTCTTCCTGATATTTTCAATTCTTTCATTCAGAATCTTTTGTTTGTCCTTTGCTTCCTGAATTCTTCGTTCCATGTTTTCATTTGGCGCCACTCGAGGTTTATCGTCATCTTCATCTACATCCTCGCCGATGACAGATTCCACACGTGTTGCGATTTCGTTAGCTTGTTTGATATGTTTTGAAAGCTCAATCTGAAGTTTGATGCATTTTCTGAACAGTTCTGCAGCTGCGGTACCGATGCGATGGGTTTCTTCGCTGAGAACTTTATGGGCGTCTGTCATGACCGTAAGTGTAGCTGGCGATAATCGGATCTCTTCCTTCAACAAACGCTTGTATTTGCTATGCTTAATTTTTTCGTGAAGAGAGGGTAATTCCGATGGTTGTTCCAATGCATAAGATGGTTGGTACACAGGTCGAGCTTCGAATAAGATAAGAGGTTTATCATTATCGGTTTCGGAGTCGTATGATTCTGAGCGACCACGGCTACGGTTGAAGTCCAATTGAAACTGGGGTGACTCAAAGTTGATAGATAATGGGCCATGAGCATTTGCGGAGAGAAGGAAATAGCCAAGATCAGGATCTTGAATAATTGTGCTGGCGGCAAGAGGGGCATTCTTGTCAATCATGGGTGGCGTATAGACCCTTTGCCTTTCTGATGGGGTGCTAACAATTACACCAAGTCGGACATTAGACTCTGCGCCTTTCGATAATTCTTCCTCGAGCTTGAATACCCAGGTAGAGAGCGACATGTATGTGATGTTCGAATTGTTGGTAATAAAGAATGAATATCTTGATTCGACATCATTACTAAAAGTTGGCCAACATCCTTCCCAAACCTCATTGGGTTTGGAAGTCTCCAAGACTTCATATGTCAACAAGACAGGTGGGTCCGGGTCGTCTAGAAATCGTAGCATCCTTGAATTCGATCTCGGTAACCATTGGGCTTCAATTCCGACCAAGTCCAGGCAGATTGAAAGGCGCCCAGTAGTTGTAAGCAAACAGATCACGCTCATAGAACATCCCTCTTTGTCGACCTCATCCAATTCAAGCTCATCGTCCTCCTCCCCATCCATAAGCTCTTCGGCATCCAACTTTGGTCCAATGACATAAATGTCACTGAAAAGTTCATCGTCCTCGTCATCCTCAACTTCGGGAGCCATCTCAAAGTCGAATGGACCTTGTAATCTTGGGACCTTTCCAGGTCTAGAAGGCCTTGTGTAAACCTCAATTGGCGGCTCGCCCAAAGTTCCCTGAACCTGGGTTGGATCTTGACTATCGATATCCGTCATCCAATCCAATTGTTGTTGCGCAAGGAGTTTACTGCCTTGAGTTACAGTTGGATCATCTTCGATAGCGGCGATATTGGACACAATCGATATCGAGAGCGAAGGAATCAGGGTGGGTGGTGGAGCCCATTTTTCAGGTAATAATGGGCAAAGAGCATATACATCTCCTTCTCTCATTGCAAGCCAAAGAGTCATAGGCGACCAACCCCCAGCTCCTCTACCTGCAAAACAAGCTGATGCTACCTCCATCTCAAAAGCATCCGGGGAAAATTTACTTGGTTGACCAGCCACGGAAGCTCCAAAATCTTGATCGGCCGAAACTCCATCCGCCAATTTTTTCAGATCGACCACAAGAGTTGGTTTATCGAAAGACCAGCGATCGGTGGTAGACAATTCCCATACTCGAACAACGGCGTCCTTTGTAATTGTGACCAAACATGTCCCATTAACACCCAATGGATGCCACAGCGCAGTCGATATTCCGGATCGTGAAGTAACATGTGTAGTCGGACCCAAGTGAAAAGTCTTAATCTTCATAGGACCATTATCGGGAGCTGTGAGATGCGAGGATTCAGGTAAGATTGCGACGTGTACGGTATGAGTTGTCAAGATCGCCATGAAATTCGAATTGGGAGAGATAATCAACTGTCGAATTTCATCTGCCACCGGAATTTTGAGTGTCTGCAGAACATTAGCACCCAAGACCAAATCCAATGACGAAAGCTTCAAAACTTACTCTATACCCCCGAGCAACATTCTCTTCAGCTTCAATTTCCTCTTCAGCTCGTGTTTTGCCTTTCAAGAAGCTTCTTTGGTTCTCTTGTTTATTTTCCCATGTCTCCTTCAAGTAAACAAGATCCGCCCATCGAATTTCCTTTCCAACAGCAATGAATATCTCAGTTCCTCTACGCGCAATCGTTCTCTTCGGCCCTACTTTATTCGTTTTCTTCTCATTAGGACTATAACTAGCTCCAGAAGCTGTTTGGATGCCGGTCGGTTTCGCTGTAAATATCTCATGGCCTGGATTTGGCTTTGAAAGCCATGTAGGTGTGTAACCAAGAACTTGAGGCATTTTTCAAACCCTGAGCTCGATATTATTATTTTGAATAATCAGCACATTCGTAGAAGCCCGATACTGATAAGCAACTTGTATGTTGCGACAGAGAGAAGTGAATTGAGTCTGGAACTTTTTTTGAGGTTGGATGGATTTAACATCAGGCTATGCTAGCGCGTCGCGAAAGCTTGGTGCATGCGGGTAGGTAATTGGAAGCCTTCTGTGTTGTAAATGTTCCCCAGGAAACAAAGAAATCCATCAGCCTTGTAGAAAATTGGATTGTAAAGAAACAACAAATTTCCAAAAATGCCTGGATCAATTAGAAATACTGTTGATAGGCTTGATAAACCAAGTGCCTATTATCAAGGTAGAGTAAGCTATGCAATTATTATTCCACTCGGCGCAGAAGGAGCTCGACTAACAATCTGGTCTAGAATAAGAAGCGCAGATATGAGAGAGATGGGGAGGACGAGAGAAGAGAACGAACTCCAGAGGAACCAGCAGATGATCCTTTAAAAGACGCGACAACACTTTATGTTGGAAATTTGTATGTCAAAATGCATTCAGTGTTTTTATTTGAGCTTTTTTCGATCAATCAATGGGCTGGGGCATAGTTTGAGGCATGAACTAACAATTTGTCTACAGATCCTTCTACACAACTGAAGAACAAATTCACGAACTATTTGCGAAATGTGGTGAGATCAAGAGATTGATTATGGGGTTGGATAGATTCAATAAGACCCCTTGTGGGTTTTGTTTCGTGGAATATTATACTCACCAAGATGCACTCGATTGCATGAAGTATATTGGCGGTACAAAGCTCGATGAGAGAATCATTAGAACAGATTTGGATCCAGGATTTCAAGAGGGAAGACAGTATGGACGTGGAAAGTCTGGCGGCCAAGTGCGCGATGAGTACCGTGAGGAATATGATGAAGGGAGAGGAGGTCTAGGTAGAGCTATTCAAGCTGAAAGACAGAAAGAAGAAGAAGAGTATGGCAAGGGTAGATAGTTTATTGGAGAGTTGGACGATTGTACGATACTTTGCAGTACTTGGGAGGGGCGTATAAGGAACTGCGGTGATTCATTGATATCAGAATAGTGAGCCGCATTTGCATAGTAGGGAAAATTCTTAGGATTCTAGCCATTCCAGAGCACTGAACTCATGCCCTTTCATTCTTTTTTCGTATACACATATCCCAAACGCCATCAATGCATATTGTACATCAATTCTTCCGATGAGAACTCTTTCCATTGAGTCCATCCAAATATATCCATATCAATAACCGGGAGGATTGAGTCGTTGTGATAATCTCGTCCATTTAGGAAGCTCTGCAGTAACATCAGTAAACTGACACCATCTGTAAAGGCGCATGTGCCAAACTTACTGTGAATTCCCTTTCTATATTTCTTCTCTTTCCGATCAAAGATTGTGTATTTATCTTTTGGTAACATCTCCTGCTCCGTAGGCATTTCCTCCTTCCACCTCTCCACAGCCTTTGTCGTAATTCCCTTAGCAGCCAAAGCTCTATCCACTGTAGCAACCACCGAATCGACTGCCCTTAAACGTTTGCGCTGTCGTGCCTTTTGGAATTTCGAGAGTCGCCATGGGATCTTCCTAAATCGCACCACCATTAGCAAATCTTCACGCTCATAACTCTGGCAGAAAATAAATCAAATCATACCAAAGAAGACCCCCAGACATAACATTCGTAGGTCTAAAAGCTCCAAACATTGCGTTGTTTCCTTCAATGTTCTTCTAATCGCATTTCCTCACCCCATCGATCAATCCTCTTCAAAATTCAAGAATCGGTCGGCCCCTCCGCTCCGCGCCAAGCCTTAGGTTCCGCGAACCAATCAGCATTCGCTTCATGACCTCAACTCTCTAACCTCCATCGTTGCTTCACCTGCGAATGCGCATACCAAAATGTCGTATTATTTCGCAATCGTTGGAACGCAGGATAATCCTCTCTTCGAATATGAATTTGGAACTGCGAAACAGGGTGGTGATGGGATCGCCAGGTTTCCCGAACAGGCCAGACATATGAATCAATTTATTGTTCATAGTAGTTTGGATATTGTCGAGGAGGTGCAATGGGGTGGTGGACAGATGTATGTGATTTGTTTTTGGACGAGATGCGACTGGACTGGATACTAATAATATGCTTTTTAGGTATTTGAAATGCATCGATCGATTTTACAATAATTACGTCTCATGCTTCATGACAGGCGGAAGTAGGTTATTCTTTTCTTCTTACAAACATGTATCGTGATGGTGCTAATATATGTAGATGTTAAATTCATGCTCTTACATTCTCCCTCTCAACCTGCAAACCCAACGACTTCAAGAACCTCCACATCAATCGGAGCAAATCCTACTTCGCCTCAGACAGAAGAAGCCATTAAACAATTCTTTACGGAAGTTTATGAGAATTGGGTAAAAACGATTATGAGTCCATTTTACCAGGTCAATCAACCAGTTACGAGTCCGGTGTTCAGGGGACGGGTTGCGGCGGCGGGGAAGAAATATTTGTGAGGAGTGCTGAGAGAGAATCATGGAAGAATCATCATAATTATTATTGCATCGAGGAGTATGGCTCTTCCTTGGGTGTATTCTGGTGCAACGAAGAGCATAAGCGCGAGGAATAAGTTCGGGATTTTTGGTATGGATGAAGAATCAAGTCTCGGGATATATCATACCACATGGAGGATGATGTTACGAACAGTGGTTGATAGTACACTATGGAAGCCATCTACGCTTCAATGCGGCCGCGGACACCTCCGGAGAGTTCATCTATTGAACCTCACGATCAGGAATTTAGTCGGAGATTTCACTGCTCGCAAATGGATCGGGAGTCTGTTTGCTGAAAGATATCTTGGGCTTTGACGAGAATTCTTTGCTTGCTTTAGCCCTTCGTCATACAACAGATAGATACCTTAGCACGGTTTAGATTCTCATACTGGAGACTACTCGAATCTTCCTTATCAAAATGGCGGTCGAGACCATACTCTGATTGGGAATTGAGACTCATGACTGTTTGAGTCCATACACGGAACCTGTGGTTAGGGAGCTGGAAGAACTACGCATAATGGGACGCGGTGGGAATCGGTGAGATGGCTCACGACAATACCCAAGTTATTACAAAAGAATAGTAATAGATATCATATAATATTCAAAAGTAAGTATTATCACCTCAGCGCATTTTCAACAGAAAGTTGCGATGTCTTCAAAAGTGTCTCAATAAGTCCTATGATGTGATTGTGAAAAGTGGCGGTAAGTGATAACTAGTAGCTGGTAGTCTCTTCCCAACTTGTTACTACTAGATATTTGCCATAGTAGCCTTAACACACTTCAATGAATTGTAGATGGTGCTCTCTATTTAAATGAAAGCAAAGCGTAATTGAAGCATCTAGCACTTTCGTGAATATACTTGTACTGTACTATATTATATTATAATCATCTTAGGGTTCCAACATGCAATGTAATTGGAATTGGAATTGGAATTGGGAGTGAATTGTAAAAGTATACCCACCTACAATTCTGAATAACGCGTGTTTCGATAAATGAGTGGCTGTTCGGTGTTCAGACTGTGCAAATGGGAATACCTATGATTGGGACCATGGCAGGTTTGGGTTTGGTGATTGTTGGGTTTGACTTTTGGCTTGTGGTTTTTGAGTTTGGGGATTGAGGGTTGGGGTTTATGATATATCAACATAGGTACCTTGAGATGGGGATGGGTTTGTTATTGATGATGATAGGTACGAAGCAGGTTATGTGGAATATGGATGTAACTACGAGTACCTTCAAAGCAGTAGTATTGGTTCTGACGCGTAGGAAATGGTAGTCTCGCGAAGATGACTGGATGGTCGATATCATTCATGGTTTTATTAGTAGGTAGTTGATGTCTACTTTCTAGGATAGGTTGTGAAAGGGATGAATAACTCTTGATAAATACTGATGTATCTCATTACACGTATTTTATATTATCATTTATTAAATATCTTTGTTATTTAATTCGTTCCGTACCTGACAATGAATCAACGATATCAATATCTATCAAGTGCTCGCTTATCGATGCACCCCTGGAACTAAGGCGAAGTAACGATCCGCCGCATTTTACGCTTCTGATGAGCTTTGGTCAGGACTCGGAACATTTCACATCACGCAACAAATAATGCAGCCGTAAGCCATATGTGTGAGAGAGTGTGTGTGTGTGTTCACATCCAACCACAATAATAGAGTCGAAAGAACAACATTGAAATTTTTCTACAATTTTCCTCGGCAATCACACCCCCAGTCCCTTTCTCACCTTTTTTACCAAAAAAACATTCTTAGATAATATAAATTTCCATTTCCATTTCCATTAATTTCTTAAAAGGTACTAGCGTCAAAACTCCCATTTTCCAGATCACTTGTTTCCTGATCAAAAACCAACAAATTCCCTTCCCCCTCTGATTCTAATCTTTTATTTAACAACTTCATATTCCGCCACTACATCAACTTTTTGATTTTAATTACTTCGGAATTATCATCAATACATCCATCGTCTTATTAAAGACGCGTTTTATTATCACAAATAATCAAATCCACTTCTTAATAACTACTTCATCATGACTGGACGTAAGTTACACCTTTCCTTCTTGAATTCTTATGTTGAAGTTGAGATTGTTGTTGTTGTCGGTCGCGATATTTGAGGATGATGTTTTGGTGTTGGTGTTTTGATCTCACTCCACTCCCTCATCTATCAACGCGATAAGGTATCCACATCTTTATGATGTTGATATACCTACCTACAACAATAATTATCTTACTTCACTAATATATCACCACTTCAATCATGGTTCAACATACTAATGATTTTCTTCTATAGGCGGAAAGGGCGGAAAGGGTCTCGGAAAGGGTGGTGCTAAGCGTCATCGTAAGATTTTGAGAGACAACATCCAAGGTATCACCAAGCCAGCTATCAGACGTCTTGCTCGTCGTGGTGGTGTCAAGCGTATTTCTGCCAGTAAGTTTTATTCCCATCGCGTCTTCAGTCTTCATGACTTTGATGTGCGATAATATCTCCACAAGATTTATTTACTGACGCGTCTTTCAACAGTGATCTACGAAGAAACCCGTGGTGTTTTGAAGACCTTCCTCGAGGGTGTCATTCGTGATGCCGTCACCTATACCGAACACGCCAAGCGCAAGACCGTCACCTCCCTCGATGTCGTCTACGCTTTGAAGAGACAAGGCCGTACCCTCTATGGTTTCGGTGGTTAAACATCTTCTCACCTCTACCATCTTTGTCATGACATCATCTCATGCTCTTTCACATACGCGTCGATACAATACACTTTCGATTATGGTTCCCAGGGGAGTTAGGATGGGCTTATGTTACTTTTGATGGTCTTTTTTAGACGGTCTAGCATGCTGTTTACGGCAGGGTTTCGCCCTTTCCTGATTCTTTTTGTGAATCATTCATTTCGACTATCGACTACGTTTTCTATCTCTCTCTGGTCTCGACATAGCAATACATTCCTCGAGTCAAAAACTTTTTGATAGTCTATACCTCTGCTTTTGCTTTGGTGTGTAAGACAGTCTAGCATCCTGTTTACGGGAGGAGTTTTCCTGGAACGTTCCTTGTTTTGTAGCGACACCTTTGATACCCCGCGGTTTGGGATTTGTGAAGAAGGATTTCATGATTAGTGGCATGCATGCACACATTACCTTTTTTGTCTTTTTTGAGCAAACCTGTTTAGCTTGATTAGCTGGTTGGCGTTCTATGGTTTTTTTCACCCTGGTACTAGACGGGTTGTCTAGAGGGTTGAGGGATGGTATGGATTGGGGATGGATGTATGTGGGATCACGATCGAGCAGTTGTGTTTATACGCATACATAGCATACGAGTGAAATTATATGGTCGTGGACCTGATTGATATTATTTTTGAAGTTCTTGATTGTTGATTTGAATGTGTGTGATGTGATGTTTTCTTTATTTAAATCATGAGATGTTGAGAATATGTGGTGTGATTAAGGAAACTTTGGTGCGGGTCAGTTGATTAATCATGGTCAGAGAGAATAGATGGTTAGTTGGCTGGCTGGAGGGCAAGTGTCGTCTGTATCTTCTGCGTCGTATCACATTATGTGTACCTATGTATAGTATAGTACAGTACAGCCTTGCATCTTGCATCTTGCATCTTGCATCTGGATACAGTCGCGATAGAGTGAGAATCTTATTGATAGTCTGATGGATGGATGGATGGATGGATGGAATATTCATGATGTTTTTTTTTTTGTTTTTTTCGGTGGTGGGAGATTTGATTTGATTTAGTGTTTAGGTTGGGGTTAGGGGTGGGGGATTTCAATTTTAGTTTAGAGTAAAGGGAAGGGAAGGGGTTTTTTTAGAGTTTTTCTTTAGGGGAGGATGGTTGGAAGGAGAGGATTTGATGGGGGGTAGAGAGGAAGGATGGAGAGGACGAGGAAGGGAGGGGGATGGATTTGATATTTCGGTTGGGGGGTTGGTATAAAATGGATGGATATAGAGATGGATGGATCGATCGATGAATGGGTAAAACATAGGTCTTCTCTCTCCTATTTTTTCTAAGCTATCATGCGTCTTTCTGTTCTGGGTGAGTGGCTGGGTTTGGGTTTGGTGTGTGGAGGAGGAGGAGGAGGATTTTTTATTGTATGATTTGATTTGATTTGATTTGTGGGCACGTATATGTATATGTATATGTTTATTCATAAATCAGCATTCAGAAATGCGAAATTGGAAGGGGAGTTGGAGGTATGGTGTGCTGTGGTGTGGTGCGGTGGGAAAATTTAAAAGTGTGTATTGATATGTGTTGGTTGGTATTGGTATTGGTATTGGTATTGGTATTGGTATTGGTATTGGTATTGGTATTGGTATTGGTATTGGTATATGTTGGGATATATTGGGTTGGTATTTAGAGTTGAGGGGCATTTTGGTATATATGTATAGATAGGTATATGCATATATGAACTGCTTGGGTGGGTGTGTAGAATGGATGGGTGGAGGAAGGGACGGAGGGTTGGGGGAATGGTTTGAATTTAGATTTGGATTTGGATTCTGGCTTGGTGGGAGGTTTGGAAGTGGTGTCGTGAGAGAGGTAGATGGGAGGGTGTACAGGCGGCTAGAGGAAGGATGAAGGAGTAGTGATGAATGAAATTATTTCCTATTTGTAAATCTGATTTGATAACAATAGATGGATGGAGGGAGGAGGAAGTTTCTGTGTTTGTGTTGTGTTTGATGTAAATGTGCTTGGGATTTTGATTACCTAAATTATAGAGATTTGTTATAATTTATATAAATATGTATTGGTTTACTTATGATTCCATGTAATGTTTGACATAGGTATGTGTTCGGAATTTCAGATCTGTATATGATGATGTTTTCGATTTGAGGAGAGAGGGGTGCTTAGGGAGGGTATGGGAGTTGAGTGAAGTCTCAAGAAGTGAGGAGGTTGTTTTGGGGACGATGTTGGATGAACAAATAAACCTGGACAATGATTGGTCTGATGGTTGTTAGTATTTCTCTTTCTTCCCTTTCCTGCCCTTTCCCATTCTTGAGTCTTGATTCGAGTCGTCTACTCTGATGTTTTTTTAATTGATAATCTTAGGGATGTTGATCAGGGAAATGATGTGAATATTGCAATGTTAGTTTTTGCCATTGGTTCCTTTTCCTAAAGGTGCGTATATGGATAGGGGAAGGAGGAAGGAGGAGGAACCTTCTTCTGTGTTTGTATTGTATTTTGGTTTTGTTGTTTGATGAGATAAAATATCAATTCTATTTCTCAATCTATCATCCGCAAACCCAACTCACTAACAACCCTAAGAATACCAACCAAGGAAAAATCGTAAACACCACAACATCAGTCTTCACCAATTCTTCCTTTCCCTCAAAAATAAACATTCCCCATACAATACAAAAAGCAAAAGGGACGATAAAATCATGAACTTTCTCATGAAAGCCCCGTTTATAAAGCCGGAAAAGTAGAATGATGGGGAGGAGGAGTATGCTTGCGTTTATGAGATTCGATATGAAGGGGTTTTGGGAACAAGTGAGGAAGTTCGATGTGAGGAGGAGTGGTTGGGGCTGGGAGAGAGGTTAGTGGGTGTTTAGGTGGGAGGTGGGAGAGGAAAGAGGGACTTGCGAGGAGATGGGGGTAGAAGCGATGGATGTTGCGGTGGCTGGATATGAGGAGGGAGAAGAAGGTGATGAGGAATTCGAGAGGTAGGGAGGGCATGAGGGAGTTGATGAGTGTGATCGGTTGATGGGGTGCGTGAGGTGTGAGAGAGATGCTGTGTGATAGGTGGATAGGGGTAAGAGGTGACTTGGACGGAATCGTAGAGAGTGAGCGCGTGAGATAGGTTAGGGAATGATATCAAACCGCTGAATGCTGGTCTAATGTCCATCGATGATGGAACACGTTCTCAGAAGTCCATTGGGGTTATATATGTATATATGTTTGAGAACATTAACTCGGTAGAAGGATTCCTGCAATAACACAACAACCGCTGTGGTTATACACAGCTCACGCTTTTGTAACGAAAAGGTATATTTGACGAAAGAAGAAACGTCCAGAACGATAGTTCAAGTAAAGCGGTGTCATAACTTGCATTGTTAGGATATTCATCCTTTATTGATGTGTATAAATGGTGATTCTTGGACAAATTAATAAGTATTAGAGACCTAGCGATAGTATACGTAAAGTTTTTGATAGGTTTGTCCTGTTGTTGCTTTTTGTATCATACGACACGTAGAATTGTCATGCAGTAGCATATGTATTCTACTTGGGGAACTCTTCCTACCCCAGATTTAGCTGATACGAAATAAAACAAATACATGTTGCATCAAACCAACGTTCCAAATTACGAAAATATTCGCTTGGCTCTTCCCCAGGCTTCTGCAGGAGTAACAAAACGCCGAGGTTGCACGGATTTCCAGATGTAGAAGGTACAGCAAACAAATTACACTTCAACGCTGGTCAGCAAGATTTGAGAATTCAAGGTCTAGGAAGACCTCGAAATCCTTCAAAAAATGTATGAGGTATTTCATGGTGGAATATTTCTTATGTACAGTGAGATGAAGTTTTGCACGTTTTTGATAATGGGATGTTCGATTGGGACTTGGGGGCTTACTTCGGCTAAAATCATTGGTCGGGGAATCTTCCAGGGGATCTTTTTCTGTTCTTCTATGAGGCATTTTCCAACATCCAATGCATCTTCTAACAACCGCCAAAAAAATTCATCGATAACTCAATACTCTAAGGAAAATGAAATTGCGAATTTTAGTAAGGAAGTCGAGTGGCTGAGTCGCTCGCCGGAAACTGGGAACTTCACATTAGCAAGTGCAAATTGTAATATTCATAATGTAATGCGACAAACAGCGGGATGTTTGGGAATTCCAATCAGGCTCCGTGCCAGTTCTTCGGTCTCCATACTTCAATGGATCATATGGGTATCAGCCGCTTTTTTGTTTCCTGTGAAAACATTCACTTTGTTGTTCTGTGGGGAGCTAGTATGAGCGATTTATCGTGATGTAGTTTATCCATGACGCATAGCAAGATTCTATCAAAAGGCGGGATGCAAATGTGATAGGGGATAATTCCTATTCTGGATGCATTCACTATTTACGTCTAATTTCGAGTATCTCTCTAGCTTAGCTGTCCACGGGTCTGTCAGCTCTTTCGAGGTGAAAATATAGGGTGGGATGAGATGAGACGAAATGGGTGTCTTTACGTTTGTCCAATATGCATATATTGATCCCTTCGACTGATGTGTAAGAATATAAATTCATAGATATCTTAACTTTTTAAATATCGAGAGAGGTTATCCTATTGTATGCGCTCAGAATCCCTCAATCAAGTCACTTTCCTCATTCTCAACTTCTCATCGATTACCCGCGTATCAAACGATTTCTAGCACACACAACCCCTTAAGTAGTGGTTACTTGACGAAGATGTTAGAAGATGGAGAAAAGGAGCAATTCCATCGCCGTATCCATTACGCTGATGTGGAATCTGGAGTCAAAGTCTCATCACCTCTAGAGCGAAGCAATTCTAGAGTCTCAACCGATCATGATAGCTTAAGTATTCGACCTCACAGGCGTTCATCAATTGAGTTATCATCGGCACTTCCTATCCAATACAGAACGGTCTCATTCCAAATTGCAGGATCCCAAGAAAAGAATGCAGCGGAAGTACAACTCGCGAAAAAGTCGGCAGCAAAGGGTTTGTGTTTCCATACTTAAGTTTATATCACGATGCTAACATCCTTTAAGCACTTGCCGATCTGGATTGGCATTTAATCACACCTGACGAAGTTCTTAAGCGCCTATCAACGTCGACATCTCAAGGTCTTTCGAAAGAACAAGTGAACCGAAGACTATCGCAATATGGAAAGAATACACCATCTCATCCTCCAAACCATCTCTTTCAAACTTGGTTCGGTTACTTCTTCAAAGGATTTGGATCCATTCTCCTACTCGGCGCTATTCTAGTTTTCGTCTCCTGGAAACCTCTTGGAGATCCGCCCTCACAAGCAAACCTAGCACTTGCTATTGTTCTCTTGGCTGTCTTTTTCATACAAGCAGCCTTTAATGCTTGGCAAGATTGGTCTTCATCCAGAGTCATGGCTTCAATTACTACTATGCTACCTGACAATTGTTTGTTATTGAGAGATAGAGCTCGCGTCACTGTTATTGCTAGCGATATTGTTCCTGGAGATCTTCTTTATATAAAAGCTGGCAATAAGCTTCCTGCTGATGTACGATTCGTTGAAATGTCTTCGGATGCAAAGTTTGACCGTTCCATTCTGACTGGTATTTTCTCCACATGTTTGCACGCTTCCTGATACTAATTGGTAACTTAGGCGAGTCACTTCCACTTTCAGGAATGGTTGACAATACAGATGAAAATTACTTGGAGACAAAGTGTATCGGACTTCAAGGAACTCACTGTATTTCCGGAAGTGGTATCGGTATTGTCGTTGCTACCGGTGATACAACAGTCTTTGGAAGGATTGCTCAACTTACCAACACCCCGAAAACTGGTATGACTACTCTCGAGCGAGAAGTTTTTAACTTCGTCCTTGTCATTGTTGCTTTTATGGTAACCATGATTGTTCTTGTTATCATTATATGGTACGTCTATCACATGATTCTTGGCATTGTGGTTTCCAAATGTTGATCTATATATAGGGCAGCATACTTGAGAAAATCGTACCCTGATTGGATCAATGTACCAACTCTGATTGTTGATTGCGTTTCTGTCGCCATTGCATTTATTCCCGAGGGTCTCCCTATTGCTTTGACGGCATCACTTACTATAACAGCAAATCTTATGCGTAAGAACAAAATTCTTTGCAAGTCATTGAAGACAGTGGAAACTCTAGGTGCAGTCAGTGTCATCTGTTCAGACAAGACAGGTACTTTGACAAAGGTATGTCTGTTTCTCCAAACCTATTTACCTCGGAGGCTAATTCTGTTCAGAACAAAATGTTTGTTACAGAATGCTGTATAGCAACACATAGTATGACTCCACAATTGGCCAAAGATGAGATGAATTCAAGTGGTCGAAACAACACTGCGATCTCTCAAATGAGATTGATTGCTGGACTTTGCAACTCTGGAGAGTTTGATGCCAGTACAATGCATCTACCACTTTCCGATAGAAAGATCAACGGTGATGCTACTGATCAAGCTGTATTGAGATTTTCCGAGTCACTCGGTCCTGTCTCTGAACTTCGAAATATGTGGCGGAAAACTTTTGAATTGGCTTTCAATAGCAAAAATAAGTTCATGGTACGAACATTAGCACTCGCCGAGCCCGAAGGCCGTTCTTATGCTCTTCCTAGCGAAGAAGCGACAAGTTTTGCCTCGGATGATACGTAAGATACCACGATCCAGTGAGAGATTATAACTGACTTTGATTTTCACAGTCTACTAGCAATCAAAGGTGCACCGGACATCTTGATCGGTAGATGTTCAATGTATACCACCATCGACGGTAATTCGAAAGCTCTTGACGACGATGTACTTAGGAAAATCGACGAAATTAAGAATCGCTGGTCGGCAGAAGGCAGACGTGTCATTTTGCTAGCACGAAAGATAATTAAGAAAGACGAGTTGAAAACAACTCCACTTTCAAGTCGCTTTGAAAAAGAGATATCATCCCATGCACGATCTGGTCTTACACTGGTAGGCATCGTTGGTATTGTAGATCCTCCTCGTGATGAAATACCTTCCGTCGTATCTACTTTGAGACGAGCTGGAATACGATTTTTTATGGTAGGAGCTACATGTTCATCTGATTACATGAATTATACTGACAAAATGAAAGGTAACTGGAGATTTTGCTTTGACTGCTCAAGCAATTGCTACAGAATGTGGAATCATCACCAATTCCCCAAATATGGTAAAAGATGTCTCTTCTCTATCACGAAATAAACTCGTTTCCGAATCAGCCTCTCAGTCCGAAAACGACAGCAAAGACAATGCAATCACTCCGCAGATAACTTCTATTGTTCTAAGCGGACCAGAAATAATCACTCTCAACGACAGTCAGTGGGATCAACTATGCAAATACGATGAAATCGTTTTCGCCCGCACAACACCCGAACAAAAACTACGAATCGTCCGCGAATTTCAAAAACGTGATGAGATCGTTGCAATGACTGGTGATGGCGTTAATGATGCCCCTTCTCTCAAAGCTGCTGATATTGGGATTGCACTTGGAAGCGGTTCGGATATAGCAATTGAAGCTGCAGATATGGTTCTTCTCGAGTCATTTAGTGCTGTTGTTGAGGCGGTCCAATATGGAAGAGTGGTCTTTGATAATTTGAAAAAGACAATTGCGTATCTATTGCCTGCGGGATCATTTTCGGAATTTTGGCCAGTCATGACGAACGTGGCGTTTGGGCTGCCACAAATATTGTCTTCGTTTCTGATGATTATTATCTGGTATGTGTATTTTCCTCTCATCACAGCCCGTTTTTTACTCTGTAGAAACCAGTATCGACTAACAATTCACAAAAAGTTGTTTTACCGATTGCGCCGCGGCTACAGTTCTCGCGTACGAAGCCCCTGAAGCAGACGTTCTTCTCCGCAAACCGCGAAATACCAAAACAGACAGATTAGTCGATTGGCAACTTATTCTTCAAGCGTATGGGTTTATCGGTGTGATTGAAACGGCAGCTTCATTCGCAATGTCGTATTGGTATTTACAGCGGAACGGAATTCCGTTTACAGATCTGTGGTTTAAATATGGAAAATTGCCAGAGGGAATCGATCAGGATTATGCGAATGCGAGATTGGCCGAGGCGTCGAGCATTTATTTTGTTAATTTGGTGGTTATGTAGGTTTTCTCCCCTTCTCCATTAGCTTCATTCTCCATTCCTCATATCATGCACTAACATCCTCTCAGGCAATGGTTCAATCTCATGGCTCTGCGCACCCGTCGTCTCAGTATCTTCCAGCATCCTCCAGCTTTCAACAAGGAAACGCAAAATCTGTACATTTTCCCTGCTATTCTATTTGCATTGGTAATGGCGATTTTCTGGCTCTACATCCCGCAGTTGCAAAGTGTGCTAGGAACTAGTAGTGTTCCAGTGGAACATTTCTTTTTACCAGCAGCGTTTGGAGTGGGTATTTTGTTGCTGGATGAGGCGAGGAAGTGGGGGGTTAGGAAGTGGCCGGAGAGTTGGATAGGGAGATTGGCTTGGTGATGAGGTGGGGTGCTATGGATGGTAAATTTCGGTAATGGGTCGGGAATGAAATAATAGTAATTGAAAAGATTGTCTGTCTTGTGTTATGACGGCTGTTCATTCAGTGATTGGAAATATCTAAACTCGTGCTTCTCAATGAACATTTTCGCCTGTAAATTGTAATAACACAAAATATAGGACTACAATCAAAATTCAGCATGAATTACTTTTCCAATAGATGAATTGGTATATTCAGCTGAATATATATACATGTATTATATATCCACAAATCTCCTCAAAAAGATCACTCATATATTGATTGAACAAATCACCTACACAACACTAGTCTAATAAAACAAAAATCTCGCATTTCATTTGAACAACTGCTCTATGAACCTTAGCACTGGTCATTATCCACTCGCAAAGCCTGCGCATTGGCGGACTCTGTTCCTATCTGAAGATATGTATGTATGTATGTATCTTCTGAACTCTCCCTTGCTAATAACGCCCTAGAGTATTTTAACTCGAACTAGAAATACCTATAGATAGATAAGTAGGTAGACAAAGGTAGAAAGATATCTTTGAACCTGTATAACCTGACAAATGAATTGAAACAGGATTTCACCCAACTCCTAACTCCCCGTTTCGCACTGGATTACTGAAATCTATTTTTCTGTGCTCCTTCCTGCCTCCCCCACTCCCTCGCTTAACCCACACAAATTCCCAAACCTTCCAATCCCTAGCACCCCTCCCCCCCTCTTCACGGTACATACCCCAAGCGTCTCGTGACCTCCGCCCACGCCCCCAACACCCCCCTCTCACCCCCTGCATCCCGTGTCTCAAAACCGGTACTCCATAAACCACACCATTCACAATACAAACCATAATTTTCTCCGAAATGACAATTAGGAATGTTAATGCGACGGGAATCATGGACAGGGCTTTTGGTATTACTTCTGCGACTTCGGTTTTGGATAGGGAGGTACTGAGACGGAGGAGAGGAAATGCGAGGATGGTGGTGAGGAGGATACAAATTAGGAATTGGCTGGGAATTTAGTGTGTTAGATGGGGCTGTATGGTTAGGTATGTAAAGGGGAAGGTACTTACACATCCCGCAATTCCCTATATCTAAGACTACTTTCCGCATCAAGCGAAACCCAATGTCTCACCTGCAGATATTGGAAAAAGAAGAGAGTCCAGAGGAATAAGACTCTATGATGGGTTTTGTTAGCTTAACGTAATACTCATATGATATATAAATACTAAATGAAGAGATGGAGAACTCACGTCAAGATAAAACACCCGCGAGATGTTTCATACAGAGTGAGGATGTCGAATTGCGGAGCTGAGGGGCCGGAGATGGAGAGGGCGTAGATGAGGGAGAGGGTTGCGAGGGGCTTGGAAGTGCGGAGGTGGAGGAGGAAGAGGAGGGGAGTGGTGATGGGGCGAGTGAGAGCGTGGGTGAGATGGCGGTGTTGTGGGGTGGGTGTTGAACTTGGAGGAGGGTGGTAGAGAGGAAGGATTTCGTGGGAGGTGAGGGAGGTCATGATTGTTTGAGTAGTAGTTGGTTGGGTTGATGTGGTGAGGAGGGTTGTGTGTTTAGATACCAGTGTTTTAGACCTCTTGATAGCTGGGCTATCTTATGTTTTGCAAGTGAAGAGGGGCAGTTGAGGCACAACGGTTTATGCGAGGGTATGGCGAGAGTTGAATGACAATGTTCTAGCAGAATGAGATTCCAGCAGAATGAGGTTCCAATAAATGAAGTTTCGTTGATGAGGTTTTAGTAGAATCCGGATCCAGTAGAACACTCACTCAGCCTCTTGACTCCAAAATCCAGACTCGCATAAAATATCCCGCAATTCCTTCGCCTACAGGCACGAAACATAAAACAAGAAGACTTATCCGGTACAAAGATAAAAACCACACGTAGCTCAAATTGGGTATTGAAAGAAACGGCAATGATATGTATGTAAGGAAGGGAAGCAAATCGACTTAAATGCCCCGGAGTCCTGGGCACACAGTCAAGCTTCTCGAGCTCGGAATAATAATAATTTCAATGACTCCAAGGCTAGCACAGCCAAGATCCTAGCGAGGTGCTACAGAGGCATGAGGCAGAATCCTCGTGAACCTATAAGTAGACTCGCTAGCCAATGATCTCTATGTTTACACAGCCGGAGAGGTGTAACGTATTGCATATATATCTGTACATTTCGCTCTTTATATCTGGTGTGGTTTTAAAATAAGGGAGTCATATAGTTTCTGAGAAACTTTTCCATCGACCACCGGTGAAAGGATTTCCGAAACCGTCTGATTGATTTGCGCAAAGATATCTTTTGTATTCATGAAGCTTTCCGATTTTTTTATCGCGACGGGGTCGCTGATTGTTAGTACTCGCTGTGTCATGAGTCAATATCAAGAAGTAAGTTCATAGTACTCTCGCAGACGGTGAAAGACTAAAATTGACACTTTCCGTAGTTCTTCGATATATCCAGCTTTTCTCTCCTCCTCGCAAACGACACGATACTCGAGTTTCTATCCTTCAGCCTCGGCTCAGTGTCAGAGCTTGCAACTGCCAGTTTCGTCTGTATATCAATTGGACTGATAGCATGGATTTACAATATTGGACAACATGAAAAACTACACTCTCCAATGGTCATTCTCGCCTTCGGTCTATCGGTTTTTTTCTGGATCGAGCTTGCGGCTTCGATAGAGATCTATCTCTTCGTCATATTTCCCTGGGTATTATTGATGGGGCTATTGATTAGCAGAATATATGATGTAGTTTGGAGGAAGAAAGACCTGCCGGCATCGGAAGAGAAAAGGGGTAGCGATTGCATGTTTGGGTATACTGAAGGCTTGCAGTTCTGTGGAAAATTTTCGGTGTAGGATGGTGGCAGATTCATGTCATTACGCTGGGGCAAAAACTAGAACTAGCGGGATTTTTCTTATTTCTCACGTCTAGTTCTTTGAAGAAAACTTTGGTGGTAGTGGGAACTTTTGTCCACTTGTATTTCTTGAGGGAAGGAGAGAGTTTCTATCACATTTCATTTGTTTTATATAGGAGAAAACTCCAGTCCAATGGGACATACTATTTAGGGACAGGAGATCTTTCCATGTTACATTTCTTTCATCTTTTTCATCTTATATAACCTATTCTTTTCATTTTAAGGTTGAGTTGTTTGGTCTGTTACTTTTCTTGTTCTGAGTTGAAACAATGTAACTATCGGGACAAGAGTCTACCTAGGTAATCTTTCGTCACTACCTTAACGAAATTCGGCATGTGCGCGGGAAGAATTGATGGCGCGAAATACTCTAGCACAATACGAGTGAAGGGATTGAGATAAAAACGTAAAAACTATGCAGTCCGTCAAAGATTTGCCTCCCGGAAATGATTTCCAATAGCCGAGCCAGTATATTGGATACGTCTTGAGATCACTCAAAATACGACCTCCATTTAAATATCACATCGAGCTAAAAACTATTAAGGGTTTGAAAAGCTATGTTCACGTGCAAGCCGACTAACAATCCGAACTATCGAATATCTTGCATGGAGAGCCTCATCAATCCGCCTTGCGGGCGTTCGTGGTAATACAACGACAGCTGCTCCCCTTAATTGCGTGTATTTTTAGTATGGCTTATTCCAGCACTCGTGATAGGGTAAATTTTGATATGCCAACTTGTATGGGCTGCGGTTATTCAGGTCTTAATGAAAGCAATCCATCCATTCTGCTAGCTTGACAATGTATGCCTAAAAAGCACTTGACAGACTAGTTTGCCCGCTCATTTGCTGGCAATATTGCAGGTGTTTCTCGCTGGCTATTGACACCTCGGTAATGCTTGTTAAATATTCATTATGATATCATCGAAACTATAGATGAAATTGACAAATATTACCATGAAGAGATGATAGAGAGTATAGTCAACTTCAACAAATTACTCGAAAGCATACACTGGTATGAATCAAAGATATACTGAACTGAATTTCATAACGATTCACAATGTCAATATATAGATGTATCTTTCGGAATCAATAATTTCCATTATGGAAGCACATGATAATATTTTATTTTACATTCTGCTTCCACTGCTTTGTTGCTTCGCCATATTGTCACACCAATCTACAGTTCCAATACAGTCACCAGTTTCGAAACTGTGCAGTCAAATCAATTCTCAAATACCTTCGTCTCAAATTTGACATTGGCGGATTGAAGGCGATTGATGTATTTCTCGCCCAACATAGATGGAGTATAGATACCACCTGACAATTTGTGATCGTCTCGAAGTAATGAAATTGCACCCTGGGCAATCAATATACCAGTCACTGCATCATATTAGTTACCCGAAACATCTTGGACTACATTATTTCACTTACATCCATAGAGTGAACCTTCATAGTATTCCCGACAGAAGATTCTTGGAGGGTTTGCTTGATCATTGTCCGGTTTAGCAATAGCTCGGAACTCGATCCGATCGGATTTGGTTTCCTCTTTCGTGGCTCCGTCTCCTGGTTGATAAACATATTTCCTGGCCGTATGTCTGAAAAATGGGATTGCCAAGAATAGAGCACCAAGAATGAGACCAAAATGTATCGCTATACCAGTGAGATAGTTTCTTGCTTTCATGTATTCCTCGACCTTGAAATTAGGACCATAGAATTTCTGCTCGCTAGATAACCCCCAACTTCGATGAACGATGGCTAAATCGGTTGACCCTGCAAGAGAAGTGGTGAGAATTCCTAAATCTGGTACGACTTTGATTCCGGTAAGTTTGGTGATGAGAGATGTAGATGGGCGGACTTTTGGTCCAGGTATTGGAGATAGAGCGTAAGGAGTAAATGCATCTTTGAGTTGCTTAAGGTTGAATACTTCCAAGAGTGTGAAAATTGTTTCTAAGGAACCCCCGGAAGGTTTGGCTCTAAAAGATATTAGTCTATTGGTTGTCCAGAAAGTCCAGGTCAAGTGTTATAGCTTACTTCATCTCGTGTAAAGATACGATAACTTCACCAGTAGGTGCAGATAACTTTTCCCGGACAGCATCAACAGCACATCGAGTAATTAAATCAGATAGACTAGATTCAATACCACATTGGGGAATGAGAACCGCACCACTAGCTTTAGCGGTGCTTTCGTATTTCTTGATCATCTTAGCCACCCATGGTACTTCTCCTGTGACATCGAGATAATGTGTACCATTTTCGGCACATGCTTTGAAACAATGTTCGCCGTGAAGAGCATAAGGGCCAACTGTTGCCAAGATGACCTTTGTCTTTTTAGCCAATGCACTCAGCTCCGCGTCATCCAAGTTACAGATTTCAATAGCTATGATGAGTGAGGCGTTAGTTAATAACGAGAAAGATGATACCTTTGAAATAGCTATCATGTATCGCACGTGATATCAAGGGGGTTGGTGGTACGCAAACTGTTGGAATCGTAATTAAGAATCTTACACACCTGGTTGTACTCTATCTGGACTTAGAGACTTGCATTCGGCCGCAACAGCTTCCAATTTGCTGGCAGAACGTCCTGCTAAAGCCCAACGAAGATCTGTAGGTAAATGTGTGGCAACGTGTTCCGCTGTAAGTTTTCCTGTGTACCCTGTGGCTCCAAAGATGACCAATTCGTACTCTCTATCTCCTGAAGACATTGTTTGTATATACAAATGTAGAACGCAAGAGAATAGTGAAATATCACTCGATTGTATGTACTTGAATGAGGCGGTAAATGAAATGGATACTCTTGGTCTATACAAGTACAATGTTTTACTATCACATCAACATCCTGTTTTCAGATCAACAGTTCTCCCTACGTAGGCAGGTAGGTGGATATCGTTCTTGCCGAGGTTTAACCAGGCTTTGTTCATTGAATTCTTCACTTCGAAGAAAGAGCATGTCAATTCGTGAGGAGTAGGAAACGCTCAAGATGAGTAGAACGGAAGATATTATAGATATTGCGTATATATAAATATGAAAATACAATAACTCTCAATCTCTGTATACTTATATACCTATACTCCGTTGTGATTTATAAAAGACTCTGTATAAGTTGTATGATTTTATAGACTGTGGAAATGTAAATACAGATCATGTGACTGACATCATTCTGAGACTTTCCATTGGGGACTAGCGTAATGGGGCTATTAACCGAATCCCACGACGAATTTGACCAAAATAATTCCCATCAAGTACATTGCGACAAATCTTCAATTTCCTCATCACCGTTCATCAACGCAAAATACCGCCAAGATGACAAAGAGAACCAAGAAGGTCGGAGTCACCGGTAAATACGGTACCAGGTATGCGATTATTCCAGCTCTACAAACTCTACACACCCAAATATCATAAGAAGGAAGAATCTGCGGCTTTTCAACACATTGTTGAGGTGTAATGGGACGGAGAACTTTTCAATAATGGAGGATCAACAAATCAATACTTGCAGCAGATGGAATCAAGATAGAAATCAAACGAATCAGCAAACAACTGGCTAATTGCTTTTTTCCCCAAATAGATACGGTGCATCCCTCAGAAAGCAAGTCAAGAAGATGGAAATCACTCAACACGCAAGATACGTCTGCACCTTCTGTGGAAAGACTACCGTCAAGAGACACTCCGTTGGTATCTGGGATTGCAAATCATGCAAGAAGACCGTTGCTGGAGGAGCTTACACCGTCACGTATGAGCCCACGATTCGAAATAAATGATTCCAAATTACTAACATATTCGACGACAGAACCCCTGCCGCCGCTGCTATGAGATCGACTCTCCGCAGATTGAGAGAAATCGCTGAGGTTTAAATGGCTTGGGATGGATGTTTGTTTCTACGGGTTATTTTTTTCTGCGGCACGGGATAGGTCTCACTTATGATATACAAGGGAAAAGCATCGCGCTGCATGATCGATGCCGATATTCGATGAGACCGGATAAAGAAAAATGAAATCATACCCTGCCCCAACTTATGGTCCATAACAACGATTGCGAATTTGGTGTGAATATGTGAAATTGGGTTCCAGAAGGATTAATCAAGATGTCGATCAACAATGATCATTAAGCGCCGAAGGAGGAACTTCCAGGATGCGTTACTTATATGTCAAAGTAAAGGCGTCGATTGTTCAATACGATTCCGATCAAGCCCATTTCATGATCGAGCTGAAAATCCATTTAACCTTATTTTCGGACCCTCCGATAGCTCTCTCATTTGTTTTGATCATAATGCTCTTCAAATAATTTGTTTCGGCAAGCGCTAAAGCATATTGAATTGGTACTGTAATAGGTCGACCTGTCGATTAAATATTAGCCGCATTTGTTCATGACATAGGTCACCACTCGGCCATTCGAATACATACATACCAAGACAAAAAGTGCCTCAACTGCTGGATTAATTTTATCATTCCATCGCCATCCTACAAACCACCATGGCCGTGTTTAATGTGGCTAGAGCCTCAACATTGACCATCACAAAAGTCTAATGACATGTATATAGGGGCACTGAGGTTTAGTCTACGGTCACCATGCATAATGATAGTTTACATGTCTTTTGCCTTGATTGATTGTATTGAGCCCTGCTTTATTAAATATGAATGCTCCCAGTAGTCTGTTCTCAGTATCTTCCTCCTGGTGAGAACTACTTGATTGTTTTACTTTTGATTATCAAGAAAATTTGAATACGTCGTCCTATTATTTCACTTTGACATCTTGAAGCCTTTATATTATGAGTCAACGCGGAAGTAATGCTGGATTTGATGCCAGAAGCGATTCTCATCATAGAAGGAATGATCACCAACGTGCCTCTCTTCCCTATCGTAGCGACAGGGATGATAGGAGTATCACTAGTTATAGTACTACTTCTGTGCGTGTGACGAGTAAGAAAGGAGGGCCACCAATCTCTATGAATACTAGACATAATGTTAATGGGGGTGAGTCGATGCGAGTGCTGGGCACTAAATCTTGATGTAACAATGCTAACAATAACAGGATTGTCCTCACATGGTAGGAGCCGAAGCCGCAGTGGAAGTATACGTACGCTGTCGGAAGCACCTGACGCAACTGTTCGCCGTGCGTTTTCCTCGATACAAATAATTGTTGTGGATGCTGACAATAACAAAAATAGCCTTGTCGCATAGAAGTGAAAACCTCAGCAGAGGGGATAATAGGCCACCTGAAAGACATCACCGTGCGTGCTTCTCGAAGCAAAGAATTGTTGTAGATGCTGACAATAATACATCCAGCCTTACAGCGCAATCGGGGAAGTGTAACCAACGAAAGACCCGAATCAGTTTCATCTGATGGAACTGCTCGCCGTGCGTTTTCCTCGAAACAAAATTTATTGTGACATGCTGACAATGATAAAAGCGGCTCCAAAGCATAGGACCCACGGAAGAGATACTGACTCGCAAGAATTTGATGGAGACTCGTATGCTTCCGGTAGAAAATCTCATACTTCTGGTAAAGAATCGTATACTTCTGGTAGAAAATCTCATACTTCTGAGCGATGTGCGTTTATCCATATCTCAATGAATTGGTGAGAAGTCCAGTATTGACATGAAAGTAGATTCGGAAACTAGTCAGCATCATGAGCCATCTGCGGGGAGTGGAAGTTTGTATGAGGACCACCCGAAGAAAGGACATAGATATGCACCCAGCGATGATGGTAGGCAGAGTAGGCATACAGACAGAGTTGCCCGATCTGAATCAGAGCGCACAACCAGGCCCTCACTCGACGATGAATTGCTATCGAAGCATACAGAGAGCCTGAGCCTCCACCCCCGAGATCCCACCCTCGAGAGAGTCGCAAAGTGGAATGAGGAAGTAAAACGCGATACTAAAGAAGATAGATGGGATGGTGATCCCAAAACCGGGCTAAGATCAGTCAATAGATCAGTCAATGGAGAAGATCATTACGGGAAAGGTTCGAATCCACCATCACACCGTGGGTACCCACAAAGCCGCCATTCTGAACGCCGATATGGACAACCTAAATCAGATGCCGATAGCTATAGTCGTTCTGACACTTCCAGAAAATCGTACATTCCTCCTCATCCTGGATCATTTGCTGCTCGCTATGCTCCCTCTGAGACTGAGTCCTATACGTTGCGCAATTCTCCCCCTCCGTACCGTCGTGGCCCCTATGATACTGGATACCAAAATTTTGGAGTCGAGGACCATAGTTCAACGTATGTGACGACGAATATCGGTGCCCCTAATGTGGGATTTATGGATGCTCCAAGTAAGAGACAGATAAGGGAAATGATGAAACACCAGCGAGATCGTGCAATGATAGAGCGTGGGCTGCCACCACCTGTTGAGAAAGGGTTTTGGGATTGAGGAGGGACGACTGTAATAGTGACTGGTAGGGTTTAGGGGGATTAGTGTGAGGGGGAAGTACAAGTCGAAATCTGGAAATGAAACCCGAGAGGAAGAATTGGAAAATGGGAATCGAGTATAGCGCTATGTTTAAAGGATCGGGAAAGCATCGTGGGAATATCTCCACATGGTGGAGTTTTGGGCTAGGAATTGTGGAGTTCTTAGCAGCGGGCGTTCTGGCTTGGGTTTGTTTTCTCTTTGGTAATGTCTCTCTTAGTATAGATTTGCGTATAGAATTGGATTTTGTTCTTGGTATAAATCGGAGTATAGTGGCTATTTGATGGTATACAAATATACGTCATCTTTAGATGTTGATTCTTCTTGTCGAGTAGGAATTGTTTATCTTTATATGGATAATCATATCGATTTGATTCCCAGAGATCTTTGAAGGAAGTTTTATCCAGCTTTGATTTGCCTGGACATAATCGTCAGATTTAATTTATCATACATGATGTATCCTCTGATCCATTCTCTATTCTCGAAACAGAGTAAGTCCGGACTCTCTAGCATACTCCGCATCTAACTTACCTCATACTTCGAATCTCGAAATTGTACACCATGGGATAGAGTAGACGAAATGAATATATGATATCAGTTCAGAAGATACAGAATGCACGGAGAACAGTTTCGCATTGTCGATATAATACTATAACCTGACCTCGTTGATTCCCCAAGATTGATTTGCATACCTAGGCACCCCTAGATGGAATCGCTAAACGAATCTCTACATCCTGATCCTAAGTTCCATCTCCATATTCTTCTGACTTCTATGGACAACATAACCTCCCAGAAACAGCTTTGAATCAACTCTGCTCAACTCCAACCAGCAAAGCAAAACAAATCAAATCCATCATTCCAACCCCCGAACCAACTCAACAACTTCTTCCGCACACCCAATACTACATTGATACCCTCCACTCCCATGTCCATAATTATGAATGACATAGACACCTTCTATTTTCTTTGCTTTTCCTTTTCCATCTCTCCCACCATCTATCTCCTCATCCCACTCACCGTCTCCTTCCCCACCCATCCCCTCAATCTCAACCCTCGCACCCCCCTTCCTCCCAGGTCTAAACCCCACATACGTATCCAACACCTCTATCTCCCCTTTCTCATTCTTCAAATCTTCAGCCCATCCTATATCTTTCAATCTCTGGATTATTCTACTTGATAATTCGTGGTCGGGGTTTGCGTTCCAGGTATTGGCCTGTGGGGGTTGTGCGTACGTGGTTAGCATATGATTTCTTTTTTTTTTCCAGTCTCCTCCTCTCATTCCTCATTCCAAAGCGAAGAAATCCACCTCCGCTTCCTATCATTCGTCCAATTCCCATAAAGACATATATAGCAGACCCCAGGTTTCCATTTCCAAACGCCTCTCCCCGAGGAAAAAAGAACAGACATCAACGCACCTCCTTAACCCCCCCAATCACACTCCTCCCACTCCCCGGCCTCGGAATCACATAAAGCAATTCATCTCCCCTCTCCCCCAAGTCCCCCACAAAAGTCTTGCAAACCCTCGTTTCCCCTTTCACCAACAAAACCTGTCCTCTCACCGGAAACATCTTCTCCGCTTCTTTATCCCCCACGAATCGCGCTGCAGAAAGTCCCGTGCAATTAATTAGTACATCGATTTTCTCTCCTGCAAGCAGATCCCTACATCCGCGCACTACACCTTCTAATCCTTCCTTTGTTTCGATTTCCCCGCGGATGATACTCCCGCCTAGCTGTTCTATCCTTTGGATTAAATACCTCAAATAAGTATCTACATCCACACATACCGTTTCGAATTGTACACCTTTTCTGACTCCCTCTCCCAGAGATCCCTTGAGCTTATTCTCCTCGAGTCCAACATCCAATTCTCTATACCCTCCCACCACATCCTCAAACCATACTCCCGCCTCGTCAATTTCTGACCCGTGGTATGTAGATCCGAGATAGTATATCGAGGGTGTAAGTCCGATTCCCATTTCATTTCCTTTTGCTCCTTTCCCTTTCCCATCCCCATCCTCTATATCTGTAATCATCCTCTTCCATTTACGATAAGTCCTTTCCTCCCATTTTCTGAGTCTTTTATCTCTATCTTTCTCTCCTTCCCCATTTCCATTCCGCCCCTCAGTCATAGAAGCCGAAGGTTTGGAAGCATGACTCCTCCAATCTGCTCCCGCCCACGGTGAACAATAATTTTCATTCTTGTCACCGGGGAGGTGTTTTGCTAGGAGTGTGATTTTGTACTGGGGGATTCGATTGTTGGGGGAGGAAGCCAGCAATGAAACCGCCGTTTGCAACCCCGAAATCCCGCCGCCGAGAATGAGGATATTTGTCGTGGTGGTGAATGACATGGTGATAGCAATTTGATAGTAATCGCAATCGTAATATGGCAATTCGTCTTCAACTCAATTCGGCCGTTGAGATGTTGTGTCTAGATTCATTTACTTTTCGTATGGTATGAATACAATGATGAAAGATGAGCTAACTTACCTTCCAACCTGCCTGTAGGTATCAAGAGCAATTCACAGGTTTATATATACATACATACATATATATATATGACTCCGTATAAGTAGCTAAGCTATATATACCTCGTTCTTGATATAATCTGGTATAAGATGATATATATCAACCGAAACCAGTTTGAAATTCAGAATTCAAAGCTAACTAATAGTGATAGATAGTTATGCTTCGAAGAAATAGCATATAGATATAGATATCGTTTATGGATTTTCGGTATGTATACAAAGGTAGGTAGGTAGGTAGGTAGGTAGGTAGGTTTATATGATCTCTCCAGAATCTCTCAATAGAGACCTAAAACAAAAAGATCCAGAAACGTATAACCCCTCATCTCATCTGATTTCTTCTCACCCACCTCCGATATATACCTATATACACCTAAATTTATATTTATACCTATCCAATGAATCCCTACCCCCTACCCCTCACCCCTCTACCTAGCTATCTACCCAATAACCACTCATATCACTCCCAGTCCCTCACATTCCCACTCCTCCCAAGCACGACATAGAATCAGTCATGACAACCTAGTAACCAACCCCATCTAACCAACCCCTCCTCCCCTTCTTCCCCTCATGATCAATCTTCGTCCTTTATAATCTACTCACTCGTATACATACCTAGCACATCCATCCATCCACCACTCAAGTTAACCTTACCACAAAAGCAAAAGCAATAGCAATATTCATATATAGCGATATCGGTCTCTACCTCATCCCATCCACAAATCATCCAATTGGACGCCACAACCACAACTCTTTCCCAGCAGGCAGGCGGACGGACATCCAAGTCCGTTGTATATGTGTGTGGGAACTTCATTTTCATTTTCATTTTCATTTTCATGTGCATGTGCATTTTCATGTGCGTATTCATATTTGTAGAGTGAGAGTTAGAACAGTTAGAAGGGTACAAGTATATTTTCGATATACATAATACATTTCAATTTCCATTTCCATCTCTGAACTATGAAGATTAGATAGATTTCTCTTCATGTGTTTCGTTAAAAAAATATCAAAAACATTTTAGAATAATACATTTTTCTTTTCTTTTCTTTTCTCCTCTTCAGCTATTCTACAATATGATATAATATTCATCATCTTCTTCGTCTTCTTCTCCTCTTCTCTTTCTTCCATAGGTATGAATATAATCTTTTGTATAAGATCTCATCCTTCATCCTTCATCCTTCATCTCTCATGCCTCATCCTAATCCCATTCTAATTCCCATGTCAATACCCCTACCACACCGATACAGATATCATTCCATTGAGACAGACAGACGACAGACAAACCCAACATTTCTTCATCCACACCTCTTTCCCTCCCCATCCCTTCATCTCCCTCATACCCACTCCCAATCTACCTACCCCCCAACATTCCACCCACCTGACTCCAAAATCTCTTCGTAACCAATTCCTCAATCTCCTTCCTCGTCAACCACATAAAATCTTCCTTTCCAAATGCATTTCCCTTAAGATTCGCTTGGCCAGCCATAATTCTTCCTTTCATGTAGAATACCTTTTCTGCTTCTCTTCCAAATTTCTTCGAGGGTTTGATGGTGAGACTACCGATTGGGATATGTCCTACTATCCATGTATTCATATTTTCGCCTGCCGTTTGAGCGAGGATTCTTTGGGCTGCCTTTAAGGGTGTTAGTTATGTATCAAAACAATATTGATGGATGCGGAAAGAGGGCAAAGAGAGCAGTAGGAGAATTAGAAAACACATAAAACAGTAAAAGAAAGCAGAAACCCAACGAACCGTATGCAAAACCTCATTCCCCACCAGATCCCCCCTCGGAAACTCCCAAACATCCACTTGCACTTCCTTTCCCTCCCTATCCACCGACTTCTCCTTCCCCTTCACAACCAAATAAACCGTCTCATCCATCTTCCGCGCCAAACTCCTCTTATCGGCCTCTCCCTCTCTACTCTCCAATTTCACCTTTTCCAAATCCTCACCCATCCCCTCTTCCACCAACTTCCCCGCAATATTGTCCCACTCCGCGACTTTTTCCTCTTGTCCCCCAATCAACACTTCATCATTCCATCCCTCTTCCCCATAAGCCCTATACCCACCAATATCCCTCGCGGCAACCCCATTCCTCTCTTTGACCTTTGCCTTCCATTCCAAATCCGCTGGTTGATCTTTCTTGTGATAAAAGTATCTCGTGAATGGCAAGACCAATCTCTCATTCAAACGTTTCTGGTAGAGATAAAATGCTTTTTCGAAAGGCGTAGCCGTTTGCGTGAGGAGTGGAGGCCGACTGAGGATAATTCCGGTCGAGATTTTATACGTCGTTGCTCCTGGGGAGGGGGAGACGGGAGGCATGGAGGAAACATGTGGGAGGTGAGACGGAGGTCCATCGAGAGGTTTAAAGGTTGATGCAGCGACGGCATAGGTTCGCGAACTGGGTGTTTGTATACATGGTGTGCGGGCTCGGAGAGGCGTTCGGGGAACAATGGTTGGTCTTGAGGAATCTGTGGCGGAGGCTTGTTAGTGGTTGATTTGCATATCGATGTTGGTATCAATCTTGTGCAATCCTGCGCTCCTCATCCCAAACATACACACTCGCACCCCAGCCATCAAGCCATTGAGCACATAAGTCACCCCTCCCCACCGAATTCTTACACATCCCGCAAGCTCACTCCTCTCCCAAGCAAGCGCAGGATATACATATCATCGACAACACTCCCCATTTCCAATTGAAGCAAACAGAAAGAAAGAAGATACATACATAATAATCTCTGAGCAGTTCTACTGCAACCCCTACTACTCGACGTCATATTTGCTTTCTAAGTATGGTAGGTATGTAAGGTACTACAACAATACTTCTCTGCGCACTCACTTCCCACACCCACAAGCACATCAAGCAACCCACCATCCAAAAAATAAATTCCACGATGCTTACTAATCTCCATCATCCTCCACCAATGTCCTCTCACGTCTCTCTTTCCCATCCCCTCCCAATCCCTACCAGTTTCCTACATCCGCCAACCCCCATCCATCCTAGCTTCCCACGTGACCTCGACACTACATAAAAACTCTTCTCCTCCTCCAACCTTCTTCCTCCCCTAATCCACGGCATCAATCCTTATCATCAAGACCCGTTTCAACCCAGAACGTCCTGACCATTTATCGATGCCTAGATCAAACATCTCAGGCTTTTTTCGCTAGCGGTACCCTCGTCTTTACCTACGGGAACTGTTAGATAGCGACTGTTTACATTTCTTCCTTCCATTTTGATTTCCTTTCGTCTTGTTGAATGTGTGAGAAGGAAGAGGCATGAAGTGCGAGGATTCGGGGTATCTCTCTTTTACTACTTCGATGGAAGAGAGGAGAAAGATGATCACTCTTCATACATATAGAGAAGCAGAAGAGAAGAGCTTGGAGAAAGAATACTCCATACCTAGCTAGCTATGATGAAAATAACCATGAAAAAAAAATCTTCAATGTATACCTACCTACCTACCTACACCATTTCTCACTCCCCAAGTTTCAAAAAATTCGCAAAGTAGAATTTTTCTTCTCTTCACACGCAATCGATAGAGATACCTATCTCATAATATGTATAAGAATTTTTCTTCTCCCTCAAACTCAAGACAATACGGTAACCTGGATCAGTCTCAATGAGCAGATACATACATCTAGTAGATACTCAATCATATACAATGCAATACAATAATACAATCTGCATCCTACCCTCCCTCGAGCCTCCTTACCTACTCTACTAGGTATCTATCTACCTATCCTCCATTCACATCACATCGCATCACATCACATCACATGATATATACCTACCTACCTACCTACCCACCTACCTAGGTAGCAAAGTAGAACCCGATAATACATACATTTATACATACAGACCTACCTACCTATATCTAGGTATACAGATATCGAAATGTCTATCTAGCATGTATCATACCATCATCATTTTTCCCATTTTTCCCATTCTTCCCATTCTACATTTTTCATAGGTTTCAACATTTCACATTGGACAATGAATATCTCCAAAAGGGAACTTTCTCAAAACTTTCTCATTTCAGTTCTTGAATACTGTGTATCTCTTTCTATCACCGCCACCATCGCCATCACCATCAATCATTTCTTTCCCTTGGCCTCTCAGTCAAATATCCATCATTCCCCTAGCCCCTCATCCTCACTCACTCCTTTCCTGACCTCTCACCTCTCACCTCGCCTCTCAAATCACAATATACAAACCCCCCTCCTTTCCCCTCCCTCCCCCAAAAATTCCCACAACAAACATATCCCATATAACCACTCTCCCCATCCCCCATCTCCTCAAAAGTCCTCTCCCCCCAAATATTACAAGCACTCCAATCACAAACACTCCAATCTCCAATCTTCCGAATCCGAAAACCAGAGATCCCCACCTATACACTCTCCTATTCTCCCATTCTCCCATTGCTCCAGCGCAAAAAATATATTAATGGTATCATAAATAGCAATTCACATTATGCATACCAAAGCCCTGCCTGTAATGAACCACACCATGCCACACCATTCCATTCCATATAACACCGAATTACAATTTTCCTTGTAACATATGAGAGAAGAAAAAAAAAGGTAAATTCCATTCGCTAATAGTAAGTTGTGACTCCATGTTCAATATGCCCTCAAGCAACCTCCAGAAAATGTCCCGAAAATATTTCGCCGTCCGTTTGTTCGTAATATGCGTTTCGTAACAATTAAAATTCCGTGCCAAATCCATTTCATGAAATTTGATTTCCCAAAGATTGAACCGCCTTACCAACTTCCGTTGTGGCAATCCTTTCCCATGAATTTTTATCTCCATCTGCATGATTTTTGTCCGCAATAAGTTCATAAAGTTTTCTCGAAACATTTCGATTGATATCGGCATATTGTTCTTCTGAAATCTTTTGAGATTTCCAATGAGGTCCGAGAGCTGCTTTAACTATTTTATTGATGCTTTGTTTCTCTTCAATTGACATTGTATTTCGTAATGGTGATGTATTTTCAGATCGAGATGTTGATGAATGTACAGCATTTGTTCGTACAGGTGAAGAATCTTGAGATCTTGCTCGGGATATTTTTTGTCTACGAGGTTGAGGTTGTCGAATTTCCGGTGTAGGTGATCCATCCCTCTTTCGCTTGTTTTGACTCCCAGCCATTTGACTTGGTGAATCGACTGTTGGTGATCGATTTGGTGAATAGTGAACAGCAGAAAAATCAGGCATAACAGTTGAACTCAAAGGAGGAGAACGGGATTGCCGACCTCTTGGTGGGGGTGTAGTTGATATTGCGCGACTGCGAAAAGATGCGGGAGACGCTGGTGAAGTAGCAGGAGATGAATAATCAAATGATGGACTTGTAGCATCATTTGCGCGATTAGATGTAACATCCAAACCAAATCTTATCGAGTCATCATCGGAAGATGGTGCCATCTCAACTTCTCGAAGAAGCGAAGAAAGAAATGTAGGTTCCGCGTTTGTGTTTATGTTCGTATTTATAGTATCTGAAGGCCTTGGTGATTGCCTTGGTGAACCATTACTTCTACTAGATGAAGGTCGAGGTTGAGGATTCGTGCTGGATGATGCGACAGACGATGACCCATTCTGAACAATTCGTGTTCTTGGACGTTTCTGCTTACGTTCAGGCTCTTCTGGTGTTGAGCCACCACGACTAGCTGGTGAAGCAGTTGATCTTCTGCGCTTCCTTGCATTCGATGTATCATCAAGATGTTGAGCTCTCTCCATAGCTCCCCATGCCTGTCTTTCCTCGCGAGTTTCAACAACAGGCGCCGGTGGTTGAATGCGCTCTCGAACAACTTGAGGTGCTGCGGCTCGAAATATCTGGCCGGCACCTTGACGTCTCGCGATATGTAATCTTTGTTCCCACCTGTTGAATTCTGTAGCAGAAAATTGTTGAAGGTCCCTATAACCTCTCAACTCCTGATCATCCTCGGCAAAGTCGAGATCAACCCCCGCGACATTTCGAATTGCGCTACTTAATTGCCCCCAAGCATTGATCCACCTATCTTGTCTGCCATTCCTACGAGCACGTCGAACGCTAGCCTGAGTTCTGCTGATATGTTGTCCTGAAAAGGGGATCGCTCTCGCGGGTCCTTGCGATTCATCATGTTGACTAAAAGCACCAGTTTCCACACATTCCATACAATACCAGTGACCACCTGGAACATTGTCTAAACCGATACAATGTGTATGATAAGGAGCATCGCATCCATCGCATAACAAGAGAACATCTTCTTGATCTGACTGGTCGCAGATTGGACACGATCTTCCTTCTTCCTCATCTTCATAATCTTCTGGGTTATCTTGTTGCCACGCAGCTAAATCGAACTCGGCCGTTTGTTTTCGATCCTCGACGGTATATTCTGACTGTACCGTTCCTGGAAAGTTAAGTTAGTGATTGATCCAAACAATTGTAGAACTCGTAAAGTCGCAGGCAACCCTCAAATTGTAGCTGAAAGTCGCAAAGAGTATATAACTTTTAAACCTCCATCGAAAGAGAAATTACATCATCGCAAAAGGCATTTCAGTTCGTCAAAGACCACCAGAAATATATCCAAACAAAAGCTCCAAAATGACATCTCCCCGTCGCAATATGATAATACACCAAATATCTCCCTCGAAAATGAAACATAAAAAAGTGCTCAGCTTACCTCCAACTCCATCCAGTATCAGCACCAAATTAAAGCTCGCCCGACAGATCGGACAACTATTAGCCTTCTGACTCCATTCCCTCAAACAATGATCGTGCAAAACATGATCACACGGTTTAATCTGAGCTACGCATAAAGCATTGTTACCGTTACCGTTACTCTTCCCCGAAGAAAAACATTGTCGACGCTGCAGATGCTCGAGATCAGGTTCTTTGCCGGCGTTGCCCCTCTCGAGCTCCAGAGCCTCTGGGGAATGGGTTTGGGGTCTTGCACCACTGAACTGGGTGCTGGGACGGAATCCGGAACCCCAACTTTTTCTTCTTCTGGTTGTTGGACCTCTACCACCTCCAGATCTTCTAAACATACAATACATGCGTCTGTCATTTCGCCTCATGTACTTTGCGGATTGGCTGGAAATAGGAGAAATTCATGAAAGTAGTAGAATTAAATGATGAATCAAAGAATCAAAATCAAAGTAAATTGACAAGTTTTTTAATTGTTACTTTTGTTTGAAATTATATTTGAGAAAGTTGTGGTGGTGGTGGTGGTTTTGATTGAAGTAAGAATTGTCGGTCGGGTATGTATTGAATGAGTGGGTTGGTAGGTTGGTAGGTAGGGAGGTAGATTGATAGATGGATTGATTGATTGATTGATTGTACGGCAGCAGTCTGTGGTGGAAGAAGCGTTTTGGTTAGAAGGGGTTTTGTTTTGGGTTTGGATGGATGAAAGATAATAATTAAACTTGACAGCCTTCTAACTTTCTACTTCTAGTAGGTAAAAACAAGAGGAGAGGGAAGAGGCTAACTCGGTCTGGTGGGAGCATTAATTAAGCGATCCAATATCTATTGAATTAGATAAAGAAGCCTTGGGTGGTTGTGTTTATACAAGATGATTCGGTGTTTGAAGTGTGCAGTATGTATTTGGTATCGATATGTGAACGTGAACATGAACGTGATTTGAATGGATAGTGGCTGGATGGTTGGATGGTTGGATGACTGGATGACTGGATGACTGGATGGCTGGATGGAGTGGATTGTATGTACCGTATCTACCATGTCCAGAGTAAAGGGTTATTTGAATCGGATATGAATGCCGGACATGAAGAAGGTTTAAACGGTAGCATATCATATCAGATCATATCATATCAATATCATTCAGGGGAAACTTTGTCTACAGAGTCGCAGTATAACCTCGGACTAGGTGGCTTGAGATAGGATAGACATGTAATATGTAATTTGTGGCTGGATTCAAAGCTTCATTGCGCCCCACCAATGGATCACCAGAGAGAGAGGGCGAGAGGGCGAGAGGGCGAGAGAGGCTCTATCTAAGAAGAAAAGTGACGTTGATACATCCTTCCCAAAGTGTACCACATGATTCAACAATGATTCATGTTTCTTACATTCTTCGCCTAAACACTTCTCCCTCATACTCTGTTAAGTCTTGAGTATTCCTACTTACTCCGAGATACTTAGATACCCACTCATGTATTTCTATTCGCTCTCTGATCTACGCAACTCATTCATTCCTCCATTCACTCACTGCCCCTCTATCCGCAAAATCTACCTGCCGAGAGACCTACCTACTCATGGTAAAAACATGTCATTTCCTCGTGATCCAATCCTCAAGGTGTACACACCCACAAATTACACACATGCCCAGGCATCACATATCACACATTACACGCCCCAACCCCAAATACACAAAAGTAGCCTACCTACCCTACCTCGTCTGCATCCCTCACTCTCTACCTACCTAGTGTAACGCACTCACTCACTCACCCACTCACTCACTCACACCCAACATGGATATCCCATCTCCAATCTGCTTCGTGTATCAAATAATCCATCTAGCCCTTTTTCTCTTCACTCTCTTAACAAGTGTGTGGTTAGTACTTCGCAACTTAGTACCTTAGTACCTTATTAGTCGCCAGAAAAGGTTTCAAATCTGATGGAACGGTGAGCGAGCGAGCGAGCACAAATGAATAATCGTACCTACCTACCACATTTATATCGTATCGTATTGGATTACGTTGTGTTTGTATTTTTTTGGTATTATATGATGTTCCGCGACAAACGCTGAGATTGCGGTATTTTGAGGAATTGAAAGTACCTAGGTACCTAGGTAAGCATGACATATCACCTGATCTACACGTAAAGTAAAGCAATTTGATAGAGGAGAAAATCGGGTGAGATACCGATAGAAACGCTGATTTTAGTTTTCGGATGATTATTGGAACCCCTTCATTTCTCACAGCGAAGTCTTCGTCTCGCAGTGCTTGGAAGCTTGGACCATGTACATAAAGAATACCTACTTATAACAGGTAGGTAGGTATCACAAGTAAGAGCCGACGCAGAGTACCATTGAAACCAAAATGGTATCTTTGCGACTGATTGCTTTAACTGATAATTTCCATTTCTATTTGGATTTCTATCTTCCACTCACATCTCCATTTAAAGATGACTTTGTCCCCCTGCGACCTTCGTCAAGAAATCCTTGACATAGGCATTAACCTCCTCCGGCTTCTCCCACAGAGCCCAATGACTCGCATCGACTTCCTCTTTTCTCAACTTTCCCTCTCCAAACCATTGTTGCATGTTTTCCGCCATGGCAGGTGGTAATGCCGCATCTCTCGATCCTCCAATGAACATGGTAGGGATTTCAACTTTATATCCATTTTCCTTGTGGAATTCCTCCGCCAACTCCTTCTCATCTTCAAAATTCAACTCCCCAGTGCGATACCAGTTCAATGGACCTCTAATTCCATTAATCGCATATTGTTCTGCGTAGTGATCTAATTCCTCCTTGGACAAAAGAGGAGATGGGCCAAGCTTCTCTAAATTCTGAAAGAGAACACCCTCGGAGACAGAAAATCCAAGTTCTTTCTCTGGGGATCGACCACCATAGAGCGCATTCAACATCATTCTCAATTTCTCCTTTCCTTGGATTTCTCTCTCAACATCTGGACCCTGGAGTTGTAATTGATATTTGAAATTTGGTCGGACGGTCATGGGAATATATTTTTGTTGAGGAGGGAAGAAAGGTGTGCAGACGCTGAACACTGCAGTGATGAGTTTAGGATAATGAAGAGCAATACGGTAGACGATAGCTCCACCCCAATCGTGACCTCCGAGGATAATAGATGTGGCGCCGATGGCCTTTGCGAGAGCGGCAACATCATCAGCGGCGGTTTTGTAGGTAAAGGCGCTGAGTTCTTGGGGAGAGGAAGAGGTGGCATAGCCCTGCATGTTGGGGACTACGACGCGGTAGTTGAGGGCTTGGAGAGCAGGGACTTGATATCTCCAGCCGAATGCCATGTCAGGCCACTAAAAGAAAGTTAGTATACTATTGTAACATAATGATTGAAGCTTTGAGAAGCTTCTTGATGATTTGAATCTTGATTGAATACTGGAACAGTATAAGGAGTCGGAAAGGAAATCGAATGCTTACTCCGTGAATCAAGAAGATAGTTGCAACTGGTTCGGCACCATTTTGTGGTTCGGCAAGAATATACGAGTAAATCCTTCCATTTAAATCAGCCGATTTATATTGGACTCGAGAGTCTTGAACCGCAAGTTTATCAACCATTTTGATATATGTTTGAAGTGAAATGCAATGAACACAAATCAAAAATGAAAGTATCTCGAACGAGGCTGATGTGGGAAATGTCGGCCCTTTAAACAACAAGGCTGCCCCACCAATCACCGTGCCTCGGTCCAAATCGACAAAAATTGGGTAACAAACGACTGATTAGTCGTTGCGCTACGCATAGCACATCACGGCAATGTGTCGTGTACTCCGAGAATTGATCATGGAAAGACAAATCATTTGATCATGGCGTCGGATTCAGGTTTGGTCCCACACCCGGTGTCTCCGAATATCATCTTGTGCCTAGGCATTGAGTTTCGTAGGCTTGGCGGTCGGTACTTGCATAGGTAGTCTCCCCTTGAATCAGATGATCGCAAGTAACGGTGAAGAGAAAAGAAACATTTTAATATAGCCAGGTCTAAAGTACAAGCTGGCTTGGGATATCATTAACCTCCTAAAGACACCATACCATCACCTAAATACCATTTGAGCATTTTCCGGCAAGCTAAACTCCTTGAACCCAATCATGCACAGCAATCAGTAAATAACCGTATCCTCCTCTGCTTCTACTACTACCTCACCATTATGCTCTTCCAAATTATCTTTCTCAGTCTTGACCTGTGAGGACTGAGCAGCAAGTGTAGAGATTGGATTAGTAGTATCAAGGTTAGAATTAGATGAAGACTCCATATGAGGCTCACCCATCATCACATCAGACGTCACCTTTACTTCAGATTCCCCATCAGCCTTTGGACCTTGTTCTGGATGTTTGCTCGCCCACTGGGACTTTTCTTCTTCAATCAACATCTCTACTTCTTTGATTTGGGTCTTGATTCTGGCTTCGTTATTGGGTGATAGTTGCCATGGTTTGTAATACTTGATGGATCAGTAATCATAACCGGAATGAGTAGAAGTATAGTCCTTACCAGTTTTGGCTCTGTTTCTGTAGAAAGAAACTGGGCCATAGCTAGCATATTCGAATGCCGCGTTCGCATCTTTACAGAAACCTATCAGTCTTGTCTACTCCCTCTTTCAGAAATCACTCACCGATTCTTCCTGAAATTTCACTTGCTCAACCACTCGTACCGCTTGAAGACTCGCTGCCTTCTCTTTCTTCCTATCTTCTGCTTCAGCTTTTCGTTGCGCGGCTCTCTCCTTTTGTCGTGCCTCAATCTCTTGTCGCCTTCTCTGTTGTCCATTTGGTGTACTTTGATTAAGAGTATTGAGCAAGCCTCCAAATAATCTTTGGCCACGCTTGCGTTCCTCTTGAACACTACTTCTTCTTCTTTCAGAACGACCATTTCTCGAGGTTCCTGGTGAAACAGCAAGAGGTTGATTCTTTCCAGGTGAGTCAAGCTTTGTAGAATCTAAAGCTTGTGAAGAGGAATGTAGAGTGGATGTAGAGATGGCGCTGTCTTCGGTGGAGATCCGGAGACGTTTAGAAGCATCTTCGGACACGGATGATTGTCGACGCTTCCTGCGGGGACTTTTAACGTTTGGCGCATCTTGTTTAGGAACGACAACTGCAGATGCCACGGGTCTATCTTTTATTAGTAAGCTTTCATGATATGACTAGAGTTTTTTGACTCACGCTGGTATGTCTGTCATGTTTGTTACCATCACCTTGAATTTATTACTAGACCTTTTCAAAATGATGTCGACCAGATAAGTAGAAAATTAAATGTAATTGTGCAAAGCATTCAATCACGTCCATTTGATTCACATGCGATACTGGATGTGCGATGTATTGAGAGATCCTTGTCAGTACTAGCGTGGTGGTCAGTGCTTAGAAATCAAAGAACGAAAGCTCAATATTTTGGTGGCGGTGATATCAATAACAAAATTCTTGAGCTCTTCAGATAATCATCTCTTCTCCAACTACGGCAACTTTCAAAATTGAAGTACCTCTGCTCTTGAAAACTGTACAAGAAGATAACCTACAGCTTCATCTATAGAGATACTTAAACATGTCTCGCCATCATCCGTATGTACCAATCTTCTCTACTTTAAAGACTACAGCTACTAATCTACCTCTAGAGATCTCGTAATGTGCAGAAAGCAATCTGGTATTGCCATTGGACGTCTCTGCGATAAATGCGATGGAAAGTGCCCTGTATGCGATTCCTACGTCCGTCCCACAACTCTCGTACGCATCTGCGAAGAGTGTAGTTTCGGAAACTATCAAAACAAATGTGTCGTATGTGGAGGTGAAGGAATTTCAGACGCTTTCTATTGCTTCGAATGTACAAGATTAGAAAAGGATCGCGATGGATGTCCGAAGATTATCAATCTGGGTAGTAGTAGGACGGATTTATTCTATCAGTAAGTTTTCCCCTGTCCCAAGATGCGGCCAAATAAATATTAACATCTTTGGTGTAGAAAAAAGAATTTTCGGAATCACTAGTAAAGCCGTGGATCGGGGGATCGTGTATTACCTATGTATTTGCATTATGGTTTGGAGTTGGGGGAATAAGGTTCTGGATTTCGATTCTTCCAGCAATGCAGGCAGAAATGAAGCCTCATATACTGTTGCAAGTGGCGCATTGGATGGCACTGGAAGACAAATTACATTCGCAAGAAGTGCTATTGATATTAGCATAACTTCTATCAATCGTATCGAAGTTGATTCTGTTCTCGTTATGGGGCTCTCAACTTCCAAATGACGAAATCCGGGGACTAGAACGTCGGCACTTTCTTAGTGAGCACTATGGCAATGGATGGAACAAAATGATATCATTCACTCTTGTGAACAAAACATTTCTACCTTTTCTTGTGAACCGAACCTTAAGTAGGGTTTAACAAGGCACACCAAATGAACTCTTTCTCATTCTTCCACATTCATACTTTCTAGGAGCACTGGGTCTCATTTTCATACCATAATATATTAATGTCTTTATTCCACAACAACAACAACCAAACTGCCATCACAATCTACAATAACACATCCATTAAAGTTGGGCATTTATAAATATCCAAACCTACAAGTGAACAATATCACAATGCACCAGAGCAAGAATTGAGTTAATATAAGATAGCTAAAGTTGACCCTGACAACCATTCGAGCCACAGTCAATCAATCTCGAGCAAGCCGCAGTCCCAAGCCGCAGTTGAGATATCCTACACACTTCTTTCATTTTTCACTCCATTGAAACCAGTTTTACCACATCAAGAACAACAACAATACCAATACATTATCACAAAGCAACAAGCCAACATGTCGAATTCCAAACCACCCGCGGCTCCAGTCATCTCACCCATCACCTCCGACACCCCCAATCTTCCTACTGCACCAATGGGTAGAAAGAGCTCATCAATTTACTTCCATCAACCAACGTCGAACGATGGCTCCTCTTCCAACGCAAATCGCGACAACGATACAGATTTCTATGCCTCCATCGAGCATGGTATACTTTTGGGTCTCCGCGGTCTTCCTCACACTTCGAAGAAACGTCGTAAGCACCAAGTTCAACTCATCGAAGAGATCCCTGAATTCTCTCTTCCTGGACCTGCCAATACTAGAAGTGTGGAGGGATCAGGTGCTTTCAATACTTCGACCAAGCGTACAGCCGACGAGAGTATCGCCAAGAACACGGAATTTGGTGATCTTGCTGAAAACCATGGTGGTGGAACACTAAAGTCGAAGAGGATTAAGAGAAGAGCTTCGGATTCTGTTACGATGACTCTTCGTCGCGCTGAGGAGAGCAAGACTGTGTCGTTTAGAAGGGAGACAAGCGTTATTCCCACCAGGAGTTTGGAGGAGCTTAAGCTTGATGATGATTTTGTTGATGGGGATGGATCGAGGGCTGGAGAGAGAAAGTGAGGGTTCTTGGGGGGAGATGTTTAGCTGTAGCTAGATATTGAGCTGATTAGGAATACTGCTAGATTCTAAGTGTTAATACTTTGTATCGATGCTCTTGCATCTGAAATTTTTAATGGATGGATTTGAATATTTTGATTGATTTGAGTCTCCTAGTTGATTTGAATACCTCAAATTGTTTGAATATATCATGGTGGTTCCAATGTCCCAAATTGTTTCCGCAGCCCAACGTGGTGTGAATGTCCAAATTGTTTTGAGCATTCCAAGTGGTTTGGATGTGTCAAATGATATCAATTCAACAAGGACCTAGAGCATCTAGTTCTGTTCACGTCAACATTTCCCAGGGCAAATAATCCTACGTATGTGGAATCTTATACAAATGTCACTGAGCAAAGAATTTCATGAATGCTCGCGAGCTGTGCGGAGGATAATTGACTGGGATGAACATTTGTGCACATCGTCATGCGGCGCTCTAGGATTTATACAGACAGATAAGAATCTAGAAAGCATCAAACAATTTGGTGCCAGGTTCTCAACATATGTAGTCTATATTTCATCCATCTTCTTCAAAGTGCATATAGTTGTTCAAACCCATATTGTATAAATTTTAGCTGGGTATCATCGGCTCAATGTCGGGATTTACATACCAGGATGTATGATGAGCATCATTCGCCATACCTGCGTCAAATTCGCATTGAATGTACGTCTGAAAATGTATTGCTGCTTTATTTTATGCCATCACGCAATTCTTCGATGTAGGTGATTCTGTAGCATATACAAACTCAACGTTCGTATTCTATCAAAAGCAGCTTTGTAGCCAAGTGAGATTCACGACTAGAAAGGAAGCTGGATAGTAATTCCAACAATATGAACATGGCTATTGAAAAATCTGTATATGTGATGAGGTAACATTCAATATTGGTTCAGTGGCTACCTACTGGCCTAGATGTTGGTGTAGAGATATATATCTTTCCTTTCATCTACAATGTTCCCATCCGATATCTCTCTCTCTCAGTCATAACTACCAATTCCTTCTTGTCTGTAGGTTGTAGCAGTCATGACTTCCTTAGATCAACCCCCGTCGGAACAGCAACCAGAGAAAAAGCTATGGTATCGCTCATCCCTCTTCAATGCCTTTGTAATAGGCGCAGTAGGGTTTCTGGCCCCGGGAATGTGGAATGCGATGTCTTCTCTAGGTGCTGGAGGTGCGGAATCGCCGTTCTTGGTTAATGCTGCTAACGCATTGGTTTTTGGTTTAAGTGTGTTCCTCCCCCATGTTCCTTCAAGTCTGAATTGATCTTGGTGTATATTTTGGGGGAGGAGATTGGACCTTGGAAACTTTGCTAATATTGGATGTGAAGTGGGAATATTTTGTGTACTAGGGGGGCCAATTGCGAATCGGATAGGATTGAAGTATACATTGACGCTTGGAGCAGTGGGGTATCCGGTTTATTCGTATGTATTCTCCTTCGCTTGCGAGTTTGACGAGAAGAAGAAGAAGAAGAACAAGAAGTGCTAATGAAGCATAGGGCTGGTTTATATGCAAACAATCGATATGGAACTGTCTGGCTGGTTCTTGTTGGAGCTGTCACTTGTGGAATTTCGTAAGTTCAGAAAATATTAGCTTGGTGTGGCATAGATGAACTGACATGATATGATGTTCAGTGCGGGGTTATTCTGGGCTTCAGAGGGAGCAGTTGCGTTGGGATATCCAGAGCCGGCGAAAAGAGGGAAATATATGAAGTGCGTTAAATCTGTCGTCTTGGTATATATGAGGGTGATGAGCTAATGGAAATAGTATCTGGTTGTGGTTTCGTACAGGAGGACCGCTTGTTGGTGGTGCTATTGTTTTGGGTCTTAATCAGTGCGTTATGTCCAATTATCTTATACTTTGTGGATCTTATTGACGAGACATTAGTGCGAGCAACCAAAAGAAAAAGGGAAAGGTTGGGTATGGTGAGTGATCACTGATCTCCTCTTCAACATTCGATTGCTGGAAAAGTACTCATGTGCCATATAGCTGTATACATCATATTCATTACCCTTCAATGCCTAGCTGCGTTCATAGCTCTTGCACTCTCTCCTCCAGACAAGGTCGGTTAATTCTAGACATCGTTCAAAAACAACTTGCTGACTTTATCAGGCCCAAAGAGCAGATGGGTCAAAGATCAAGATTGTGCATGAGAAATCTTTCAAGGCGGAAATCAGAGCGCTCATTAAAACCTGTGCAAGACGCGATGTATGTTTACCCGATAGACTCTCTGCTATGGTCTATACTGACTTCACTGAAGATTCTACTACTATTGCTTGTCTTTTGGGCTGCATACTTCAATCAATACTCTGGAAGTAAGTCCTTGGGCCCCCTATTTTCAACTTCAAGAATCTAAAATTGACATTCTTTAGATTATGAGGTTTATTACTTTGGAGTTCGTGCTAGAGCTTTAATAGGTTTCGTTGGTATGCTTGCCTAATTCTCAAATCCTAGCTCCTCTGTTCCTTTCACAATTCTAACACCGAACAGGAAATTTTGCCAATTTGTTTGCATCCCAAATTATGAGTACGCTACTTGATTACAAAAAAATCTCAGTCAAGCAACGTCTTAATATTGGGTACGTCTACCGTCCAATCTTTTCGCTTTCCACCAGTCAAACTTTTCAAGATCATCAAATTCCGTCTACTAACAAAAATAAAAAGTTTCTACTATGTGATTTTCTGGCATATCGTAGCTTGGATATACGCCTGGGTTGTCAATGAGAAATTCGGTGCCGAACAACCTGATCTCGATTGGACCGATGGAGAATTCACAAAAGGGTTTTTCGTCATCTTGTTATGGTGTATGTAAACCTCTCTTCAAACCCTTCCACGGCAATACTATATGATCAGAAAGAATTACCTGCTAACGATACACGCTATCCACAGCTTTCTCACAACAGTCGCTACAAAATTGGCTCTACTATTTCGTATCCACCAAAACAGATAATATTTCAGAATTATGTACGTTAAGCTTTCATTCAGAGCTGCCTTTTCAGGAATTTGAGTCTGGTCGTCCCAATATGATACTAACAATCACAAAGCACGCTTTACAGGAATCCTCCGCGGCCAAGAAAGTTTCGCCCAAGCTGTCTCTTTCGGTATCAACACAAGAGATTGGTATAGAGGTCGTGTTCCAATGGTTGTGAATACTATTTTACTTGGTGCGTTTTCTAATTTTCTCCCTACTTCATCAGATTTATCCTCCGCAGATCTGCCTTTAGTTTTGCTCTCTTACCATTTCCACTCTCATTACCCATTCCCTCCGCTATCCTCTTTATAACTTACTCCCTACCCCAATAACTTCCTCCACTAACCGAATATCAGTAATTTGCCTACCAACAACCTATCTCGCCCTACGCGAACATGTTCCAGTTGAAACACCCAAAGATTACGGATCCGAGCCAGCTAAACCATCTGAGTCTGGTCTAGAACCGGGATATGAAACTCCTCACTCGGATGACAAGCAGGTTTTGAAATTGGCTGTTGGACAGACAGTTGAGGCGGGGATGTGAAGTATGCTATGACTTTACGATTTGTGGTTTGTAGGGGGTTGAAGATTTATGATAAAATAGGGGAAGGATATGAAGAGGGATACTGAGATGGGAATTAGACCCAAAGCGGAATCTTGGGTGGGAGAATATAGATCTAGAACCGATAGAGATGTGAATAGTATATGCAGCAATCTCTCATTTATATCAACTTGGGGCCACCAATGCGATAGATTGACCTAATTAGAAGTAATTTTATCAACTTACCTGCTTGTAATTTGTTCTTTCGCCCTCTCAAAAATGTTGCCTCATTTTTTCAATATAATATTTCCCGGTATTTAGAAAAAGAGTAAGAATTCTGGGTTGGTTAAATAGGATGAGATTGTATGAACTGTTTCAAATTTTCATATCGGTAATTTTCTATCTTTCTGGAATGACATACACAGCTAGGTCTATAAGTTGTTACACAATAGGAATTTAGAAATTATACATAAGCAGAAGAAGAACGAGGACTGGTTTAGTGATGTTGAAAGTATCGTAAAGAGAAATATTAAGTAGGATCTTAACGGGCAATGGTGCTGGATGAGACGAAATTAATGATGAGATAGTCGAAAGTATCCATATCGCGAAGAACAAAAATTCGGAAAACGATGCTTGGGATGGTGATATACATTGAGCCTGGTCTAGAGAGTATCAGAGGAGATGTGTTGATTACAGTAGTTGTGCCTTTTTATCGATGTCGGCGGTGCATGTGAATTTAAATTCTCTTTAGCGTTTATTTACATGTACATACGATTTCCTTCCAAGTCCAAATTGTTTAGGGAAAGCTCTATCTTGACTTCGAAGCTTTATAACGATGGATCACATGAGAGGCACCCAGTCCCGTTCAAAAAGCGTGTGCGAGGCTACTGCTCATGATTGTTGGAAGCCGAAGGGAACTTTATGGGATGTAAGATCATGTGGTTACCTAGGCAATGTTGATAGCGTAAAATGCCAAAACGTGTGAGGCATATACTTTTTAGACTTTGTGGTAATGCAACAGCAATTACTCTGGTCCAGAACTCTTGATATCTTACCATAAGGTTCGAGATTTAGTTCCAAATGGATGTCCAAATGTCACCAGATAACTACCCCACTTTAGCCTTTCAAAACTGAAAGGATCCCTACATACACTGCCTAGCTTAGGATAGTGTTATATATTCTGTAAACCTAGGCGTCTCTACAACAAAAAACAACATCTTTGATGGTCTAACGGTCATGATTTCCGCTTGTCATCATCTGGCAATGCGCGGGAGACCGGGGTTCGACTCCCCGTCAGAGAGTTTCTGATCTCATGCGAGTAATCTTTTTGCCTTTTTCTTGCCCTCAACTTGAGGTAGATCTCTGATTTTTTTTCCCTAGGACCTTATTTTTTCGATTTTCGTTTTATCGGAGAGAGTGAGAAGTTGGGTGAGATCAGTGAATATCAAGAATGTGTTTGTT